AAAATGATAATATAGTTATGGATATTAATATAGTGTAATAAAAAAATGATTTATTTTATCGATCTTTACTTAATAGATTTGTTTTTATTGTTATATAAACAACTTCGATCAGTCTTTGGCTGAATGTTACTACACCCAAAAATGATTCGTAAGTCCTTTTTAAAATATATTATACAAAGGTGTCCGTTGAAATCTAATGACTGTAAATAAAAATTATAAATTACGCCAAGAATTACCGTGTATGACAATATTTTTTGTGCATTTAGGCCAATTTGAGCAATCTCCTTTGGCTCCAAAAAGTGGGCATTGCCTTAGGAGTTTTGTGTGCAATAGACGACGAAAAACAACACAAAAAGAGAAAGTGGATGAAGCGTTGGTTAAAAGAGCGAATGATTCTCAGCCATTTAAACTTATGTCCAACTCCCTATACCTTTCGAGTAATATCTCCCACGCATTTTTTTTGACGAGCACCTTTATATGATTCCGACGTAATGTCCCATATGCATGGGAGATCATCTACACACGCGTTAGCTCTCAAATAAGCATCCCAGTTAGTTAGTTTAAACGGCGATCGCATCCCGCTAGGCCCCTTGCAGCAAGGCCCTGCCGGCATTGCCTGCCCTCCTCTTCTGTCCGATACGGGCGTGCCTCACTAGGAGGCCGCACCGTCCTTCTCGCGGATATGCTCTAGTGTTTAACTAAGGCAGCGTTGCGTCGCTCCCCCCTTGGGGGACTATCGCTTCCGAATTAGCCGATTTTTTAGATTTTTATGACGAGCATTTTTATATGATTCCGACGTAATGTCACAAGCATGGGAGATCTCTATACACGCGTTAGCTCTCAAATAGGCATCCCAGTTAGTTTAAACGGCGATCGCATCCCGCTAGACCCCTTGCAGCAAGGCCCTTCCGGCACTGCCTGCCCTCCTCTTCTGTCCGATACGGGCGTGCCTCACTAGGAGGCCGTACCGTCCTTCTCGCGCATATGCTCTAGTGTTTAACTAAGGCAGCGCTGCGCAAGGGCGGATCCAGCTTTGGCGCCAGGGGGTGGTCATGTAGTCGTGGTATATTAAATATTGAAAGTACTCAAATAAAATTCCCCTGGGTTTGGTCCACTTGTACCCAGCCCAGGGGGGGGTCATGATCCTCATGACCCCCCCCTCCCCTGGATCTGCCCTTGGCGCTGCATCGCTCCCCCTCTTGGGGGACTATCGCTTCCGATGTAGCCTTAGATGCCTTCCGGCCAGAGACAGGTGTTTTTAGTCAGTACGAGTCTGACATAACCTTGCAGCCGGCTGTAGGGTATCCATGAGGATTTCTCACCCGTTCCCCGCCTAAGAGGAAAAAAAAAGCTAGGTCATTACTTGCTCCGATGTACCGCTCTGTTCGTTAAGTTTCTGTTTAGTTATTCCGTGTTTGTAAAGTTGCACATTGTTTTGTTTTGTTATTGATTTTTTGTTACGTTTTTAACTTTCTTGTGAATTGCTGAGATTACGAGATTAACTGAATTCTCTCCGCAAGAAATCGCTGATATCCATTATTGTAATGGGATGTCACGTGGACGAACAACAATCGCTTGTTTGACATACATAAGTGCTTTTCCGAACCGACTTACATCCTCAGCACGGAATTTCCAAGAAGTTCGCCGGAGGTTATCCAATATCGGACTTGGATTAGCAAAAGATCAACGTGAGCAACAATCAATAATTATCGACTATTCTATAGAAGAAAGTGATTTAAATGATTTGTTTGCTGATCCCACAACCAACATTCGACGTTTGGCTTTACGTCACTGCTTATAAAAAGATATCGGTGTGGCGAATTTTGAAATAGGAGGGCATCCCTATTACTACCAACGAGTACAGAATTTACATGAAAATGTGGACAATCATCCAAAGGTTGTCTTTTCAACGTGGATTCAAAGAAAAATCAGAAGGAATCCACAATTTCTCCAAAGAATTCTGTGGATGGATGAATCGAAATTCACTCGCACTGGAATCACAAGCTGCAGAAACTTGCATCAATGGTCACATAAAAATCCTCATTTATAGAGGGCTTTCAGCTTTCAAGTGCAGTTCTTAGTCAATGTATGGGCAGCATTCATTGATGATCTGTCAGTTGGGCCAGTTATTTTGCCTTCAACATTAACGTCGGAAAGTTTTATACTACGCTACAATACTCCATACTTTTCCTTTGTAATACGCATTATTAATTTTAACTCTTTGGGATCTTCAATCCCTATTTCTTCTATAACTTGATTTGAACAACCAAGCTCTGGTCTTGCTATCCAGGGTCTGATCCGGGTACTGTACGCTTCAACGCAGCGCGAGCGAAACGGCGAGTCCGCGTCGCTTTGCAGCCGAATGCGTTTTCTTCTCTTTCTCTGCAGACGGCTGAGCTGTATTGTTGTCCTTTTCTTGATAACAAATGGCGAATCAATGACTAACATTCATCGTAAGCCGTGATTTTTGAGATAAAATGATTCTTATAGTTTTATGAATAAAGTGTTTCCGTGGCGTTTGTTATTTGATCTTCAACTATTTGTGTTTTTTATAAAAGCATCGAAGGCATTGTTTTATCTTTATAACACAGAATATCGTGTTTGGATGTCACATTGTGACCAAACTAAAGCTAATGAGCGTCATTCCAGAAATGGAATGACGGGCGTCAAATGGCAGTGGCAGTTAGACGAAAGGTCTATCGAGTCAGAAAAGACTATGAAGTCTTTGGTTCAATTTAAATGCTCGTTAGATTAGTTCGCGCCAAAAACTTCAAACACAAGACCTCACGTCACAGTGGCGCCGACTGGTGACATATATTTTTATAAACACCCTCAATCCTTCATTGTCGTCATGTCATGCACGTTCACTTGAGCCGCGAGTGCCGTATCTTCCCTTTTTGTTTTAATCTAAGACATAATCATGACATTTAAATATATGAGACTAAAAATAAACGAAATGTTGTGTTTCTTCTTAATATTTTGTAAATTTGCCATAACACGAGAGTTATAAATAAAACAATTTTCAGCTTAAAAAGTTATAAAATAATTTTAAACGTTACGTAAAATAAAATAAACACCTAATAAATTATCTTTTAAAAAAAAACATTAATTAGATTTTCTTTTACATACCTAATAGAAATTCTGATTAAGGGTTACTTGAGACACATCTCAATTTTTTTGAGACTGCCTCAATTTATCCTGATGAATAAAAAACGCTCCCATCTGCGAGAATTCTTAATTTTATTTTGATAACCTTTAGGCGAAAGTAGCAACTATAAATTCAACATTTCTTCTAAAAAGTGCCCTACGAAATATACTTTATAATAATGAATCAATACTGTAGAAGAACCAGAGATTTAATATACCTTTTTTAATGTCGGGTTTGTATATAAGAATTTATATTTAATTTGATTATTTTCGATTCAAAGTATCAAAATTGTTTATGCAAGCAATGAAAGTGACAGGAACGAGTACTACTATAGTCTTTTTATGGCGTTGCCACTTAATTCCTTTGCAAAGTTAGCTTTGCCAGTATTATATATATTAAACCTTATTGAAGTTATACTTCTTTAGGCGCGTTATGAAAAAATGATGAGAGTGAAATTTTAAGATGCGCGCGCATCACTGTAACACAAAATTTTAACAGCATGAAGTTGGTCGCTTTAGCTACCAACTTCATGCTGTTACTTTTGTGTTTACCGCAAATTAAGAAAATCTACCAACAAAATAGAAATAGAATCTCTATTTAGTGGGTGCTAACGACTGCATTGTGAAGGCCTACCAAAAGTATTTATTAATCTGGAACAACGGAACCAAAGCGCGATTCAGGAGACTACAGCGCCATCTCTTGACCATTGGTGTAGTAGAACCAAAAACCACTTCTTTATTTTTTGTAATAAAGTAACAGTTATAGGTATTCATATTTATAATATTTATCCACATGTTTCTAGTTTGTATATTCGGAATACGTGTTTGAGTTTCATATAAGTGCAAATCACATATGTTCTAATAAATTATATTCAGTAGCGATTTTAATTGAATATTTTGATTATTTATTTATTTTTTCAAATTAAAACTGAACTTTATTGACTGTGTCCTTTTCCAGACTTTTTATTAATTTATTGTAATTAATTATTTGCATGCAATTAAAAACTAATTTTAAACGATGCCAAAGAAGGATAACTTCTCACGCGCCTACATAAGTACACGCACCCATTTTTTTATTATATGCAGTTTTAAATATAATCAAGTCTTTTAGTTAAAACAACAATGTTTAGATCAAGAGACCTCTGTTGTGAAACATTTGTATTTATATACATGGTTAATTTTAAAACACCAACAACCTCTTAGGGGTGATTCTACCCATCAACAGGAACAACTTTTATTATGGGACAAACTCCGAAATCGCGAAAAAAAATCAGCTGCCATACATTTCGGTCGATTAGCTGATGCACTTTTGTATGAATCAGATTTTTATTTTCGTAATTTCAGCGTTGGTCCCATAGTAGAAGTTGTACATGTACATAGGTAGAATCACCCCTAAGAGGTTGCTGGTGTTATAAAATTAACCCTGTATATAAACAGACTTAGCTTACATTAGCTGCCGGACTACCTGTACCATTGATGGTACAACTGACACTGATTTATCCTATGAGTATATACTACGGGAATTAAACCCAGGAACATGGAGTAGACGATACTTTGAAAAGCGATGTTCATACCTCTCACACCACGGAGATAGTGGATTTTTATGTCGGTTTTATTGGCGAGGGATTCACATTTTATGTTTGATTATTAATCAAGAGTCGAAGCACCATTATAATTTGCAAAGATGTAAAATATTTCAATAAAAGACGAAATGTAATAAAGTTATTATTTTATTTGATAAGACATTCACAATCTGAAAACCAGAGGCAATTAATATCTGCTGTTAAGGCAATTTATGAATGCTAAAGTAAATAAATTAATTATCTATTTAAATCTTAACCAGCAAATAACATCTTTCGGCCAACAAGTCGTTATAATGTTCCGCTGTTCATCTCTGTTTTACTAGATAAAAATTAAAATTATTTTGCATATTAGTTACGTACCTCCTACAGTTAGTTACAACAGTGCAAACATTGTCAAGTCTTGTATTCATTTGTTTAACCTAAATTGTGTTCATATAAATATCACAACTACATGGAACCGTTTAACCGTCTACGAAATATCAACAATGTGTCGAGAAATTAAATACATTAACTTTTTATAATACAATTACAATATTGTTCAAATAGTTTCAGATCTAGCTTAGCATCTCGGGAACTGCATTTTTTTTGATAATACATAATAATACTAGCCAATGCGACTTTTATAACAGAATTAAACGATTAACAGTAAACCTCTTCCAATAATTTAACAGACTATTAAATGCATGTATATAGGCTTCAGGGCCCATGATGGTGATGATAAGATAATGCGATCAAGACAACACAAAGAAGCACTCGTTTCGCACCACATTGCACAATCAACCGCCTTATTATTCCTCAACACTTAAGATGGGACAGTCTATTTAAAAGAACATTCAGAATTAGAAGTAAATTCAGTCAAGAAATCACGCTCCGGAAAATTTATATGGAATGTACTTAGATATGACACAGCCATACACCAGATGGCCAATATGTTGTGATACTGATTTACATTCGTGTATATACATGTTTGGTAATAAAGGAGCTACTCATATGGTAATTTAGCCATCTTTCAATTCAGATGTAATGTTAAAATGTGAATGAAATTAACAAATAGGGAGTAGGCCTTACTGGGGGCCATTCGCGTAACGGGATTGCTATGGCTATCGCTATCGCTTACCGTTTCATTTTGTCAATTCTGACCGCCGAAGGCTCTAATACCTCACGCTCATTTTCTTAAATATTGTTATTACCAATGCAAAAGAAAAAAAAGTGCACGAGGCATATGAAAACCTTCGGCGGTCAAAAATAACAAAATGAAACTGTAAGCGATAGCGAAAGAAATCTCGTTAGGCGATTAACCCGCTGGAGCCTCTGTTATAGATATTTAAATACGACTTATTGGCTGTGAAATACTAAGCACTCGTACTGTCGATGATTGTAAGCGATATAATTTCGAGTTGATAATATACAAGAGCACTATAATACGCGTAATTTGCGCGCGCTCAATACTCGTCCTCTTCGGGCGGGTGGGGGTTGTCACCATCTATTTCCTCTGGAGGTGCAAATCCATCCTGAAAAAAATGGCGTTTTAAATATATTTTTGAAGTGAAACTTCTTTAGGCACGCTTGACTTAGGGGGTAAATTGGCGAATGTGTGACGATTTTTGCGTTACGCGCACACCGTTATGTTACGTTATGATAACGGACCTAGCGCGGATTGGTGGGTAATGACGGACCCAGTGCGGATTGGTGGGTGATAACGGACCCAACGCGGATTGGTAGGTGATAACGGACCCAGCGCGGATTGGTGAGTGATAACGGTCCCAGCGCAGATTGGTGGGTGATAACGGACCCAACGCGGGTTAGTGGATGATAAAGGACCCAGTGCGGATTGGTGGGTGATAACGTACCCAGCGCGGATTGGTGGGTGATAATGGACCCAGTGCGGATTGAAGGGTGATAATATACCCTGCGCGAATTAATGGTTTTTTATCTTCAGATTAAATTTATGATTTACAGATCATTGGAGCGAAAGAAGTTTCCGTTCAGTTGTGTGGTCATATGCACACTCGCTTTTTTTTTAATTACAAAGCATAGCAAATTCCCATAGCGTAAAGATGCATAGTCACTATTTAATGAATATATCATAGTCATGTGTAATTTGCATGTTTTTAATTGTAGCCCTGAGTAAGTGTACAATTGAACATGCCTACTAATTCGAAGGACAAGATGATAAAAAAGTCAGAACTGATAATAATGAATTTTGGTAATAGAACAGATTTAGGGTTCTAGAAACCGCAGACAATGGACTGAGCGGCCCTCAAAAAAAGAGTGAAAGTGGTGTTGGAGCCCATAGATAAGAACTATAAGTTGCACGATCGCTTTGTCTCTCTTGCACTTAGGGCAAAACACACAGAAGTCTGAGGCAGTCATTTGTATAGTTGGAATTAGTATGAAAGACTACAGACGGCGTGCACGGCGCGTTGCGGAGGCGTGCTACTAGCGGTTTATTCAGTTTTTTTTTTCTTACATAATTGTTCATCGATTTGCAATGGATTTCGGACAAATTAGACATTTTTGTAAACATTCCCTACAAAACACGAGAGCCTGCCTATCTCTCTGTCTTGTGACGCATGCGCAGTCGTCTGTCCAATAGTTTGCTCCAAGCATCACATCGAAATAGTAAGATGCTTACGGTTGCCAATGCGCATGCGCGATTAGAGAGAGAAAGCTAGTGGTCTCTCATCTTCTTTCTCTTTCCATTAGAGGAACACTTCCACTTGTAGTAGAGTCTATATATCCCCTACTCTATTCTTATATCTCTATGGTAAGAGCCCGCAACGCGACCGCCACGCCTGACACGGTTCTCGGTCGCCACCGCTCCGCCTCCGGCTTCTGCGGGACTTGGCTTTTATCGACCCACTTTTTTTCCAGTTCATTCTATCTTTTGTTTAACTTGTACTAGCGGCCGCCCGCGACTTCGTACACGTGGAGTTAGTTAGAAATAAAGGTTCACTGCTCGGTCCCCGTAGGTGATAGCGTGATAATATGTAGCCTATATGTTGACCCGACTTCTTAATAATATTCGTGCCAAATGTGAAGTTAATCCATGCAGCACTTTTTGAGTTTATTTCGGACATCAAAAAAAGTTTGGGATCACTGAAAATATAATGTTTTTGTGTTACTTTTTTGTAATTTCTTTTAATGAAAAGATTCTAAATTACAAAATTAGAATTAGATCGTAAAACAATTAAATAATTAATTTGTTTTTCCATATAAAAAGACATGCAATCCAAGCTGACACTCATTCAGAAATCTGACTTAGTCAATATTATCGAATTTAAAATATTTTTTCACCAAAAGTTGTGATTTAAAAAATGCCACGAGGATTATCAGATGTTTTACAAGCCAGAATTGTAACTTTGAGGGATGAAGGCTATCCTACGAGAGAAATAGCACAGCACGCAGAGTTGCCGTGTCCCAATTTGGTGTAGTTTCCATGTTGCAGAGGTGAAACACGGCATGGGTAATTTAGATGATCGACTCAGCACCGGTCACCCAACTGTTTTGACAGCTGCTCAGAAGCACTACATCAGGTTGCTGGTAGCCCGCGACCCAACAATAAACGCCGCTAAATTAGAAGCAGAAATACGGGCCGTTTCCGGTCTTGAAGTTAGCACTCAGACCATTCGGAATTGCTTATACAAGGCTGGGTTACGAGCACGGAGATCTTGGATAAAACCTTTGAATCCAATTGAACGTCACCGACGGCGATTACAGTGGGCTAGGCTCCGGCAAAACGAAGAGGAAAACATTTGGCAAAATTGCCTCTTCATTGCCGAATCGTGGATCAGTACTCATCCAAATAACCGACGTGTCCGTGTTTGGAGAAGACTTGGAGACTGAAAGGCAAAGAACGGCCACTGGAATGGTTCAGCAAGGCCTGAATAAAGGCTAGGCTAAAACGCCTTTAATCCCTTATCAAGTTATATGATGATCTATGATGAGCTGGAGAATAAAACGGTATAATTACGCATCTGGTCAAACTACATTTTTTTTTACAGTCCAGAAGTTTCGTACTGATTTTTAATCTCAAATAATTTTCAATCAAATCGCATAAAACAGTGTTATAATTGTTAAATTAAAAAACATACCATGAGCTCACTATAGGTAAGTGATGCAATTTTACATAGCTCCTGTAAAATTTAATTTTATGTAATTATACCGTTTTGTTTGTCAGCTCCTCAATTACTGATACAACTGTTTATATCAGGCCAGCGTCGCGTTGCCGACCCAACATGCGGTAATGATATCAACACAGCTTTAGTACTTATAGCACCCAATAATGCGGCTGTGAAGGAAGAGCATATTTTACACAAGCTTAGTTGCACTTGCAGCCAACTTTAACTTAAAGTTTAGCACCATAAAGTTTGAATTGCACTTTATGAGACCTAGTTTCGTCCCTGGTATACCTTGGGCTTTATTCTTAGCAAAATAAACAGAAATATTTGAAAATGACCGCAGTAGTTTTTAAACAACAAATCTACAGAAACTCAAATTTTCCAAGTGATTGGAGCTTGTGTCAAAGAATATTTACCTCGGTTGCATATAAAATATCGAGAATCTTCTGAACAACGGGAGCGTTTTGTTGTTCTTCCATCTCTTGGCAGATGACCTCTATATCCCGAAGCTTGCCAAAATAGAAGTCCCTTTCTTTTTCCAGGCCATCAACTGTTGCCTTTAATTCATTCACCTGTGGACATGCAGTAAAAGTTTTATAATATACAGCATATTACAGATTGTAAGACAGTATTGTTTCAAGGAAATCAAAAAGTAGCACTTTATTGTGTTGACGCATTGTCACATGCAGTGCAGGACTTAGAGAAATACCATCTTTCTAATCTAGCGAATGTTAACTTTAAAGTGAAAAATTAACTAATATACATATTTTAATTGCTTATTGCAAGCCCATTCTGTAAAATATACCTAATGTTATACCTAACATTAAATATACCTAACATTGTAATTTAATTATTTATTGCAAATTTATTGAACTTTAAAGTTAACAATCATTCGAAGAATAGAAATTGTGCCACGTGTCTAGGCCCTGTTCCCTGTTTAGCTATATAATAAATTAAATAAATTACTATATATATGAAGCAATGGATTGTTAAGCAGAGGCATCTGCTGTTTATGGTCTATGCTAGAGGAAAAAATTTATTAAACAATAAGCTTTTAATAACACCTCTGTTATAGAAATTTGATACTGCCTTCAAATATTTGTTAATATTTAATAAGTTATAATAAGTTTTTAATAATATCATACCTGGTGGTTGAGTTCATCAAGGATTTTAGAATCGCCCTTAGCACTTTGATTTAATCTCGATAGATTAACAGGCGGTGATCTAATTGTGCTGTTTGCCTTGCCAACTGTCAATATAAGTAAAAGATGAGTAATTATAATTGTAAAAGAAAAAAAATATATTTATGTTTAGCCAAACCACAATAAAAAATATAAAATAATAAACTTTATTTACATATATAGACAAAAAATAAACTTGAGAAAAAATGAAAAGCATGCTGAATAAAATACATAAGGATTGATAATTATGATAGGATTAAAGAAGTGATTTCCAGTGCCTGTGTCAAGGGGAAAAATGTAGTTATAGTATCTCATAGGACTTTTTTTAAAAAGAAATTCAATTGCAACCACAATAATGCAATGGTTCGAGTAGGAAAATATAATTACAATTATCATATCAAAAGCTAGTATTAAAAATTCTAGAACTCTACATAACAGGTCCAGTTGTACATCTTTATAATCCAGGGATCTACTGTAATACACTAAGGAGGGAGGAATTCATTAAAATATGCATGTATATAGTTATATTATTAAAAGACAAGGTATAAATGTGGAACTGTTACTATTTTATATTGTTTGTATTGATGCCTAAATATTTATGCCAATGATGCCTTTTTATAAGCATTATTATAAATAATGAAATGAAACAAAAAAAGCAACACGTAAAAATTAGAAAACAAAATAGGTACTGGTTTGGGGTCTGGCTGCGACTTTGGCGACTGGCGCTGCCACTTTCTTAGGGGCTGCGTGTCTTGGGGCAGAGGCACCCCCATGACCCATAGGAAGGCCTTCACGCTGCGCCACCGCGTCATATTCCGTGCCTCCATAGTTGGCATCAAAGAATTTCTTGAACCATTGCAAAAACTCAAAGTTATCTTGGAAACGACCCTTCACCAGTTTGTCAATGGGTACTATCTACAAAAGAAAACAAGTAGAAAGTAAAATAAAAAGAAATGGCATTTTCTACATGTGCAGGCTACCCATGTGGGAGGATTTGTATTTACCACTCTCAAAATTTTAAAATTACATTCAACCAGTGCAAATGGGAGACTATAATACAATACCAATGAAGGCTTCATAAACTGGTTTAATGTAGTTTCATTTCTGAAAGTAGTTACTTAAAGTGCAATAGTGTGGCCTGATGCATACTGCCAGAATGTTGGGTAGGTACAGGTCGTCTCACTCGGAGTGGTGCAGCGACAGTACCAGCACACAACGGAACCCCTGAATCGCATGCCCCTGAACCAATTGTGAAGCCACCACGAGCTTCAAAGGCATCGTATTCTCGACCATCATAGTTAGCATCAAAAAACTTTTTAAACCACTGTAAAAACTCAAAATTATCTTGAAATCTCCCCTTTATGAGTTTATCCACAGGTATGACCTAAAACATATCAGTATTTTTAATAGTTTTTACCTATTCTTGTGTCTCCAATACAATTTTTATTAGGTACTGACACAGGTCACTAGTAGATTCTGTGGCCTGTTACTATACACTGGTAAATTGTATTCAAATGCATTGGTAGCTTAAATCTGATTAGTTTATCTTGTGTACATCTTAAATAAATTTGAACGATGGTATATTCTACAGTTGAAACTTATCTAAAACCATATCAGTATACCTTGGAAATAAATTAATTACATACTGGAATTTATGGTTTTCTATGTGGAATATGAACAATCATTATTTAACAAATGATACTTACTGAATAAAGATTTAGGTAGATACAACATTGAGAATGTAAGCGAACAACTTAGAAGTATTAATCTCTTGTAGATCAATTAAAATTAAATTAATGATAACAATAAAAAATTACCTTATCAACACTCATTTTTTTGAATGCAGCCTGTAATATTTTGAAATTTTGTATATATTCATGTTCTAAATTTGTCTTAAATTTGATGCGTTTCATGGGAACACTGCCTGGGAAGAGCATGTCCATAAACTGACAGTATGCGGCGCCGGTACACAACTCCTCAATTTTACCAAAATTCGACTGAAGGCAATCGTTCACCCACGCCAACATATCGTGCCGCGATAGATTCTCCGAAGTAACATTAGTTGAATATACATTCACCGCCATCTCGATAGTCCAATAACTACTCCTAAAAAATAAAACGAGACAGTCATACACTGGAATGTTAAACCGGCTAATATGAGACAGCAATGTGGCTTGACTTAAAAAGAAAGCCAATCTAAAAATAGGTCGTCCTGCGTCCGCACTGTAACATGATGATTTCAAAATATCCCACGAGAATAAGTGCATTTAAATCTAAAGAATATTGTACCTGCTACGATTTTTTTAATTCCCAGTAGCTGCCGTACGTTTGCAAAAAAATAACAGTAAACGCTCAAACGGCGGATGTGGAAACGATGACAGATAAGAATAGGTAAGCGACTCATCGTTAGTTTTTGAAGGATGGTGTCGGCATTCAGCATACCTTTTACTCATGGTTAAAAATGTTCTTACCTTTATTTTATTAGCACTAATAGTTTAATCCGTCAATTCCGCTCCAGCGAATGGAGCAAAGCAGTCAAAAAAGTTGATTTTTTGTCCAAAATGCTCGCCTTTTCCTTTTCGCCTTTTAGCACCACCACAGATTACAGAACACACACAGATTATGTAAGATCGTGTAAATCAAAGACAACTTCGATTAATAGAAACAGGTCTGATCAGATCCCTGAACCCGATGAGAGGCAGTGCACGAAGGCTAATTGTCACTGTCTCACAGGGTGACCATATTTTCAAATATTTCTGTAATTATCTGTGGTTGTGGTTGGTTTCTCCATAGTGTTTTTTTGTTAATCTGTGTTTTACAATAATCCTCAAGAAATTGGAAATATTTAATATGAATCTAATAGAGTTGAAGACGTGGCATAAAGGACTTGTATTCAAGCCATAAATATAGGAAAAAAATAATAGTAGTCTGAACAATGTTGATCAAGACCTCGATTTTTCAAGTGTGGTGGGAATCATGTAGGTGATTCTTGTGATACAGAGGAATGTGATGCTTTCTGTTGTTCATGTGAAGGTACTCATTTTGCTACAAATAAATCTTGTGCAGAAAATCATCTTATCATCCGCCAAAAATAAATTAAAGTCTACATAGCTCATACCTGTCTTTCGTATGCGGAAGCCTCCAAGTCTTACACTAGAATAACAAAATTATATTCCAATGTTACCTACAACAATTTTGCCAAATCCTCTACTCTCAAAACTATTCCATCCAACATTGAATATACAAATATATACAAATTACATACGACCAATATACAAATATTGACAAATATACAATTCTGATCACTTTTTAGACTATTTTTACTTTATTATTTATAAATTAAATCACCAAAGCCAAAAAACGCGCCCGCCAAGTTCTTCTTTTTCTTTTTTATGGCATGCACGGTTTGTGTGTTCAGCCAATGTAAAGTAAAATAATCCCCCCTCATATATTGCGATTCTAATAAGAATAAGAAAGCCAATGACCTCCATCTGTCAAATATTGCTTCAAAAGTACGGTTTGCAAAAAAATCTCGGAACACTTTTTTAGCACTCGACTAATTCTAGAATAAAAACCAAACATTTTTAAACAAACAATAACAAATGATGATACTTTAATATTACTTGTTTTTTTTTCATTTACTTAGCTTTGGCTATGAATGGTTGATAACCTAAATCGTCAACCAAATGTCACTTTATGTTGCGTTCAAAAACTCGATTTATAACTTTCGTTTACATATAGAATGTATGTTCGTATGTGACCTGCATGATCATTCATAACTTCTCCGGCGGTAATGCAGAGATGAGCGAAATTGAAAAGCTAGATTTTGATTAATATTTTTTTTCACACAGTCTTAATAAAAAAAATACTATTAAAAATCGGTTGTGTTCTTTCTCAAGCTTAGTAATTTAATTTAATTAAAAAATCAGATGTTTTGTCTCACTTAATCTTATTAAATAAGTTTTATTAAATAGCAAAATTTTTTTGCTCACTCTACCTATTTGGTTTGAATTGACAGCTATGGCGTCAAAATAGGGCGCCCAGTCGGTCCTATTCATAGTTGAATCGCATTACAAGTTCCTTGCCCCCCTCCATGTCATAGACATTTTTTGAAGTTATACTTCTTTAGCCGCGTTATGAAAAAATTATGAGAGTGAAATTTTAAGATGCGCGCGCATCACTGTAACACAAAAGTAACATAATGAAGTTAGCCGCGGGCGCGTTATGAAAAAATGATGAGAGTGAAATTTTAAGATGCGCGCGCAACACTGTAACAGAAAAGTAACACCATGAAGTCGGCCGCTAAACCGCACATTACTCGTAAGTCTCGAAAAAAAGCTTCCAACAAAATAGTAATAGGATCTCTTAGTCGCACATGTTGGGACGCTCGTCGCCTCTGATCACTGTTTTCATATTTATAATATTTATTATTTAATAAAACTGTAAGAATGTGCGGGAGGGCGAAGGGGGAGTGTGAGAAGACTGACGTCAAATAAAGATAGGCGTAGGTAGAAAATACTTATATTGTGATTACTATTCAATATTTGTAGGAGAAATGGTATTACTGTATCCCACAAGGGTGGAAGTACATGTATACTATTATCAAGACACTAAGACGTCCCACGAACCTCACCTACGAAGCGATGACTTGGTTCATTTCCCAAGAACACCTTATACAAGTGGTGTCAGTATAGTATAGCACGATTCACATGCGTATAGCGCCATCTAGTAGCGGTCGGCGTGATGATATTTGATCCTATGATGTGTCATATACAATCGGTGTCGGTATAGGATAGCGCGATTCACATGCGTACAGCGCCATCTAGTAACGGGCGGCGTGATGATATTTAATACTATGGTGTTACAAAAATAATGGTGGATTATTAACCACTTAGTGGTTAATAATCCACCATTATTAGACATCTGTTCGAAAGGTACTTTGAACGATCCACGGAGCTCCTTAAGATGATCGCGTTGTCAAAAACAATGTTGGCACGCTCGTCGCCTCTGATCACTGTTTTCATATTTATAATATTTATCCACATGTTTCTAGTTTCTATATAGACACAACGTGTTTTAGTTACTTACAAGTGCTAATTACATATGGACTAATAACTTAAATTCAGTAGTAATTTTAATTGAATATTTTGAATATTTATTTAATTTTTCAAATTAAAACTGAACTTAATTGACTGTGTTAACTATCCTTTTCCAGTCCTTTTATTATTTTATTGTAATTATTAATTATTTGCATGCAATTAAAAAATATTTTTAATGATGCTAAAGAAGTATAACTTCTCACGCGCGTACATAAGTTACACGCATCCATTTTTTTTTGTTCAGGGAAGGCAAGGGGAACTAAGCCCAATATGTCATAGCAAAGTCTATGCCCCCATGTTTATGCAGTGTGACCAGATTCAGTATTTTACCACATTTTCGGTATATTTTGTCGACTTTTCAGGGGGTCAGTATTTTTATAGGTATATTGACAGAGGTTATTACTGGTTATTTTTTGGTTAAAAGGTATGACAGCCCCGTAGCGATCATCCCACAAACAGTAATTTCGGTTGATTTTCCGGATTAAGACAGATCATGTGCTATCTGTCTTTTTTAACAGGCAAATTTTTAAAGAGCTAAGGCAATTTAAGTAAAATGATTTGTTGTTCTGCAGTGCTGTTGGTTTAATAAATAAATAAAACTAGTATTTACGGGTTAATGCACGAAATTTTATTTATTTATTGACGTTTTGTAGTTCTTTCTGTTGGCTTAATCTTTTAAGAAATTCAGGAATTGTTCCATGGTAGTACATTTTTAGCCGTCATATAAATAAAGCGCGTGCTTTTCTTTGACTTAAATTAATAATACTATATTATTATTTAACTAACGGGCTTCGTCTTCGTCCGCGTTTTTGAAAATTCCACAGGAACTTAACATTTTCCCGACATAATAGGTATCCTATGCCTCAATCCAAGTCAAAATCTATATGCATACCAAAGTTCATCCAAAACCGTTCAGTAGTTTTTCGTGATTGAGTAACAAATATACAAACTTTCATATTTATGATATTTGGTAGGATATTAAGTGTATTATATGGTTCAATAGAACAATATGACTAGTTTCAGTAAATCTCTGTTAAAATGTATACCAGTATCGAATATTGCGGGCCCATATTTTCATAGATAAATTTAATAAAAAAAAGTACAAAGACAGATTTATAAACAAAAATGTATAGATGAATGAATAAAACCCTTATTTGAAAATCAGTATATTTATTTGTATAATTTATCTCTCTGCAAGACGGGATATTTCAGTATTTTTTCTTAAGGCCCTTCGGTATTTTCGTAAAATTTATTCGGTCACAATGTGTCTATGAATCCCACGGTTGCCAACCGTATGAGATTTCTCGTACAAATACGAGATTTTTGGTCTACCGTACGAGGTACGAGGACACTTCACATCTCGTACAATTTTGTACAAGATTTCGAGATTTGTCTGAGAAATTGATATCATGATATTTCATTCGCAACCTGCTTTCTTATAAGAAAGATTTTAGTGCCGTTAGATGGCGCTTTTTTCATCTTGTAGTAGTGCTAAAAATAATCCCTTGATGGCGTTGTAATTTACGAGAAAAGTGAGCTCTCCAAATTGTACTTAATGTGAGATGGTCGAGGGTGTGTAGCATGTGATGGTTGTAGTGGAAAGATACCACCTTTTTAACTAATTCACGGAGCTGACAGTACTGGATGTTGCTTTATATAAAATGTTGCTTTATAAAATACTGGTTTCGATTCTGGCATGACTCTCTAAACTAAAAATTAAATTTAACATCAGTCTCTCCATGTCATTCTGTACAGTGTATGACAAGGATACACTGTTGTCAAGTTTAGGTTTAGAGAATCATGCCAGAATCGATACCATTATCTAGTCTCCTTTATAAAACAAGTAAGGTTTTGTATATAATCATATCAATCTGTTTAAGAAGATGATAGAATGTTAGAACGATATGGATGACATGGTCTATAAAAGACAAAAATCTTTAAATTAAAGAACTAAAAAAAAGAATGTACGAGGTTCGAAAGCTAAAATATGAGATTTTTACACAGACATATTTTTTAGCTGCTTAAGTACGAGGAAAAAAAATCTAAGGTTGGCAACCCTGATGAATCTGTGTATTCATAACCCACAATGTATTCGACTGAAGGACTCTGTATCCAGGTCATGAATAAATTAAAAAAAAATGTGTATTCATAAAATATGCTTTTGTTTAGTTTTTGTATCAGCTGTTTATGTTCTCTTTCTTTGGTCTGTGGCTGTTTACGAATTTTAAAAAATCCAATCTTATATCATCTTCTAGGATATAAAATTAATTTTAAGAAAGAATTCAACTTTGGGTTGATCGCTGGGTATCGTTTGAAGAGACAAGTAAAAATCACTGTAGAAAAAATACTAACAAAAACTTAAATCAAAAGGTTTTTGCGACTTGCGGCAGTAAAAAAAAACTTAAATACAAAGAAAACATTTACATTTCAGTGGTAAAATTGTTACAACAAGCTAAACTACTCGAGTCTGGTGAAATCCAACAGTGATCCGTCAATTTGCAAAAAAAATAAAGAAGCAATGGCTCAAGATGACGATCGGGTTACGCAAAGTAATAGTAATATCAATACGATTAGTGAACTACCTGGAAGACCTTTTTCTCTAACAATGGAAGTACCTTTATTCTTAACCATGTTGGGACTATCTCTATCTGGTGAGTAACAATTATAGTTAAGAGTTATTAAGAGAGAGAGAAGAAATGCATACAGAATTTCCCACTTCAAATTGGAGATCACAGAGAAACAGGGAGTAGTATCTGCAGCTAATGGTTGCTGCTACTTCTCAGATGGCAGCTAGACTTTCAGTTTATAGTGTGGTTCGTCAGTAATTACCAAATAATGGTATTTACTGACAGTATGTGGTGTGTTTGACCACTAGTGTATTAATGAATGTCAGGATTTATCACTGATTTCTAAATTTCTGAATTCCGGAATGACACCTTTTTGTTAAATACTGACATTTGTCAGTACACTACACTAGACAATCATTATGTACCATGGTGTGTCAGTATGCATCGCGACAGCAATGGATGAGGATTTGATGTTTGTTGAGATTGCTGAGGGCACCCCCCACTGCTGGATCTGGCTCCGAGCTTGTCCCGGATCTGGAGAGGAGCTCGTCCTGGCCCATTACAAACGATCAGATTATTTTAATCATGGTCTTAATCTCTCATCAGTAAATTTAAATGAGTATATCTTTATCTCTGTTGTAGCCAATGTTTCGTTTTCTTTTCATTCTCTTTTTTACAACCAATGGCTAAGATAATAGCCACACAAGTTTTCCCTGTATCCCTCCCTGTAAAAAGATGGGAAGACAATCTACCCAAGAGTTAGCGACAAGCAGCCACAGATATGAACCAATGGGCCAATTTGGAGGAGGCCTATGTCCAAGGACAACCTGATTGTACACGTGCCAATGTCAGCAATTAAACTAAAAGTTTTAAATTTAAGTTACTTTAACATGTACAACAGAGAATAAAGGCTATTTTTATTTATGTGCTATTCACACAGGCTCTTCCTACTTTTTTTATCTATCTCATGGTGGCTGTTTTCAATCAAGTCAAGCTGGTTAACCTTTTTATGAAAAAGAATGTGGGAAAGTCAGTTGAGATCTGACTCTGCAGCAAAAACAATATTTATTAGTTTTGATTCAAAACTTGTTTAATTAAAACTACAAATATATTGGGAGAGGGTATTTTGGATGCAAAATAGTTTCAACATAATAATCACTAGTCAATTTGTTTTCAGGTACTGCAATAAGCAACATCCTACTTTATAGGACATGTATCCATTCTCTTAATCACACAACTGATGAATGCCACATATTCCTTGCTCCAATGAAGAACAACGAGACCCATGCCCTTGAAGAGGAAGTCCAAAAATATGTTGCTTTTGTACAGATGGTCAAACTTGTTATTGAGTCTGTGGGACCCGCAATACTCTCTATGTTTTTGGGAGTTTGGTCAGACACTCATGGAAGAAAGCCATTAGTGGTTTGGCCTATATTTGGTAAGTTCTTTAATTTTATCTTAGGCACATAAAAAAAGCTTTGGACTGGATTCTGGATATATTAATGTTTCATTTAAAGTGTTTTAAAAAAAAATTTAAACTTTCATTTAAAGTGTTTTAAAAAATTAGTTGTCATTGACATTTTATTGAGTTAACATTGTCTTTAAACATAACGCACATTTCAATTTTTTACTTTTATTAAGCTATTATTAATTTTTCAAAACAATTCGAATTCAGTATAAAATATTTAATTTTGATTTTGGAGTTGAATTTTAACACAGGTGTTGTCTTTAAGGCAGACCTAGTCATGAAGGACTTTTATGTGTTTACATTTATGTAGGTTTCACTTTTATCACATGTGAACAGCCCATGTCCGTTTTTTTTTGTTGTTTACATCCTCTTGATAAATTATGAACATATTCAACATGGAAAAATAGTAAAAAGGGTTTTAAAAAAATGAAAAACTTGCATGGGCACTTTAAATGTTTACAATTGTGGAACACTAGGTGTGACTTCGTAATTTATAACAAATATGTCCACAGTTACTAGGTTACATAAGAGGTGAGGTGTCCACCACTACCAACTCGGGCTAGGGCTTGTTAATATTGACATATCCTGTGAACATGGTGTTTGATTGTTGATTTGTTGTTATTTTCTACATCACAACTGCTCTGTTCCCACAAGCTTTTCGCAGTTTTCTATTATTAATTTCTTACTCAAAAATAAATTTTATTCAAAGGTAGTTGAGTTTATATATAAAATAATTGAGCCTTGTTTGTATTAAACATACAATAATACCTATTGGTTATAATTATTGGAATGTCATCCATTGTGGACACATGGCTTCAAGTGGCTTCAGTAAGTTTAATTAAGAAACTACTAATTTATTACTTCCGTAAGGATGTTTGGTGCTATATAATTGAGCATGTCATCATCATCATCATCACCATGTTAATGTCCCCACTATAGGGTCATAGGCCTTCCCTGTCGATGGAATAGGGAGATTGGGCTATGACCCACCAAGTGGCTCCAGTGAGGATTGGTGGGTGCTAACGACTGCAGTAGCAGCCGAGACCAACAGCTTAACGTGCCTTCCGAAGCACGGAGAAGCTCGAGATACTAAATTTTTGGTGACCCATCTAATGACCGACCACTGCGAAAGTTGCTTAACTTCAACGATCGCAGCCGAATGAGCTAAGCTTACCACTTGCGCCATCGAACACCTCGCAATATGAGCAAGTATTTTGAACCATTCAGTGTTTTCCACAGTGGTGGTATGTCGATTAATTTAACTAACAACAAATAATATGTATGCATGGACGTAGGACATAATATATATTTTTAACAGTTTCAAGCAAGTCGATCATTACTATCTACGATAACGTCGCGGCACTGTGTCAAGTCAAACTAACAAAACTGACGAGTGTGTGCCATGTGTAATATTACACAAACCATTTAGAGCCACTTTTCACCCCCTCATAACCTAAAAACTATTCACATAAAAATTACAAATTTGGCTCATATACTTGAGACTTGAAAGATATATATGTGCTCTAAAGTTCATAAACAAGCCGGAAATGGTTATTTAGATATTAACGTCCAAAAATAACGTCTTTTTTATTTATTACTGACTGTCCTATAGATCAAAACTCTTACCCAATATATATGTGTTCTAAAGTTCATAAACACGCCGGAAATGGTTATTTAGATATTAACGTCCAAAAATAACGTCTTTTTTATTTATTACTGACTGTCCTATAGATCAACACTCTAATCCATCTAGATGACTTAGAAAGTTAAAATTTGGCATCCAGATAGGTAGTTGGGTGAATACTAAGAAATAAATCAGAAACTAGTAAATTCTTGTTATTTTATTATATTTTTTTCAAATATCAATCTATTAGGAAGACTTACTTAATTTAGATTCTTAGAACCTCTAATCAAAACCGCGAAACCAGGGGGGGGGGGGGGGCAATTGTTGGTTTGCATGGAGAAGGAATGACTTTTTATGATAAACTCCGTCTTTAAGAAGCCGCCAAACAGGAAGTAGACGTGGCTGAACCCGAATGATTCGACGAGTATTTCCAATCAGAGATTGACTGCACCATGTCGACAAAATGGCACATATTTAACGTGATTGTTAATCACGGATGAAAACCGGTAGCGATCACCGAATAGTAAGAAGCACATTGAATATCAATGTTAAGTTTGAATTGCATCCTCTCCTTCTTGCGCACATATCCGAAACTCAGAAAATTTCCATCTTCAACTACAAAATCGCTTTGCTTGTCTGGAAGATTGCGTATCTGTGGACGATATAAACAGATTGGTGGAAACTGTCCACAAAATGGTATCCAAGTTCTGTAAGAACTAAAGGGCACAAGAGGTTCTCTGACCACACTCTCGAACTCATGAGAGAAAGGCAAAATATGGGACTACAGGCTTCAGCGGATGCGGTAGCATACCGGCAAATTAATAGGCAGATCTTGAAGCGACAGTCACGCGCCCTTAGGTTCTTAAATACTAAAAGGATTAAGGATACCATAAAAAACAAAGGCATAAAAGCGTTCTTGAGAGATCTGCTATCAGACAAAGTCAGCTGATTAAAACGGTAGTCTCATCATCTCGAAGCCTTTTTTTTCGATGACGAGGAGTATCGCCCGAGAACATATGATCCGGCGTGCTGCATTCGGCCGGTGGAAAGCATGGTGCTGCCCTGCTTTGTAGTGCTGCAGACCGCTGAAAAGGCAACCGTTCAGCAGCCAATTCCACGTCCTCCGGCACGATCCTGGGCTTCTCTAGTCAACGCGCCAATCGGCTAACCACCTGGTGCCGCAACTGAGGTCCATGGTGGATAGTCGTCCGTGCTTCGTCTCCCATACCTACCAGGTTAAACAACTCGCCGATATAACCCGCGCTGATTGAACATGACTAGTGGACCCCGGATTGGGAGTCGCCGCGCGATCATCTCGAAGCCTGAGATTTTAAGGGAAGTCGAGAACTTCTATGGTCAAATGTACACCTCAACGCAGAGAGCTTTTCCTGATTTAGCTTAAGATCCCTGTGCCATATTAACCCGACATTATACCGAAGATATCTCTGGCGTCAGCCTATACGAGATAAGTATGGCTATCAAACGGCTACAAAAACAACAAGGCGCTAGAAGATGACGGAATCACAGCAGAACTGCTGCAAGCAGTGAGGTGACCCGTCTGTTCGTATGCCCCCTATAAAATAAAAAAAAAGCAGGCGGAACCAGTACGTAAAATCTTTAAGCGATTGTTCAATTGCGTTATCCACGAAGGCATAATGCCAGGGCATGGTACAGGAGCGTGGTGGTACTGTTGTTCAAAAAAGGTGATTACACCCTATTTAAGAACTTGTGGTGTGTCTTTCTGCCACTCCAAATTTACTTTTTAGCTAGAAATAAGTTAGTTTAACGTTATGCATAATAAAACTATTTTTGCCTCTAAACTTTTTCAAATACATTGTTTATGATACTTTATGGTAAAATTTACTCGCCGCTACACGGCGCTTATAATTTCTTATTGTTAAAATTATTGATTTTCATTTTGACGATTCACGTCACTTCCGCGTCATAACTTTTTCTTCATCATGTAAATAGTTTTAATTATTTTGAAATTTTCATCTCTTTTAATTTACCTGACTAGGTATTCAGGTCATAAATTCTGTCACATGTTTAATATAATATAATTGAAACAAGTTTATTCATTATGTAACCATTTATATACCAAAATGAACTTAACAAAACTATAAATATTCTTATGACAATAAAGTTTATTCAAAATGACCTCCGTGATTTTGAATACAGGCCTTCAATCTGCGCGGCCAGTCGTCTATCGCAGCACGAACGAGGTCCATGTCAATATCGGCGGCTGCACTAATCAAGGATGTCTTGAGTGACTCCAAATTGGGATGAAGCTTTGAGCACGCCTTTTCCTCCAAGTGTTGCTATATCTTGTAATCTAACGGACTCAAATCTGGACTGGAGGAGGGCCAGTCTTCGTGCCGGATGAAGTCGTTTTCACGCGCCGAAAGCCAGTCTTGTGTGCTCTTCGCTCTATGAGCTGGCGCCGAATCTTGTTGGACTACCCAGTGCCTGTTATTGAACATGGTATGAGAAACAGGTTCCACAAGGTTCGTCAGGCAGGGCTATATTTTGATACACAACTGCATTAGTTTTTACACCTTTCTCACAAAAATGTACCTCTGTTGAGCCCCAATAAGAAACTCCCAACAATACCATGAGCGAGGATGGAAAATGACCTCGTTGGACACGCGGAATACGGTTGCTCGCTTCTTCACTACTGTTTGCGTGCACCTTATCATTTTGTTTGTTGTAGCTCTCTGCTACGGTAAAAATTTTTTCATCCGAAAAAATATTTTTTTCCCGCGTATCGCTTCAACAAAGCGCGGCATCTCTTCAGTCTCAGGTCCATTAGACGAGCATTAAAACGATGTCCTGTTTTTCTTCAATATGCGCGAAGCCCTAAGTCTTCATTTAACACCCTTTTCACCGTGGTTCTGCTTAACCCCATCTGAAGAGCCAACAGTTTCTGCTTACGTTTGGGATTTCTTTGAATTCGCGCCTTCACAGCTTTTATCACTGCTGGAGTCCTAACAGACCGAGGGCGACCACTTCTTGACCTGTCATCTACACTAGAGTCTTCATTGTATCGTTTGATGATACGATAAACGAATCTTTTGATTATATTCAAAATTTTCAGTATGTCAAAAATTTTAATTGGCGCGTAACCGCAATGATGCAGCGCAATAACTGCAACACGGTCTTCTTTAAGATGGACGCTTAAATACGCTCCATATTTAAAAATGAGTAAAATTCTAACAAGTATACATTTTTATTTTCATGAACAATTCGAAATTCGAATTCAATAAACTTTTTGGTGGCCAGCATTCTAAAAGAAAAGTTTTTACTGTGTTACAATACTTATGACCTGACTGTGTCTGCCGAGAGAGACCATTAACGTCTTCTTCAAAATTAAAAAATGTTTCTTTTGTTTTTTCTCGTTCTAATAATTTATTTTTCTTAAATAAAACTAGTTTTTACGGGTTAATGCACGAAAACTTTATTTATTTATTGACGTTTCGCAGCCTTTTCAGGTCTGCATCGTCAGAATAATGAATATCAAAATTGAATAACAGGCATCTTCTTTCGAATATCAAAATTGAATAACAGGCATAGCGGTATAAAAGCTGCTTACGCCTGGCATCGTGATCCATACATCGAATTTCACTCGCAAACTACACACTGTAGTTCTGGCCGTTCCCGGGCCTTTGGCTTATCTTCGGCGTTAGAGCTAGAGTAACCGCCATAGCTAAACGGATCGCCATGCTCTAGTAGCAATGTGGGGCACATTGTTCGGCGAACAGACGGACGTTGGAGGCCCAAGGTGCTTCAATGGTGACCTCGCACCGTGAAGCGCAGTGTCGGTAGACCCCTCACCAGGTGTTCTGGCAACATCAAGCGGGGGAGCCACTGGATGAGGAAAGCGCAGGATCGTTGTGTTTGGAAATCCCTAGAGTCCATAGGAGGCCTTCGACTTCCATCGGCTGATTATGATGATGATGAGTATGACATTGAGTATGTAAATTACTAAATAAATAAGCAATGTTGACTATCGATAAAAAAGTCGATAAATTTTTCTGTCACCTCCCTAAATTTTAAAATGCATCGCTTTATTTCGGGCGGAGTTAATAAACAAAACGACACACTCGGACTGCAGTAAAAATAGTCTCATCGCGCTGTTCTTTCTTAATTTATTCCTGTGGTTAGCTCGATCTACCTGCGAGACGACTGTCAACACCTTCGTGACTCGTAAAATTTATTTATTTGCTTCGAACGTTAAAACATCGACTTATAATAAGACTAATAAAAAAATCAACCATTTCAAGACGGTCGGCAGAGCTCTCCAATTGTTTTTCTTTTATTGTCATGACCCCCATGACCCCCCCTGGGTATAATATCACAATTCGTTTGAGTTTAAATAGCAGTACCCTTAGCACGAACCAATATCGAATTCGTATCGTTGCGAGTCCGAAATGTCATTGTCAAATGTGTACTGATTATTAGTTCTAGTTACGTACTTTGTGCCGCTGCTGTTCAAGTTTCCATACAAAACTTGACAATGACATTTCGGTTTGCAAACTATTCGAATTCGTTTATAGTTCGTGCTAGGAGTACAGTATAAATCTTGCTTTCAGACTTATCTTATTTTAAAAAACAAATTTGGTCAGATCTTTACAGAATCAACAAAAGAAGAAAGATTTTACTATATATCGCAAAAATAAAACTATATGGTTAATTTTTATTTAAAATTGGGTAAAATTATTAAAGTTTGAATTTTTTCTACGCAAGCGATGCCGCGATGTCGCGGATACTCAGTACTTATGAAGTAATTTGTTTAGCGCTCTTTGTATTCGTCTTATTTTTTTTATAGAAGACAACGTGTTTTTACACCCATGATGTACGCACACTTTACTTTTGACCAAACTTTGATTTGCATTATTAAGATCACTCCATGCGTAGAAATTCCCATTTTTCAAAAAAAAACGGCCCAGTGCGAGTCGTACTTGCGCACCGAGGGTTCTGTACAAACTCAATTTAAAACCTCTACGCGTTCATGAGAAAAGAGGTAGTAACTTTAAAATTTTCAGAAATATTTTTTATTATATGATGTACCTAAAAATTTACGGTTTTCGCAATTTTTCCTTTATCTGTACTATAAAACGTTACTTCGTACCAAATTTCAAGATTCTAAGTTCACGGGAAGTACCCTATAGGTTTTAATTCCCGTGCGAGTTTCGAAAATTTGTGGAAATTTGCGGCAGAAACGGCTGTATCTTTTGATTGCTTTGGCTTAGAAGTTTAGTTAAGTTTAGATTTTTTTGAAGCTCCAAGGGACAGTAGACATGAGTATTAGATATGAATTCAGTTTGATACCTCCACGCGTTCCTTAGAAAAACGGTCTTGACAGACGGACGGACGGACAACAAAGTGATCCTATAAGGGTTCCGTTTTTACCTTTTGAGGTACGGAACCCAAAAATTAACAAAATTGTGGACTTGTACATTTATTGAATCAGTGAATAACAAAATTATGACTAACCAAAACCATCTATATCTTATCATAAACAGTGCGTCATCTACTTAGCTTGTTTATATTTTCACCGGTGACTCATTTCATTATTTTTTCTTTTAAGGCTCCTTAAAATAGCAAATTATACCTTTTTTATTTTGGGTGGCTTGTAACATCATTGTTATTAACACTTCTAGTAAAGAAACAAGATATATCTCGTGGTTTCTAGGTATCACAATGACCGCCGTGTTGACTGTCATCTACAGTATGTTGGACAACTTCGGACCGTGGTGGTTTCTTCTCACCGTCATTCCCTTCTCCTTTACCGGTGGATTCAGTGTTCTATTCACTGGGGCCTTTTGTTACTTGAGCGATGTCACTACAACCGACAATCGATCTCTTAGGTAACCTAACACCAGGATTGTTTTACGTTTGTGATGCGTTGCTAGATTGCTATGAAAGCTTGATGTTTTTATTCGTACGAAAGAGAATAGGATACATTGATAACCCAGATTAGCAGCTGATTATGCGGAAGTGCAGAGTGAATTAACATTATGCACGTGAACGATATGTTACGCAACTAATAGATAATAGGACATCTGACACTCTAAAATCAACTCGTCTGCGTTTGTGTTTTGTCCATTACAACATAATTGATGAGGATTTTTTTTTTGATAAACTTAAGTTTCTGCAATTCTAATATCTATAACATCAAGAATATAAAAAACCCTTTATTAATTTTGACCTTAAGTCATCCGGTTTTAGTCCCGCATGTGTGTCGTCTATTGTTTCTAGCTTAGCTTTATGATAACCACGCTTTAAATGCAGCCGTGTAGTTCAAAGCACATTACAGGTAGCATAACTCTTTGGATGTTTTTAGAATGACCTTGCTCGAAGCTGCCGTGTCTGCGGGAAGTGTGACTGGCGCCCTGTTAAGCTCTTACTTGCTAAAAGCAGTGGGTAATGTCTACTTGCTGCTCATAGTATCTACGCTGTATGTGATCGCTTACGTCTTTACCAATGTGTATTTGAGAGAATCATTGACTGGCGCAGTACAGGTATGTACTTGCTTAACAACAATCACATTTTTATTTGCCATACATTTCAATTAAATCATACTAAAGAATCAGACATTATAATAACGATCGGTCTTCGCTGCAGTAGTTCTTGCTGTGTTGTCATAGCTTAGGAAGCTAATATTGCATTCTAGAAAAATACCCTTCGTTACTTGACTCTCTCAAAAATGTTTAACACTTATCAAAGTAATGTGTTCTCTCACTCTATTGCTATCGCAAAGAAAGTGATTTCATCAATCTTTAAAATTAATTGACGTTCTGAGTGGTGCCTTAAGTATGTATAAGTTGATTTTATGTAAAATTTGCTAGATCTTCTAAAAACATCGGTCAAAGCATAGCACAATCAAAATTTTATTGCTAACATAGTAAATATAGGTATATATATTAAACTTGCTATCAATTATTGAACTGATAAATAGATAGATACAATACTTACATCTAACTTGTCATTTACGATATAAATAAAAGCAAACAATCATAAAGTATAATACTTACCTATTTACAACCCATGCTTTAAAACCTCTTTAAAATATTCTGAATCTGTTAGCTTATTGCCAATATTAAAATATCCTATGTTCTAATAACCATAATATCCAAACGGAATATACAATGTTGTACTAAATTTCATAATAACACTTCTTCGCTTTTCGATTTCTACCGCGCAAAGGAATCTTTTACTCATCAAACATCCACAATTTTTACGGCTGGGCGCGTAGGATATGTATGAATGTCACAAAAAGAACATTGTCATCCCCGCCCGTTTTATTATCACAGGGCCGAAACTTTTCATTAATTTTAAGTTCTTAGAAGAATCGTTTATAGTGGATTCATGTGCTGGGTGGGAGATAAAGTCTTGTATGCCACTGTTTATATGAGGTATTAAAACCAACGATATTAAATACCTTAGATACAACAACACGAACAAAATCGTGGCCGAAACCTGACCAAAAGTTACATTGGATGATCCACGGAGCTTCGTAAGATGATGGCGTTGTCAAAAACAATATAAGGCATTATTTAAACATTGAATGCATACTGTATAAGGTCTTAATTAAAATGCTTGCGTCCAACAGTTAGCGGGAACGCGGAGCAGACGCCCGCTCCGTGCTCCCGCTTAACGCAGCGTAGGACGTAATTAATATAATGCATATACATAATTATAAGAGTGTTTCACCAGAAAGGTTAACCACAGTTTAATTAATAAATACAAAATAAATAATCTGGTATTATAGAAATTAATGATTTAAAAGGAAGTAACGATTGAAGCCTAAATAATTAGCTTTTCACTTGCATGGCTGTCATAAAATTAAATATATTTTTATTTTCTGATCACCGAACCAAAAGTGATATGTACCTTCTTTTTGCTGCACCAATGTGAACTTTCAATTATTATTTTAATTTATATCATTGAAAGTACCTTCTAAACATCTGCTTCTACTTTCAGGGTGGCATATGCACAGTCTTAGATATTTTGTTGGTGAAGGAAATGTTCAGGGAATGTTTCAAGAGACGGCCAAACAATTTGAGGGCACAACTGCTTCTTCTCGCGATAGCCAACAGCCTCTCTATATTTATACTCTACGGCGTCTTTGATTTAGAATATTTGTACACAAGGGAGAAGTTGAATTGGGCATTGAAAGACTTTACCACGTACTCTGCAATCAGCACCACCATATCATTCGTAGGATCCTTCATAGGCGTTGGAATAATACAGAAAATTTTGCCAATCAGTGATTTAGCATTCTCAATGCTGGCATTTTTGACTACTGCTGGACAATACATGGTTAAAGCATTTGCTGTTGTGACTTGGCAAATGTACCTTGGTGAGTTAGAATTCTATACTCTATCGATCTGGCAATAATACAGAAAAAGATAAATTTAGTGTACTTAGTGGAACATAATCCAAGGGATAGGGATAGTGATATTTTTAGTATCGCGAGCGTTTATACAACTTTAATATAAATCTGTCTTTTAATTTAACATATCTATACTTATAATAAATCTGTAGAGAGGTCAATTCTGTACATGAAATATATTTTCAAAATAAGTATCAGGGGGTGATTAGTGATCGATACTGATGACAAAAATTCAATCAGTAAATTTTTTGTCTGTCTGTCTGTCTGTGTGTATGTTCCTTATAGAAACAAAAACTACTCGACGGATTTTAACGAAACTTGGTACAATTAATCTTCATACTCCTGGGCAGGTTATAGTGTACTTTTCATCACGCTACAATCAATAGCAGCAGAGTAGTGAAGGGAAATGTTGGGAAAACGGGAGAAGTTACTCCATTTTTTAAGCTTCCGTCGCGTATGCAGCCTTAATGGTTAAAGTTACATAGAAATCATGTATCACGGAAATATTCTACATAAAATTGTCTAAAAAATATCCCGCAACAGGATATGTCTATCTTTTATGGTTGACTCACAATAACACGTGTCATTATATAAATAAACTCATTGTTTATAGCACAAGCCTGAGAAAAAAAAGCTATAGTTTACACTACAGCTCTACGCCGACGCAAAGCAAGGGCGGGCCACTAGTAATAAATAAATAAATTATACGTAAACTTCAGTCGCTAATTCAGCCAAGCATAAGCAAAGTCTAAACTTTCTAAATTCTCCTGAGATAAATTTGCATATCGTGCTGCGCGTAGACGAAAGACGAAGTAGTTTCTTAAACCTTGTTTGGTAACATACCTTTATTAGAAAATCTTATGAAAGTTACCAAAATATCCTCGCCCCTCCATTCAGGACGCAAGAAACTCATAAACAGAAGAATATACATAAATTCATGTCGAAACCAATAAAATGAATAACAATATGTGTTATTTAGGTATCTAGATATGAGTTTGTTAAATGTATCACTGTTAAGTTCCTATAGCTTAAATGTATATCATCATCATCAGCCTATGAATGTCCCCACTGCTGGGGCACAGGCCTTCCCTATGGATAGAATAGGGAGATTGGGCCATGACTCACCACGCGGGCCAGTGCGGATTGGGTGCTAACGACTGTAGATGCAGAAAGGGCCAATGGATTAACGTGCATTCCAAAGGACGGAGGAGCTCGAGAAAGTAAATTTTTGGTCACCCACCCAATGACCGACCACTGCGAAAGTTGATACCTTTAAAAAATGATATGATACGTAATAAAAAAATGTGCAAAACCGTGGATTCATCCACCTTCGAGCTTCCGTAAGTAATATGAATCTAATGTAAAGAAACAATTTCAGGTCCTCTCATTGCATTGTTCGGCGGTCTGTCAGCGCCGCTCATCAGATCAATGTTGACAAAAATCTTGCCTATTGAAGACATCGCTAAAGCGTTTGCGTTAATGTGCGCCATAGAAGGCATATGTCCTCTCATATCGCCGTTCATATATAACTCACTATACAGAGCGACTATAAGTGTGTTTCCTGGAGCCATATTTGTGTTGGCTAGTTTTACGTCCATCACTTGCACCATTATGTTGGGGTAAGTTTTTCTTACAAGTGTTTATTAATTTTTATCATAGTGAGCAAGATTTTTGAAGTGAAACTTTATATTCGGACGGGGTGTAAATGGAAAAATCCTATGGAAAAGTTGAAACGGAAATGCGTCATGGGCGTCACACGACTATAATCCTATGGAAAAGTTGAAACGGAAATGCGTCATGGGCGTCACACGACTATATACAGGATGTTTCTTTTAGGGTGTCAAGCCAGTGCGAGCTGATAGCTATCAATTTAATCTCCATGTATGTTCTACGATTTTCGTAGTTTTTGAGTAAGATTTCTTTTCGTTGTTTTTATGATTCAACGATGAGACAACTTTGAAAAGTATAACTTTTTTTGGGTCGATTTTTCTTGATTTTGTTTTAACAGAGTACCTATTGTTAGTAGTTTTATAGGTAAAATAATCTCATTCCTAACTTTAACCTAAGATATATAAATTTTGATCGATACTAAATAAAAGTGGATTCAGTAAAACAGAATGGACTTTCTATTAAAAAAATAAAAAAGTTGTTCCATAACTTCTGAATAATTTTATAAACTGCCCGACTACATAAGCTTCCATAAAAATACAAAAAAGATGTACTAAACAGGGTAAGAGCTTTGCTTATTTTTGATGACAAGGGGGAGGAGGGGGTAAATAATTGTAATAAATCTGCTTACGTAATACTTGAACGGACCCATAGCTCCGCTAAGAGAGTTCTCAAAGTCACCATCTGCCGCGCTAAAACGAGCATCTGGGAGGAGTATCTGTACCTGTGGGGCCTTTATCGAATGATAAGAAACAAATTTTGCTCTTGAGCCCTCCATCGGATTCCATGGAGCCGAATCTCCTGGCACGCATTATGGACGGCCTCTTTCCAACTGAGGCCCCTACGACAGTACTACATATGAGGCCGCCTATGCCGCATACGGAATCACTTTGGCCGTTTCACTCCGATACCGACGAAGAGATGCAGGACACCATGGAATGCCTCAGAGGGAAGAAAAGAACCTAGTACCGCTCCTATGGCACATGGGTTATGATTAGGCGATTCGCGGAGTTCTGCTGCCCCGTATGGGGGTCAGCTGCTATGCATACGACACTCTGATCACCATACGAGGCAACAATTATGCAGGCACGACTCGTCTCGCCAGAGCAGGAGTAACCCTAGTCACAGAATCCGTGACCTCGGGTTTATTGTGGTGGCCAACAAGACCGAATCCGTATTTTTTTTCTGACGGGGAACCCCCAGACAACCTGCAGGGGCCCACATTGAAGTGGACGGGGTTAGGATCAATTAAAACTTTTAATCAAGTACCTGGAGTTCGGGCTTGACTAATACTGGAAGGTTAGTAAGCACTTCGGGCGCTCCAGGCTCAAGGGCGGATCCAGCTTTGGCGCCAGGGTGGGGGGTCATATAGTCGTGGTCAAGTCACAGTGGGTACAGATGGACCCAGCCCAGGGGGGGGTCATGACCCCTATGACCCCCCCCCCCTGGATCCGCCCATGGCCAGGCAAGAGGGAGCAGCAGCTGTAACACTTTTTGGTGTTAGGTTTGGATAATCAACCGGTTCTCAACCTCCGTCTAAGCGTTGTTATCGGCCGCTTTGAACAACTATTGCGAGTACAACAATAATTAGCATCGAATCGCACGCAAAGCTGAGATATTATGTTGCAACAGTTGAGATTTGACCTTTTAGTGGCGAAAATGGAAATATAAAATATCGCATATGGTATTTTTAGAACAAGGACTTCTACTCTTTACCTAAACGACAGGCTGTCTGTTCTATTATTATCACATAATGGTAGTCGTCGCGAACTGTCGAAAGTATATTATAATTCTACAAATACCTAAATGAAAAATTTTAATAATTATCCTATTATACAATTATCAAACACAGTGGTTTTTTATATAGATGTAATTATCATACGATATTTTCTTTATAATTTTTATAATATGACTTGAAATGGAATAAAATTACAATCGAATATTAAAAAATGGAGCATTCTACGTTATGGTACAAAAAAACATGTTTGTTTTTATAGTTTGCTATGCATACAGTTATATAATTTCTTACTTTTACATGAATACATTTACAAGTAAACAGTACGAATTATTATCTACATTTATGTTGTTATCTCTATCGTTTATCCTAGAATAAACAATAACTAAAAGGTACTTAATAAGTACGATTCATGCTTGAATCGTGAAATTTAAAGTAATGTTGTTGTATATTATACGTATGTATATTGTTTCAGATTTGTCGCTTACTACAGGACGAGGGTAACTACACCAGATTACCAGCCAGTGCAATACCAGTAATAGATAAGTAATTTTATCTTAGTATGTATACTAACTATGCTAGTATATTAGTACTGTACTTAAAAAGTGTTGTTTTAAGATCATGCTTTAAAGAAGTGCCTCAATTAAAATTAAACTAAACTCGGGTGGGTAGTTATGTGCAACTTTTTGATGTGTAACATCTTTCCTCTCCCTTTCCTGCAATTTGTGGGAGTGATTTTGTGAAATGGGACGGAACTGTGTTACAGGAAGTCGCGAAAGCGCGCGCTATTTGATTTGATTTTAGAACATAATGTTCAAATGGCTTATTCCTTTTGTAGTAGGTTTTATTTCTTTTTTTACTAATATAAGGTGAAGTTTCAAATGTTACACATCATACGTTACGCGACTACTGTAAGGCTCCCTCGTTTTTTTTATTTACAGTAACTTAATGATTATGTATTTCTATCATTAGATATAATAATAGAGTACCTATAGGTAAACCGCATAACTGAGACGCTTGTAATTTTGACAAGAATGTGCCTGCCGCCCGCACCTCTTACGGTTCCCGTTTTCAGCCTCCCTCACACCCTTTGCCACGCAGGCGAGGTCTCAGTTAGGCGGTCTACCTATAAATATAATTGAAGCCGCGACAGTGAATAAACGAAGTGTATCCACCAATGTGGCTCCCTCTGTATATTCTTATTGTTATTATTTTAGTCTGATTTTTAATTCGACGGAATCCTGATATTTCAGAAAAAATATTTTTGAGTTAATTGTATAACAAAAAAAGTTATATGATGCACTTTCAAAGCAAATGATTTTAAAAATAAGACTGGTGTATCTTTAGACATAGTAAGTATACGTTATTAGGACTGCGAAATAGAAAAACTGATAATTTTAGATTTTATACCTAGATATGGTTTTTGTATACCTACTTATAGTATAAGTATAATTTTTCAAATTGTTTATATATTTTGGTAAAAAAATTATAATGTGCAATATTTACACTTTTTAAATAAAATATTTTCGGATTGCGATTTGAAAAAAGATGAAATTTTCAAAATTAGTAAATCCGAGTAAATGTTTTAAGATCTGGGGAGGCAGCATTGTTTCATTTTCTACAGTGTTAGCTTAATATTTTAAATAATGAACATTTTTTATATTAATATTATTCATGTGGTCTAAGGCAGCTTGTTAACTGGGTGGCGCATCCACGGTCTTTTCGCACTTTCGTGCGCATTGGCAGCATAGAATTCCCTGTGTTCTATAAATTATGACCTGGTAATTTACCAGACCACAAGGCCGGATTTAGAGGTGTGGAGAACTCGGGGTAATAAATAAATAAATATATAAATAAATATTTCCAACACTCACACCAATTAGCCTAGCCCCAAAGTAAGCACTATAAGGCTTGTGTTATGGGATGCTAGGGTAACGGATACAATACATATACTGTACATATATAAGTATATTTATATAGAAATACATATTAAACATCCATGACTGGAGTACAAATGCTCGTATTCATCACACAAACGTCTGCCCCCACCGGGATTCGAACCCGGGACCTCTCGAGTCGACGACACCATGAAACCCGGCGCACAAACCACTCGGCCACGGAGGTCGTAATGAAGGAGAGGAGTCCCTAACAAGAGCTTATTTTAAAATCTAGCACCATTTTTTTTTCTACTCTGTTGTGGGGCCCCGACACGCCCCTCTTGTGGGTACAATCTCGCCTGCCCTGCCTCAAGTCCCTATAATATAGCAGGGGCTTGTTATCCGAATAAACACAAAGCCGTTAACAAGACAAAAAATACTCCAAAGTCTCCAAAGTCTTGAACACAGGCGAAAAGTTGCCTCTTTATCGGTTTTTTACCGGTTACATTTCGGTGAGTGTGCCTCGGAGTTACATAACTTAATTCCACCTTCACCTTTTTGCCACAGAACCACCAGAGAGACGGCAAAACGCCACAGGTATGCCGTAGAGGTCCCACAAACTCGTACTAAACGGTTTGCTTCCACCTATATAGTCAGAACAGCTAGGTTGTGGAACTCTTTGCCGGAATCTCTGTTTCCAGTCACCTATAATCTGGGGCTCTTCAAGTCGCGAGTCAATCGGTTTCTTCTAGGCAAGCGCGTCCCACCTTACGCTGCTACGTCGCTTTTCATTATTTGCGTGGCCGTCAAGCGCAAGCCTATTTAATGTAAAAAAAAAAAGAAAACTATTACAGACGACGGCGCCTTTAAGAGGCACACTGCCGAACAGACCTCACACCTAGCTCCCGCAAGCCATGGTCCGAGAGCACACGCTTCCATCGAGCCCCTCGTAGAGGACTGACCTCCCCTGCAGGTAGTCCTCTACGATCGCTCGCAGGTATGGAGGCACTGGGAGACTGTTGAAGGCGTTGCGGATCAACGCCCGGGCATTGCGGGCACCCGCAATTTGCACCTCACCACCTTATGGTTCCGCCACAATCACTAGCCCCACGTTCCACTCCGCCGCCGACTGGCGCATTAGATCTTGTGCCGCGTTGGAGTGGTTAACGTTTATTTGGAGGAGCTCGATGGTGTTGCTGGGCATTGCGTTGCATCCATGGGCTCCTCCGGCGGGGCGGCTCTTGCGTCCCGAACTGCGTTAGGCCCGTTCTGTGCGGGCCTTAGCGGGTGGGGGTTACAATTCCGGCCCCCCATCGGATGGTTCGCTGGCCGCTTGGCCTCCGCACATACGGCGCATTTTAGCGTCGCTGTGCAGCCCGATGCCTGGTGCCCCTCGGAGACGCAGCGGTAGCACAGCTTGCTGCGGTCGTTTGCGGAGGGGCATCGCTGTATGGGGTGTCCAATCCCCATACAGCAGAAGCAACGCATGGGTTTTGCCTCCAGGAGATGCACTGTGGCAGAGCTCCAGCCCATCGCTACCTTCTTGGCCGTTTCCAGGCGCTTGGCAGCCTCCACGGGGACCGATGCAAAGGCCGCACCAGTCCCCCGAGCCTCCGTATGTAACTTGCCCACCTTTATCTGGTGGGCAGGGCAACCACCTACTTGCGCCAGCGCCTGACACACCTCGTCGGCGCTTATCGAGTCGACTCGGACCTCAGCCGTTTTGGTTACCTTTGGTTGGCCGTATCGCCCAGGGCCATCCCGATCTTGGTGGCCAGCTTGTCGGCCTGGTCCGGGGAGGTTTCCTTCCGGAGCTCTATGATCCGAGCACCAGTGATGCCCGTGCGGAACTTCGCTGGGCCTATGCCCGGGTCTGCGAAGCTCACTGCGTTTTTGGCCTGGGCGATGACCTGACCATACGTGAGGCCCTTCTGTATGGCCTCGGGCTTCAGGGTCAGTACGACGGCCAGCGTTTTCGGGGCCCGCAGCGACTTTTTCTTCTTAGCGGCCCCCTTTTGAGCTGAGGCCTGCTTTGCCGCCTTCTTGGCCTTCTTCCCCTTCCGGCCCTTGGTGACCAGGACCCACTCTTTGTCCTAGTCGGGTCTTCCCGCCTCACCCGAAGTGCAAGGGGCTGGCGTCTCCTTTTTCTTAGGGCCCTTCGCTTTTGGGGCCTGCTGCGGCGGAGGAGGTGCAGGCGCCATAGGCGGCCTTGCTGGCCCAGTCCTTTTGATCTCCCTGCCCGTTTTAGGGAGGTTGGCTGGCGGGGCGAGGGTGGTGTTCCCCGCTGGGGCCTGCCGCTCCTGGCCGCGGCCCGATGCCTTGGAGGAGGCGAGGGGCGGTCTGTGGCTCTGCTTCCAACAGCCGCCCATCCACTTCGAGCCTCTCCAGGCGCGCCGCGCAGGCGGTGCTCACTTGTGTGATCAACGCCTGCTGGAGTTGCTCTATGGCCCGGAGGAACTCCTCACGGGACTCTACCTCTACAGGGCGATGCTCCTCAGCCAGTTCCGGCGGTTGCTGCTTTCGCTCCGTCATAAATTGGCGGAAGGCCTTCAATTCGGTGTCAATTTTCCCGATTTGTCCACGCAGCCGTTTATTTTCGGCGCGCAGCCACCGGACCTCCTCCGAGGGAGTCAGAGACGTCGCCTCCCCCACCAATGCCAATAGGGCCTGGGTTTCTTACCTGATCTGCTTGACGGACGTCCCCTTGAGGTTGCCCGCCTTCTTCACCACCCCCAGGACGGCGTCCGCCTTAACTTCGGCTTCGGTGCGGAGCGACTCCGGAGAGCGCGTCTCTCTCAAGTCGTCGGACCCCCTCGATGACCGGCGTCGACCTTTCTCCAGCTCGGTCATGGTGTCCGACCCGGAGTCGGAGTAGTCGTCGCGCAACTCAGAGCGCGCCTGGGAGGTGCCCATGTGGTGTAGCCCGTGGCACCTTGGGGGGCTGCGGCGTGGACATCTCCTCCCTCTCCGTCTCGGAGGTCTCGCAGGGTTCCGAGTGCACCCCGGAGGGTCGGACAAACATCCCCTTATCGCTTGACTTTTTCCTTCCCGCGATGCGGGCGGAGTGGCGGCTAGCCCCCAATTCCGGGTCCTCGACTAGGGCCTCCGAATGTCCGATGCGACTCGCAGTCGGACTTCTCCTCCTTGCTCAGGCCGGTATTCAGGGGCCTGTAGTTGGAGCCGTCATTTTCAAGGTATGGTATTTTAAGCTCAGACGCGACGTCGGGCATCGCCTCGCTCTCCACACCGGACATTCCCTCCGATGATGCAGTGCCTTCTTAATCGTACTATTGCCATTGTCACGAAAGATGCCGCTAGGCTCAAGGAGCGCTGGCTGACTGCGATAAGTTCTGCGGATAATGTCATTGATGCAAGCGTGGCGGGAGACTCGGTCAGCGTTCATTTGGCATGAGAGACCATGGTGTACCAGCTCACCGATGCGAGTACCGCAACGACAACGATGGGGATCGACGCGATATTGCTATAGAGAATAAGTGATTAAAAATTATTTCAGAAAAAGCGGTTCAAATTTTAGTTTTTTGTCAAATGATTTACAATTAAGGGCACTACATGCGTTAATAAAAACTTGGAGTGAACCGGAGACTGACTCTCCATGGAACCGTCTCCTTTGATACTGTACACATTAATTATTGAAGTAATACTTCTTTAGGCGCGTTATGAAAAAATGATGAGAGTGAAATTTTAAGATGCGCGCGCATCACTGTAACACAAAATTTTAACAGCATGAAGTTGGTCGCTTTACCGCACATTAAGAAAATCTACCAACAAAATAGAATCTCTATTTAGTGGGTGCTAACGACTGCATTGTGAAGGCCTATCAAAAGTATTTATTAATCTGGAACAACGGAACCAAAGCGCGATTCAGGAGACTACAGCGCCATCTCTTGACCATTGGTGTAGTAGAACCAAAAACCACATCTTTATTTTTTGTAATAAAGTAACAGTTATAGGTATTCATATTTATAATATTTATCCGCATGTTTCTAGTTTGTATATTCGGAATACGTGTTTGAGTTTCATACAAGTCACATATATTCTAATAAATTATATTCAGTAGCGATTTTAATAAAATATTTTGATTATTTATTTTTCAAATTAAAACTGAACTTTATTGACTTCGTCCTTTTCCAGACTTTTTATTAATTTATTGTAATTAATTATTTGCATGCAATTAAAAACTAATTTTAAAAGATGTCAAAGAAGGATAACTTCTCACGCACCTACATAAGTACACGCACCCATTTTTTTTAAAATTATAGGAATGTGATACTTGGCACCAGTTAAAAATTTCGAGATTTGGACATTCTGTATCTGACCGTTGCAGAACTTGGAAAAATTGTGATAATTCTTTTAAAATACTTTGATATAAGTAAAATAATAATACGTTAGTACCATCCCGTAGAAAGTTTCTTTGTCACAAAAACTTAGTTCAAATTAAGTTAAATAAAAATATGTACTTACATAATTATGTCGGTTGCATAAATATAAATATTTTGAACTTATCAATTGTTTTTGACTTAAACTTTCCCTTTCGGATTAATATTATAATAGTGGTAGTGCCTGATAATAACGTTCTCCTTTTGGTCAAAGAAAAAATATATTTACTGACGAGAAAAATTTTACTATTGATCCAAGCAGAATGATTAAGTTTATGCACAAATCTCTATAGAAGCGTCATTGTTAGTCAGCAGAGTACAACGTGGACATTATCCGACTTCAGTAATGTTTTGGTGGGGTGTTAGCTATCAAGGAGTGACTGAGCCATATTTTTGTACAAAAGGTGTCAAACTATAGCCACAAGTGTATCAAGATACGATTCTTGAGAAGGTGGTTAACCCCTTTAACAACATTATGTTCCATTCCATAACCGAGAATGGTCCTTGCAGCAAAACTCAGCACCGGGACATAAAGCTTGATCCCCCAAGCTTGGTTGGACAAACATTTTGGACTTCTTCAGAGCTGAAGACTGGCCGTCATCTAATCCCGATTTTGATCAGCTGGGTTATGATTTATGGTCACTTGTAGAGAGCGTGGTGTGTTTGGAGGCCATGATAATTTGGAGTCCCTAAAGCAATCCATAAGATTGGCAGTGAAGAATTTTTCCATGGAGAGAGTGCATGTTTCTATAGATAACTGGTCTAATAATAGATAAAAAAATATGGGATAAAAAATAGATATTTTCTTGTAAAAATATTTATGGCAAGACTTAGTATATATTATCTAAACTTATCAGTGAAATAAGAATCTTATCTGTGAACACATAAAATTGTTTTAACAATGACTGTCACGATGACGACGCCCGACCAAACTTTCAATTTCTCTACCGGTAGATTAAATTTTATCTCGGCGGGGTAGAAATAAAGCATAAAATAATCATGAGACTGATAATTATTTATGATTACGTCAGTAAGTAAGTTAAGCGTAATCTTATTATCAGGCAAAGAAATTAACAGAATCAAATTTAACTAAACCGAAAAATTATTATTATACTGCTATGTATTGCGAATGCTATGTATTTATATTACGCGCCTTTACCTATTGTTTTCTAAACCTAAAAAACTAGTAAAGTCAGTATTCAAGGTGAATACACATGTCAGTATAAAAAAATGTATTTGAAAGTAGTGAAGGTCAAGCGTAAACCGAGAGAGATCGAGTCTTGACTGAACTGACATAAAGATTAAAATGAGTTTAATTAACTCCTATGTCATCGAAGTAGACAATTTTGTTAGGCCTAGCTCTTTGAAATTCTTATATCATGTCCTGATATATACTTATAGAACCCATTTAGGTTCTTATTAACAAATCACACGAAACCAAACGAGACATAAAATGGGGTCAAAACTCATTTACCAGTAATGATATTAAACAACGTTCGCAAAATACTGCACGCGCTATGATTATCATGATGACAAATAGATTAAATAAAAGCAGCAGTTTAAGAGTTTATCAAACGTTCAACTTAGTATTGTTTGGATAGCGGTAAAGAGCGCACCGATGATTTATAGTTTAAAAAAAATGTGGTGATTAGTGTTTAATTTCTTATTTGGGAACGATTTCATTGTGTGAGTTCAGTGTCTAATTAAGTGTTTCAAGTTACTTATATACTTACTTATATAACTGAACAATTAGTGTAATCGTTAATTAGGACTGGTAATCGAAGTAGAAAAGGAGATTGCTTAGCTTCCATACATGTTTGGCCTAAAGACCAATAATCATGAAAAATTGTTTCCTAGATTCGAAATTATATATAAATTACTGTAGAAACGAATATTATTGACGGACACCCCTGAGAACTTCTATAAACCATATACACTGAACATATTAAAATAATAAAAAACAAATAAGTTATATAGTAAACTAGGGAAATCAAGCCAAGTACCGAAATTATGGATTAGATTCAGGTATATAGAGCATGTAGATTAACAGATAGTTGCCTGTTTTTAAAGTTAATGCATAAGAGTAACTTTTAAAATCAGGTGTCATTTCCGGTTATAATAAGGTACTCTGTCACAGAAACTGTGTGATGATTGTGAATGAGCCACAGATTAGAGAGAATTTTTAAACTCTCGCTAACCAAAGAAAGCTAATAGTACGAGAGCCCACGACCAAAATTTTTGTCTCATAGCAATACGGCCAAAACCGCATCAAATCGATAGATACGATTATCTTGAACTCGAAAATACCAATATCAGACATTTTCCGCGTAGCGTTTGATCTGACCGAATTTTCAAAATTGTCAAAGAATTTTACCGAACTGCATCATAGCAATATGTCTGATTTGCAGACTGTAGTTGAATGATAGTTCTGAGATACCGGAAACATATTTTTCAGACGTTAGTGGTGTAGCGCAAACCCGTAAAATCACTTAAAAAAATTAAAAATGAGACAAAAAAAATGTCTCATAGCAATACGTCTGAAAATCTTTTTTATTAGTAAATTTTGGTTATTTGATGCGAACAAAACAATTTTCAGACGGAAATGTGAACGCATTAAATTTTGAGACCGTTTTGAAAATGTTAACAAATTTTACCGATCGGTATCATAGCAATATGTCTGAAAATTGATGGACATGATAAAATAAGTTGTCCACATGTGCAAAAAATTTATATCAGACAAATTAAGCGTAGCACCTTCTCTATCAGACAACTTTTCGATACTCAGATATCATTTAAAAATCGTTACAAACCAATGAATACGTTGCGACCCTGAATTTATTAGATGATAATTAACAAAGAATTTAGCCGAAACCGTAACATTGAAGTTTAAGTGAGCGTCGTTCCAACGTTTGGAGCAGCTGGCGAGTGAGCTGTATAATAGTAAGAAAGGGGCAGGAGCGTAACAAGCGCTGAGGCTGTTGAAATTAAATACTGATTGATTTGATAGTTTTGGTTTTATTTAAAGCACACTTGAGTAACTTTTACAAAAGTAATAAGTAATGACATCTGTCATCTGTCAAAGTACATATAATAGACAAGGGAGATTCTTGAATATCTATGAAGGCTGTAAATTTAAAAAAACATTTAACAGAGGCGTCGGCCAGGCGACTCCGAAACGTTATTTTCGTTTTTGGGAGTATATGCTACACTTAAAGTGTCTGAAAACAGGTTTTTGGTAATCATGGCAGCAATACGAAAAGTTGAAAAAAAAATTTATCCGTATTGCTATGATACAGGTCGGCTAAATTTGTTGACATTTTCAAAAATGCGCTCAGGCTATATGCTACGCGCAAAATGTCTGAAAACAAACTTTTTCGTAATACAATTATAAAATCTATGTACATTTTCACTATCAGACGTATTGCTATAATACCGACTGTCTTTTTTTTTGACACAGCAGAAATGGCCTCCCACGCTGTTGCTACATTTTCGACCGTTACTACACATCCAGTCGGGTTCAGAATCATACAATCTAACGATTTTATAGGGTTTTTGCCGTATTGCTATGAGACATGGTTTTGGTCGTGGGCTCTCGTACTATAAGAGATTTAGGTTCTATAGCCATATATTCAGTAGCTTCATTATTTTTGTTATGTTTTTAAGATAACCATATTTTAGATTTTTAGTGTATCACACCTTATAATTTTATTTATTTATTAATTTATAGTCAGGGAACGTAGGCCCATACATAGATACCTTAAATTCTAACATACTCGTATATACAGATTATAATGTGTTTATGGAGGTGTTTGGCGAAAAATGCATGGCAATAGACTTTATGATGTCGCCTACCATCTATAATAATTGTCTAAGCACATTTGCATCTAGTGAAAATGATAATATAGTTGTGGATATTAATACCACAGTGTAATAAAAAAAAAATGATTTATTTTATCGATCTTTACAAAATAGATTTGTTTTTATGTTATATAAACAACTTCGATCAGTCTTTGGCTGAATGTTACTACACCCATAGCCATTAAAAATGATTCGTATGTTTTCCAAACCGGTAAAATTAAAAGTCCTTTTTAAAGTAAATATATTATACAAAGGTGTCCGTTGAAATCTAATGACTGTAAATTAAATTATAAATTACGCCAAGAATTACCGTGTATGTCAATATTCTTTGTGCATTTAGGCCAATTTGAGCAATCTCCTTTATTGACGAGTACTTTCCTGAAGCTTATGTACTAAAAGTTGACTCGTGTATTTGATATCATAAACTGCAAAAATACGAAAATATCTAATACACCCATGCATGCAAAATGTAAGAAAAAACAAGAAGAATAATATCAACAACAAAAAAAGTTTGGCACTGGTAAAAGTTTACTGAGACAAAAGAAAGATTGACTTTGTCATTAACAAAATAAAAAATTTAAAAAATGGAACGAATTGCCGAAAACTCAAATGAAGAAAATGCTTATAATGAATACCCGAATGAAGAACCAGATAGTAATGAAATTGATTATCTTGGAGGACAGTCGAGAAACCCTCCGTTTAAATTAACGATAGAAATAACATTGTTTTTATCGTTCTTGGCATTATCCATAGCAGGTGAGATAAATTATATTAATGTTACATAGCTTCCATATCTCTTACAGCCAATTTCAATCAAATTCCAGTCAGAGGTTGGCCTTTTAGTAGGCTTGCCAAGATATTTTTTATACTGCCGGGTACTCATTAGCGAGCTGTAACCGTAACATGCGTGATACAGTACCAGGTCTAGTGTACGTGCTCGTACGCTTGTAACTATAGATGTAAAACAACCGATTTAAAACGTTTTAAACAAAATGTTGCCGTTTTAAACCCAAAATAAATCGTTTTAAACGGTTGAAAACTGGCATACAAAAATAAAAGAACTATGATTTTAACACTTCAACAATGTTTGTTTTTTTTATTTACCAATAGAGTTTTTAACTTATGATAAGAGTTTTTATAACTTAGGTAGGTAATACCTACGCTTGGTCGCGGATGGACCAATTAGAACTTAACTCGCTAAGTATATCAATATCAGTAAGTATATTTATACTAATATCAGTAAGTATTAAAAAATCTTTATACAGTTTATAGGTTCTCCGTTATATTCCTACCTCGTTAAATCAAGACAATGTAGTTATAATTAAGAAAAACAGTCATTAACACCAACCGTTTTATTTCGGTTTTAAACGGTTTTTTTCGTTATAAACGGATTGGTTTTAAACCGGCCTTACATCTATACTTGTAGCTCAGTTGTAAACGTCGGCTCGCTGCAAACCGCACATGTACCGCTCGCAGCAGGGTAGCGAACCACGTACACACTATGCTTTTTGGTTACAGTGCATGCAACGGTTACGGTTACAGCTCGCTATTGAGTACCCGGCTTAATAACACTGTTGCAAGTAACGGAACCAGATTACCCTTACCTTTTACTGGAGGTTGATTATTGATACTGGCCGTCGGTTATCACAGCATATTATGTCCTTACCCTTATGAAGATGACAAGAAAATAGTTAAATCTAAAGAAAATATAAAAGACGGGACTCGAACTGACCAATTATGCTACCGCGGCCCTTACGGACAGCGTCGAAATTCTTCTAGCCATTCTTAAACTGCAAGGCAGCGCCATCTCTTCGCATTATAGGTAACCCACAATGTCAAATGAATACTTTTACAAGTATTAAACATTTGAAAGAAGAAGTAGCAATTATAGTTATAATTTTTAGTAAACATCAAGCAGTAACATGCTTTAAAATAATAAAAATTATAAGAAAATAGTTACTTAAACAAACCATTATTCTCATATATATTCAATTCAACGACGAATTGTTTAAATATTTAAGTTGTTGTCTGGATGAAGTCAATAGTAACAGATTGCCAGCCTATCGTTTATATAATTCGATCCATTGATAGATTTTATTACTTCCGTGGGAAAGTTAGTATCGGGCCCCTTTTGTTTTTTTTTATTATAGGTAGTTTGTAGGATAATATTATTCTTATTCCTGTAAATTAATCACAGAAATAATATTTTTTAGGGAATTTAAATAACATTACATTATATTCAGTGAAAAATATTCGTGCTATAGTAGCTACTATTAGTTTGGTTAGGAAATACTATTCTTTATGGAATTACTATCTTTTTCTTGAATCTTTAGTTTGAAACAAACTGTAATCATTGATGGGTCGTCGACCCGGCACCGGGAATAGATACAAAAGAAGAGCGGAAGTTATTTAAATAAGCGATAGGTAATTTTACTTGCAACCATTGTACAGTGTCAGTATTGGACTATGATAAACTATATGGCTGAAATACGGTTACAGAAGTTTATTTATCAAAATGGGAGGTGTACCTATAATAGAAAATACGCGAGGTGGCAACTATCTTTTGTACTTTAATAGTATTAACAAACTAGGCAGTTTTGTAAACTATTGTAGACGATGGGCTGGCTCGCTGTTGGTGCTTTCTCAATCCTATAAAAGACAATTGTGGCGTAAACTTTTTAGTGGACGGTTACCAAGACGTGCCGAAGTGACTTCAGACGTATCTCTGAAATCATTTTTCAACTTGACGACTCTGTATATAACAATACAGGGAGAAAAAAACAGCCCTTACTGAGTTTCTTGCCGGTTCTTCTCAGTACAAGGTCTCCCGCCGTAGTTTTGCGAACTGATGGCGTAGCTTCTTGCCCTTCACAAGTGCTTGTAACAGCCTAGACGTGAAATGACATTTCATTTCAGTGAAATCTTTCTACGAATAACCTTACAGTATTATCATATTTGACGCAGATAGATGTACGATGTTGCATGGTACGATTTCATTTACAGATTTTAAAATGCTGAAGCCTCTAGGTGCGCATTCATCTTTTCATATAATCTTTAATTATGTAGACCATAGCGAAATGATAAGTCTAAATCTTGAAACAGAGGTGGATTGGCAAAGAACGCTTCGCAGGCAAACCTCCGTCAGAGAACCAGAGTAATACAAGACGTTGTTCAGAATTAAAAGTACATAGAAAATAACCTTCCCGTATTTTTTTTTCTGGCCCATCGTGGAAACCACGACTGGCTTAGACTAGAACTTAAACTGATTTATGTGATATTTTTTTAGATTGAAATTTAACTTGATAAATGTTTTTTGAGCCAGCGGCGCCCGCAGCCAACCTCCTAATGTACCGCACGTGCGTGCATGCCTTGGGTCATTCCGTGGAGGAGTGCGAGTCATTTCTCGCGCCTGGGAAGACTAACCACACACAGGTATTAACCCCGGCAAACTTCTTCAGCATAAACAATGGACAACAAAGTCTGCGCAGTACTAGCAATTTCACATACAAAAACGTCTACTGCGCATGTTTACGGTTTTGCTCAAGAAGTTTGCCGCACCTATGTTAAACTTAACAGAAAACCGGCCAAGTGCTAGTCGGACTTGCGCACCGAGGGTTCCGTACAAACCGGTAGGTATATTTTAATAATTAAAATTATTAAAAAATATTTTTTATTATATGATGTTACTAAAAATTTACGGTTTTCGCAATTTTTCCTTTATCTTTACTATAAGACGTTACTTCGTACCAAATTTCAAGATTCTAAGTTCACGGGAAGTACCCGGTATGTTTTGATTCCCGTGCGAGTTTCGATAAATTTGTGGAAATTTGCGGCATATACGGCTGTATCTTTTGATTGCTTTGGCTTAGTAGTTTGATTTTTTCACAGCTCCGAGGGACAGTAGACCTGAGTATTAGATATAACTTTCATTTTGATACCTCCACGCGTTCCTGAGAAAAACGGTCTTGACAGACGGACGGACGGACAACAAAGTGATCCTATAAGGGTTCCGTTTTTCCGTTTGAGGTACGGAACCCTAAAAACCACCAACCTTTTAAGTAAATCTATCTTAATCGGCTTGAAATTAGCAGTTTTTAGGAATAAAATTGATGTCTATTGCCTAGCTATATGTCTAAATTCAGACTGGAGGCACTTCCTCGAACATGTTTTTCTTAGATTAGAGCTTTCCAATTGCTTCTTTCCTCGTCGACAGGATAACACCTATTTGTAACAAAAATAATGAAAAACTCACACATACAGGAGTTAGAGAATGCAGTCCAGCAGTATGCGACGTTTGTTGGAACCGCCAAGTCAGTGCTGGAGTCGGCTGTGCCAGCGCTGTTGTCCGTGTTTATCGGGGTCTGGTCGGATAAGCACGGTCGAAAACCATTGCTGACAATCCCTCTTCTTGGTGAGTTATATCATTATCATCACTACCAGTCTTTGTCCCCACTGGTGGGGCATAGGCCTTCCTTTCGAATGGAACAGGAATGCATACCTTAAACGCATCCTTCTGGGCGCTGAAATTGCAATAAGAAAATTACCGCCCATTGCAAATAGGGATAAGACTTAAATAAAGGTATTTAGTAAATATGGGTGCAGGTTTATCCTAAATATCTAGAACATTATATATCGAAATTTTTTCAAACACACTTTTTTAACTTTTTTCTGTTTAATCAACTGTAGTCCATTTTTTGCCCTATCAAATATAAAAGATACTTAGCTCTGTGCTTACTGACTTCTGTTTTTTTTTTATCTTTTCGGTACTCCTATTCTATTAATATATGTACTTAATAGGTTATAGGTTCAATTTAATTTTGTCCAAATTATAAATCAAATCATTATTTTATAAGTCTGTAAAAGTCTCTCTAAAAAGAAAAACTGTCGATCTTTTTTTTCTCGATTGAATTGTGATCTGAGGCTCAACCATTTTGTGCTCACAGAGTTCACAGAAGTGCCTTTAACCTCCGCCACTTCCGAAAATGCATCTGATTTTTAGGGTTCCGTAGCCAAATGGCTAAAAACGGAACCCTAATAGATTCGTCATGTCCGTCCGACTGTCCGTCCGTATGTAACAGCCATTTTTTCCTAACTAAACTATAAGAACTGTACTGTTGAAAATTGGTATGTAGATGTATTCTGTGTACCGCATTAAGATTTTCACACAAAAATAGAAATAAAACAATAATTTTTGGGGGTTATCCCCATACTTAGAACTGAAACTCATTTTTTTTTTCTACAAACCCCATACGTGTGGGATATCTATAGATAGGTCTTCAAAAATGATATTGAGGTTTTTAATATCATTTTTTTCTAACCTGAATAGTTTACGCGAGAGGCACTTCCAAAATGGTAAAATGTGTCCCCCCCCCCCTGGGACTTTAAAATAAGAGAATGATAAAACTTAAAAAAATATATGATGTACATTACCATGCAAACTTCAACCGAAAATTGGTTTAAACGAGATCTAGTTAGTAGTTTTTTTTATACGTCATAAATCGTATACCGCTATTTACCTTTCATACAATCAACTCAAATATAAAAAAAAAACATTAAATTTCGTAAACATAAACGTTATGCATAAACAGTGAAAAAATATATACACATAAACTATAAATCTGTAATAGGTTCCTAAGTAAATAATAATTATAATTCGCGCGGGGCGTGGCTTGATCGGTAGCGGGTGCAGAGCGCGCGGGGGGCAGGTTTTATATTATGCTACTTGTTGCTACGGAACCCTTCATAGGCGAGTCCGACTCTTCTTGTCCGCTGTTTTTGTTTTATATTTATTTTCATTTGTAGTTGCATCCCAAATTACGGCTTTTTTACATATCAACATGATTAATTCCAATGTTGTCTCTGGATTCCACTCCACAATGCACTTCATCATGATAGTCGTCACATCTTCCCATGCCAAAATCAAACATAAAATGAACGATTCCCCCCGCCCGCAGACGAACGCTGGGGATGTTTTTTACAAACTCCGACAAACACGTTCAGTGTATTTGCTCCACAAAACATTTAGGCCACGCCCCTTATGTATGTTTTCTAACAATGTTCTGTTCAAAACATGGCGCAGCAGACGCGCCTTAATATATCGTTGCCTCTAATATGTACAAAAAAGATAGTACAGTAGGTAATATCATGTCTGTAAGTACTTTAAGTTTCAATGTAACTACGCTCAGCGGTCACGCTAGGATTGTCAACTTATTGTTGTGCAAAAAAAAAAGAAAATCGTGGTATTGGCACTCGCATTCGTATCTAGTTAATTATGATTGAGGAATAGAAATATTCTAATCAATAAAGTACCTACTGATAAGTAATTATTCAGGCATCTTCAGCTATCTTACCTACTTGATCGCGCCAGACACGCGATCTATGACCTTAGGTGCGTTACATAATGAAAAGGTTTAATTTCAATGAGTGTACACTTTTTCAACTCACTTGATTGCTTTAACTCCTGTACTGGACTGGGAGTGAAAGAAAAAGACTGGGTTAATAATTAAGAATAATATTGAATTATACTTAAATAAATTAATGCGGAATATTAGTGGCATAAAAGTACGGCCAAGACCGCATCAAACTTTGATGTTTCTTCAAAAGAACGTAAATTTAAAAACTTTTGCTTTGAACAAAAAAAAAATAGAATTTACTAACTGCTTTCCCTTGTAAATAGTAAGTCTATCTACAGACAGGGTCTATCAACATATTGGGAAACTTTTGGTAGGACGGCAACCTTTCTCTGCTAGCTCAAATGAGCAATGAAATAGTATAGTATTTGTCGTATCTTCTAAAAAAATGGTAATTTGTTTTTAACTTTCATGGTCTAACCTTTTAGTTATATATGATTTTTACGGGATTGTCACCATGTACCTTTTTTTTAGCGAGATCCCGATATTTCGGCACTGTTCCAAGCGCCATGATCACTTTTGATAACGGAGTAAATCCTTAGTTACTCAGTGGTTAGATCATAGCGCTTGCAACAGTTCCTAAATATCGGAAACTCGCTGGAAACAAGGTACCTACATGGTAGCAATCCCGGAAATATCATAAATTACTTTAAAATAAGTAAGTGATAATCTAAAAATGACGATTTGCGCCCACAGAAAGTGCTCCCATAACGCAATATGTATTATGTTTGAATTTGGTACTCGGAGCATCGCCCCTCGTCTCCAATCTCCATTAACACGCAATAAAGAAATAAAAATGAGACATTAATTAGATTCGTTATTCCATTGTAGGCACAGAACACAGAAAGAAGTTAGAAGGGTGATCAATGTTTGTACGGGATCCGATGTCACAGGCTCGCCCCCGCTACATTTGCATCTAATAGTTAGTAGCCAAACAAACCAACCAATCAAAGCTGACACCCGAGAGCAATGACACAATCAGAGAGAACAAGTTTTGGTCAAGTTATGAGCTTTTGCTCACACATGTTTCGCGCCTGCCTCGCCCACAAGGCCCTTGTAATCTCTTTCTGTGCTCTGTGATTATATGGTTGAAGTTTTTTTTATTTCTCAAAAAGACTAATACAATTCACTTAGAAAAATAAAGTTTTATCATAATGCATATAACACTTATTCACTTATGCATATAACGAGCGTATACATACCATAATGAAATCAACGTGGGTAGACGGAAATTGGAATCGCAGCTCGCACAGTTGCACTAGACAACCGCGGATGTACAGAGAACGGTCTGTTTGGGATCGATTCTAGATGCGGCATGGAATGTTTGATGTGAATTAAACTGACTAGGTTTAATTTTTCTATTGATTTATGCACTTAGCAGTTAAATGCTTAAAAAAATTACATTAATGCTGCTTTTATTTATTTAGTTTAACTTTTTATATTATGTTAATTTTAAGGTCTATTCATGAGCAGCGTGATGGTGGTAATGTACAGCATAATGCCGTCCCTGGGGCCGTGGTGGTACGTGGTCACGGTGATTCCGTTCTCGCTGAGCGGCGGTTACGTGGTCATGATAACTGGCTCCATGTGTTACGTAAACGACATCAGTACCACTGAGCAGAAAAGTGTCAGGTAAGGTAACTGATTAATCCATACTAGGTAACATGGAGGTTAGAGATAAGGAGAACGATCGCTGTAGAAAATAGTGTCCCAGAAATATGGACAAAATAAGTGAGAAAGCGGGCTAATTTGAACATTTTCACAATATTCAACTAACTTCATCTACTTGCACTGTACTCATAAACAGCTAACTTCACAGATACTACTTACCGACGGCAGCGCGGCTGGTGCCTGAAAAATGAACAATAAATTCTACAAATTTTCAGGTTCAGGCGGGGTAATGCTTCAGTACGTAGCGATCGTTCTCCTCTCTAACCTCCATGCTAGGTCCTATATAAATGCGAAATTGTGTCTGTCTGTTATCTCTTCACGCTAAAACCACTGAACTGATTAAGCTGGGATTTGGTAAAGAGATAGTTTGAGTCCCGGGAAAGGACATAGGATACTTTTTATCCCGACAAAATCATAGGTTCCTTTTTTTGTTACGCAGGCAAAAAATGCTGTTTACAGAAAACGGCGCCTTTAAGAAGCACACCGCCGAACGGTCACACCTGGCCCCCGCAAGTCTTACGAACCCCCCCAGTGGCTGCCCACCGAGGACCCCGCAACTCTTACGGGCGCTTTGCGGCATAATATCCGCTAAAAAATCCTGCGAATACCTTCTACACTGCTTAATGCGAAGCCGCGGGGTCCCTATTATGGGATTCTTCCGCGACTCCGCACCCAGCAGCTTGCCGGCCCAGCCGGGGCTCCACGGCAGGGGTCTCCCGAGAGATTGCGGGGACCCCGCAAACGTGCGCCGGTAGGCCTGCTCGTGGGGGCTGAGTACGCGGCCTAGTGCCCACCGTACCGCCCCCCGTCCGCTGCGGAGGGCTACTTGCTCTTACCCTTGTAGCTCCTTCCGCCGCCCCCCCCCTTTGCAGGACAGAACTGTCAGTGGGAGGGCCGCCGTTCCCGGGGGAGCGGGAGGCGGAGGTAGTTCTCCCCGTCCCTCTCCCCTCGCCGTCGATGCAGGGGCAGGCACCCCCTGTCCTGGTCGCCCACGTCTCCTCGCCCCTTCTTCTAGGAGACGAGGGGAACGCGGGCGACAGAATTCGGTGGGGAGTCCGAGCGGCCAAGGCTACTCGGACTTCCCCCCTCTGAGGATGCCCGTCTGGGCGCCGACGACTCAGAGGCCACTCTTTCCGGGGGTTTGCCCTTGGTGACCGGATGGTTGCAGCTTCCACTCCCCATGATGTGGTCAGCCGGCCGACCACTCCCCGCGCATATCGCGCATCGAAACAGGACGGCGCACGTCGCCGCCTTTTGTCCCGCTATCCCGCCCCGAACCACGTGCGGGGTAACGGGTCGGCCGGAGGCGACGTGGAGTTCACGTCGCAACCGCCCTCACCACTCAGGCGTCTCCGCCCCTCCAACAGTCTCGACTACCGCTACCCAGGCTCCTCGGGACGCCAGCCGGGACTCACCAAGGTAATTTTTTATGGAGGTTTTTTTCCTCGCAGCCCTCACCCTCCGCACTGCGTACAGGATTACGAGCTCCTCCAGTCAGCGCACTGCCCTCCGACACCGGGGCTACTCAATACCCCCCACCCAGAGTGATTTTTTAGAGAGGTTTTCTTCCTCCCAGCCTCCACCCCGAAGGATGGCGGCCCTCGGCCCCGCACCACGTACGGGGTTACAAGATTGCCAGCTATCAGCCTACGCATGAGGTATCCTTACGGATACCTCATATGTAGTTGCCCAGAGTGCGCCGGTCCAGCACATTTCCGTTCCCTAGGCCCATGGAGCACCCCCACTAGAGTCCGCATCACACAAATTTTGTTTGGTATCAAAATCGCCAAAGTCGGTGGGGTGCAGTGAGGTCAGCCCCGCTGTGATTGGACGCGTCAAGGTCAGATCATATACTCAGTGCAGCGAAGTAATGAGGGTAAGATCGATTTTAGAAAATATCGATATTTTCTATCGATTAACAATTTAGAATAGAGGCCTAGTACTTTGGTGCGCGAGTGTAAGCAAATGCGTAATCATACCCTCTCCACTTTCTTCCAGCGTTCTAATTACATGACGCGACTAGTAACTACATACTAAATTATATATAAGCAACACAAAAAAAAAACACGCCCAGGACAAGAAGTATTAATGCAACGATATTAACTACCCTAGATACAACAACACGAACAAAATCGTTGCCGAAACGTGTCCAAAAGGTACATTGGACGATCCGCGGAGGTCCGTAAGATGATCGCGTGGTCAAAAACAATAAAATGCCTTATTTAAACATTGAAAGTCACGATTTAATGCATACGGCATAAGGTCTTAATTAAAATGCACGCGTCAAGTTCGTAAAATTTGACGATTTATTGTTATGTGTGAAAGAATATAGACCTTATTTTTTTTGACTTTTCGCGCGCAATTCTGAATGCGCTGTTAGCAATATAGCAGGTACAGATCGCGAAGAAAAGAGATGGCTAAGGGCGACGTATAACCGACCATGCATTTGAATATCACAAATATTTTATATTAAATCAGTTTATAGTAAGTATTAATTACAACAATAAAATTTGCTTTAAAGGCGTTAATTAAAAAACATTAGTTAGCTACCCGTCGCAAAAACGACACTTTACGTCCTATTAGTATTTTTCTGTATTTTTTCACGGGACTCTTTGGCATCTTGACTTTTCAACGGTCCGCGATTGAGTGGAGTTCAAGTACTTCTTGATGGGGACACATTTTGAGCGCTCGTGGTGTTTCTAGGGTATTTAATATCGTTAATTCTATGTCTTTATCTAGGTCATAAACTATGCGCACTTAATTTCATACAAATCCGTTTAACCGTTTTAGCGTGAAAGAGTAACAAATATGCATACAAATTTTCGCGTTTTTTCAATTTTATTAGGATATGTTTGAAGTCAAATAAAAACTGTTGGTTGTATACTCATGACATCTATTATTGTATACGATGAAATAAATAGTTTTTATTTATTGAAGTTATACTTCTTTAGGCGCGTTATGAAAAAATTATGAGAGTGAAATTTTAAGATGCGCGCGCATCACTGTAACACAAAATTTTAACATAATGAAGTTGGTCGCTTTAGCGACCAACTTCATGCGTAACTTTTGTGTTTACCGCACATTAAGAAAATCTACCAACAAAATAGAAATAGAATCTCTATTTAGTGGGTGCTAACGACTGCATTGTGAAGGCCTATCAAAAGTATTTATTAATCTGGAACAACGGAACCAAAGCGCGATTCAGGAGACTACAGCGCCATCTCTTGACCATTGGTGTAGTAGAACCAAAAACCACATCTTTATTTTTTGTAATAAAGTAACAGTTATAGGTATTCATATTTATAATATTTATCCACATGTTTCTAGTTTGTATATTCGAATACGTGTTTGAGTTTCATACAAGTGCATATCACATATGTTCTAATAAATTATATTCAGTAGCGATTTTAATTGAATATTTTGATTATTTATTTATTTTTTCAAATTAAAACTGAACTTTATTGGCTTCGTCCTTTTCCAGACTTTTTATTATTTTATAGTAATTAATTATTTGCATGCAATTAAAAACTAATTTTAAACGATGCCAAAGAAGGATAACTTCTCACGCGCCTACATAAGTACACGCACCCATTTTTTTTTTCAATTTCCATAGCTGACAAACTTATCGATAAACTTACGCGTTGAGACATGAGCTGCGTCTGAGTCACTAGCAATACACGTGCCGGTGTGAAAGCGAGATAGCATATATGATGTAGCCCATGCGAGAAAGGGATAGTGTAAAAAGACATCAACGCGTTCACAAAAAAATAAATACAATTAACACCAATTTAATATAACAGTATTTTTGTCTTTTTGTAATGCATTTAAACTAACCAGTGAAAAGTAATACCATTTTTTTTAAGACTGGAAGTTGTACTCGACTTTCCACACAATTTAATTGCACAGTACGGCATTTTTTACAGTTTTTTAACACGAAAACGAGAGAAGCAGTTCGACCAACGCTCTGTTACCGAATGAAACGATGTATCGCGACGTCTGTAGGCGTGCCTCACGCATAGGTAAAATACTACTTAAGCTTGGCGTAAGCGCTTGCCCTTGTATGCGGACTCTAGTGGGGGTGCTCCGTGCCTAGACCTAAGCCACAGGACAGGATATGCACCAGCCACACGGGGAGATTTCTGCCGAGGCACCCCAAAATCATAGGTTCCTGTGGAATTGCCAAAAACCTAAACTTAATGTGGACGAAGTTGCTGGCGGCCCCTTAGTTATCTATACAGCATAAATGTGAATCCCGGCAAACTTCTTGAGTAAAAATAGCAGCGCTGTAACAATTTTTACACACAAAAACGTCTAGTGTCCAAGTTTATTTGTCTATGGTTTTGCTCAAGAAGTTTATAACCCTTAAGTAGGTACCAGAGAATAGAAAGTAGTCATCCTTTGAAAACAATTATCTAAAATAGGGATGATGACGGGGTAAAGTACAGGAAATTCTATTTAGTCCGTCCGATAATATTATCAAAAAATGGAAACGTATTTATTCTTTTGTCAATCTACCAAAAAAGGACAAATATAAAGCGCGTTTGGGCATGGAGGCTCATGACATCACTTCTAAGTAAAAATTATATCAAGATGTGATGTCATGCGACAGCGACGTTCCAAATCACTAGTGTCAATTCTGGCGGGATTCTCTAAACTTAAAACTAATTTTAACATCAGTCTCTCCTTTTCATTCTGTATAGAGAACGACAAAGATACACTGTTGTCAAATTTAGGTTTATATTTCATGCCAGAATCGATACCAATGTTCCTCTTAATTTTTTTGATAATGTGAAGAAAGAAAAATATACATGTCCAATACTCAATTAAGTCTAAGATTCGGAGCCCCCCATCTTATTTGCCCTAGACCAAAGACCAGACACCTCTAAATCTGCCCTGAACGCAACTCTTAAGGCAGAAACATATTAACGCGCCGTGGCGTTTCGTGACGCGCAAGTTGCACATCGGTTTCGTACATTTATTATGGTTAGAGACATATTTGTAGGGCGTGTTGTGTCGACACGAATAGCCAAGTGAAATGCCAGGATTAGAAATACTTATGTATTTATAATTTATCAGTTGTTTCAACTGCCTGCCTGATTACAGTAATAAATTATAATATTTTTTTATTCTTTTTACAGATTGCTATATATCCAGTTGGCTGTCACAATATCCTCAGCCGCGGGCTCTGCAATTTGCCCGTTTTTGTCGGGAGCTCTCGGTAACGTGACGTATGTACTGTTAGTGACAACTGCTCTCTTCGCCGTCACATATGTGCACATTGCTTTGTGTTTAAAAGAGTCTTTGAAGACGGCAACTCAGGTATGTATTATGTCAGCACTTCACATGGCTATTCTTCCACTTCCACTTTGGGTATTATGGCTCCATCGTTATGCACGATGATTCTGCCAATGTCAGGGTTAAGAAAGGCACTGTTATATCGGTACTCTTCTTTGTACGGTGTGGTAGCCCGGTTACTACGTGGAGCTATCGCGTGGAGTTGAGATTCTAGAATAGGACAACACATATAACATCACAAGCGGATATGTACCCAAGCATACAAATTATTAGTGTCTTTATTACTGTAGTAAAGCATTGGAGTTGGATTGTAAGAGGTGACACGGCAAAGTATATATGCAATTTATGGCTATTCTTATTTGCTATCCGTCATTTTTACAGCAGGTTGTTCTTATCATACCCTACAGGGAGCGAAAAAAAGACACTGTTATTAAATTTACAAATAGCATTTAATAGTGTAGTTCCTTATAGCAGAACTACACTTATCTGTTGTGTTGTGACGCATTACCGAACTATCTGTTTCATACATTTAGTTTGGTTAGAGTGAGAACAGTGTCGAAACATAGCGACACGCGTTCTAAGTGTACTAAATGTATGAAACCGATCGTGCCACAACACTACACTACAGATATGTAAGTATATTTCTGCCTTTCCAGTTCATTGCTTGAAAGTTGGATTGCGTTTAGATTTTCGTAAAGACACGACATTTTAAGAAAATAATGAATCTAAGTAATCGATCAGATCAATGTTAATGCTGAAAATAAAATAAAAGAAACTATAACATTGGTATAAATATTATGGAACTCAAGCTAATTATAAAAAGGAACTTTGTTCCAAAACCTTCCATCGATTAATGTCGCTATAAAATAAATTAATCGAAAGTTTTTTTTTCAGGGCACGATTCTGACGGTACTCAATATCGAACACGTGAAAGAAATGATATATGTTTGCTTTAGAAGGAAGCCTAATTATGGGAGGGCAATCAGTCTCCTCGTCATTATGGCATCAGCACTGTCCGTGTTTACCACTTATGGGATATCGGGCTTAATGTACCTGTATACTAGGAACAAAATCCATTGGACGATGAAAGACTACACCATATTTATGGCCATTGGCCCTATAATATGGCTGATGGGATCTGTCGGCGCCATCGCAGTGTTGCAGCCAGTGTTTCGTATAAGCGACACAGTTTTCTCTTTGATCTCATTCATGAGTGTTATGGTGGAATATGCTATTAAAGCGTTTGCAACGAAAACCTGGCAAATGTACTTTGGTAAGTCACACTATTACAGTTGGCTTAAGATGGGCTTTCGTAATAAGCGTCAGCGACACGCCGCGACAGAGCGTCAGATACAATTTCTATGCAAATGTAAATGTCAGCGTCGGTCAAAGCGGCACTTAGGCTGGAAACAGTACTCGACCGACGGTTGGGGCTGACCGTCGGTCAAAAAGAAAAAAAAGAACGAAAAGATAATATATTTGTTTCTTAGGTTTTCACCCACATCACTCATTAAATAAAACTAAAATAAACTCAAAAGTCTTTCGAAGGTAGCTCGACAAATTAAATAAAAGTTTTATTCTGACGACGTAGCCTGTAAAGGCTACGAAACGTCAATAAGTAAATAAAGTTTTCGTGCATTAACCCGTCAAAACTAGTTTTATTTGAAAAGATAATAGATGAAACAGTGGCTCAAAGAGCGAATTACTTTGAACCACCTTAATATTTTACGGATTCTTGATTCAGATGACTTTCTGAATTTTCTAAGAATAGATCAAGACACTTTTAATGAATTACTTGAAATGGCGCGTCCAATGATTACATAGAAAAATACAGTTATGCGTCTGTGTCTGCTGAAGAACGGTTAATAGCTACATTAAAATTTCTGGCTACGAAAAAAAGTTATAAAGATCGCAGATTCATTACAGTTACATCATTTCAATTGCTTTCCAAAAATTATACCTAAACAAGTTCCCGTGCTTCAGCTTTTTGGTTCTTATCTTTGTATAAATCGGAACCAATGTCCCAAAGACATGGTAAATCAATATATAAAGATATAAATTCGGACAGAACCTCTCGTTCGAGGCGTTCATTTTGCAATTCCATTGCAACACGTGATGACTGACAAGCGCAAACTGAAGCGCTCGTGTCGGCCGAAAGCGTTCCAGACAGTCGGAACATAGTCGGGACCGACCACGAACGCAGTCTGTCGCGAGAGATGCGCTTACGACCAAGGCCGTTGACATCAACCAAATAATGGTCGGGTCAACCGTTTTCTACACTGTCCACTTTTATATCAACCCGACCAAGACCACGATGGTCGGCAGTCGATCCCGACCGTGTAGAAGGCCTTTTACAATGTCATTTGCATAGAAATTCTATCTGACGCTCTGTCGCGTTGTCACTGACGCTCGCTACGAAAGCCCACCTTAAGGTAGTTAACATACGTTTTATATTATGTTGTTCATGCAGTTTATTGTTCGTTCGCTTTTATTCAAGAGTCTGTCGGTCCCTAATTCTAGAGTTTTGTACCTTTTTCGGTAATTGGCAGAAAAATCAAAGTAGAGAACCGAAGTTGAATTCATTTTCGTTCGTTTGTTAAGAACTGCATTGAAAATTTTCTCCCATAATAACAAAAAATACGTTCGAAACTTAAAATTTTCTTATTAGGCATTAGAAATCTCCGTAATTATAATGTTACAAAATGATTTAGTGAAAGAATAACATCAAAAACGTTATAGCTTCAAGTAAAACGTAGGCACATATTAGAACCAATATTGTTGGTTTATTTCGTAAATTTTCTTTGTTCCCATTATTATTAAACGATCATCATCATCAGCCTATTAATGTCCCCACTGTCGGGGCACAGGCCTTCCCTATGGATGGAATAGGGAGATTGGGATATAAGCCACGCGGACCCAGTGCGTATTTGTGGGTGCGGTGCGGTACAGCCGAGATTATAAATGTTTTGGTCACCCATCACAGATAGGCCATTGCGCAAGTCGCAAAACCGTACCTCACCATAACTTGTATTTCAAAATTCTCTAATGAAAAGGGTTTCGTTAAGAACGGTATAGCCTAAATCAGGGGTCTCCAAGTGTCATCAATCCGGCCCGCGACAGCTTAAGACTAGCATCATCAATCTAGCCCACGACAGCCAATGTTTTATTGTTGTTGCTGTGATAAATTGAATGGAATAAAATGAAAACACAGAATGATAATTACTCGGTTTTATTTACTTGCAATGTAACTTTACGACAAAAATTATGACGCACAAAGCTAAACTTAAGTATCTCAGCTTAGGCATATTAATAACTAACAAATAATTAATATGACATTAATTCCACTAATCAAACAAAAAAGAAACACTAATGACATTTATGTAATTGTGATTTTCCAGTGATAATGTTTGTAGTTGTGGATTAATTTTACTTGTACCAATTATTAGAAGAGTTTTAAGATGCTCATCGGTTAATTTAGATCTGTAAACATTATTTGTGTGCTTCATTTTGGAAAACGCTTTCTCACACAAGTACGTAGTACCAAAAAACACAAAACAGCTCACGAGCTATTTGATGCAAATTATTCAATTGTACCAGTGGCAAACTCTTATAAAATTCCAATAAAGATGAATTTAGATATTTGTTCTTAAACATGTCACTGCACTGTAAATCAATAATTTCCATTTGGACTTTCGGAGGCAGAGTTTCAACGTAAGAATCAAAAGGATTTTGAAAAAGCTTAATTTCATTCGCAATGACATCAAAGTCTGAAAAACGAGAATCGAAATTTATCTTTAAAGCATTCAAAGTAGATCGACTGCAAAATTAACAGGAAATTCAGTCTCTGTAGTATGGCTAAATATTTCACATGTTTTAAAATGTATGAAACATTTTTTACGTAATTGCGATTGGAATAGTATTATTTTCTGCCTTGAATATTTTGATATTGGTGTATAAATCAGAGAGATGCTGATTTTCTCCTTGCAATCTCAAATTCAGTTCGTTCATATGATTTGTCAAATCGACATAGAATGCTAATTTCCACAGCCATTCACTGTTTCCTAAATCGACACAAGGGTTTCTCATTAAAAAAAAAACTGTGCTCGAAGTTCAAAAAAGCACTTAAGAACTTTTCCGCAACTAAGCCAGCGTACGGCAGTATGATATGGCAAGTCATTTTCTCCAATCTCTTCAATAAACTCGCGGAATTGTCGGTGATTCAGTCCTGTGGATCTGATGAAGTTAGCAACTGATATGACTGGTTTTAGAACTTCAGATAAATCCAAACAATTCGCACAAGGACTGTTGATAAATGATACAATGTAAACCTAATGGTTTTGAACCACCGTTATTTTGCGACTACTCCTTTATTTTTACACACATAGTTTTGCCTCCATCGGTGGTGATAGATTTCAAGTTTTTCCATCGAAGGTTCCTTTTATTAATGGCATTTTCAACTCCCTTAAAATATCTGCCCCAGTTGTCGTGCCGTGAATACTATCAATATCAAGAAGTTCTTCATACACATCATGGCTTTTATCTACTCCACGAATAAAAATCAACACCTGAGCAGTATCTGACACATCTGTTGACTCATCCAAGGCCAGAGAAAACCACTCAAGATGTCCATTTTTTAGACAGTTGAGATATTGTCTGTCTTGCTCCCTCCGAGCCACGGTGTTTGCTGACAAACTGACACCTTTCAATAAATTTAACTTTTCGGTGCATATTTCTTCAGCTACTGCAATCAAGCAGTCTTTTTTCATTACTCCATCGGTGAATGGTTTTCCACGTTTTTCAATTTCAAGAGCCACACGAAAGCAGGCGCGGGTTGTAGACTCTTGCTCAGTGTTTGCTTTGGTAAACAAAGATTGCTGCGATTTCAGTCCGCGCTTCAAAACTTCGCCATCCGCAAACTTCCTGTATATTTAGAGTAATTTTGAAAATGTTTCGATTCATAGTGATGTTTAATGTTATATTCTTTGAGAACAGCTATAGTTTCATTACAAATTAGACATAGCGCCTTATTATTGCACTCAATGAAAATATACTGAAAGTTCCATTTATCTTGGAACGTTCTGCATTCCTTGTCTATTTTTCTTCTCCTTTTCTATACGAATAAATCACACATAAAACAAGTCTAATCAAAATACTCTTACTTCTGCACGGGTGTTACTTTATTTCACAATAGGCAGTTTTGCTTCCTTCGCCTTTCCCACGCAAACTGACTCGCAATGGCGCCGCTAGCCTTTTTATACTTATGAAATTACTGCCATCTAGAAGTGATCGAAAAAACAAGTCAGAACTAGACCTTTCTCGAACCAATGCGGAAATTCCCAAATATGCCACCTGTTAGTGGGTAGCAGAAATAGATAGTACCTGCATAGTATCACTACTCGCCACTAGATGTTCATACGTGTCATAATATACTGAATACAAAATCAATGGTAATTGAAATGCAAAAAAGCCTATGTTTGCTTAGTTAGGTGGGCAGAAAAATTTAAATTGTTTTAGCCGTTGGAACATACCGAAAAAAATATTATGGTATATTATGGCCTAAATAATACTAACTAACTAACTGGATGATGACTAACTTCTTTTACTTCGTCTTTTAGGTAGATTATCAAAAAGTATTGGACACGTATTCTTTTTTCACATTCTAATCAAAACATAGCACATATATAATATATTGATTAATCTTAATTATATAAAAAAGCTAGGGCATAGCGGATTTTCCGCTCAAATTGGAGCGCCCGTCTAAAGAAGTACTCCACCTTACAGAAGACAACGGAACAACAACAAACATTAAAATCACACTACCTTTTGGTGGTGTGGTGTTTCTGTCGTTGAGTAAGATTCCAGAAGAATCGAGTGATATTTATTGTATTGCAAGCGAAACCATAGGCTTGTTTATCTGTCTTTTAACATAAAAAAAATAGTATGAAGGTGATGATTGATAAATCTTGCTCGTTTCCAGGTTCGGCCATATCCCTTTTCGGCACAGTATCGGGTGCCTTGTTGAGGGCGATACAAACTAAAGCATTGCCCGCCGCCGACGTTGCCAAGGTGTTTGCGCTACAGAGTTCCGCGGAGGCGATATGTCCGCTCCTAGCGCCAGTTTTATACAACATGCTATACGCTTACACTATAGACAGCTTCCCTGGGGCTTTCCTTCTTCTCTCCACTGCAATAAACGTCGTTTGTTTCATATTGTTGTCGTAAGTATTTTGAATTAAGTAAAATTTATAAAAAAGACGATACAAACTAAAGCATTGCCCGCCGCCGACGTTGCCAAGTTGTTTGCGCTACAGAGTTCCGCGGAGGCGATATGTCCGCTCCTTGCACCAGTTCTATACAACAAGCTCTACGCTTACACTATAGACAGCTTCCCCGGGGCTTTCCTTCTGCTCTCCACTGCAATAAACGTCGTTTGTTTCATATTGTTGTCGTGAGTATTTTGAATTAAGTAAAATTTATAAAAAAAACTGGCTTCTAGGCGTGGCGTTTATCCTAATAATATTATAAATGTGAAAGTTCCTATGTTTGTTTTGTGTATTTGTATGCTTGTTACTCGATCGCAAAAATGCTGAACGGATTTGAATGATTTTGACATATGTCTATTTGATATACTTGTTCCGCAAAAAAGTTAGATTCCTGTGGGATTCTCAAAAAAAAAAGTTTACGCGGACGAATTTGTGGGCAGCCGCTAGAATACCTATATGTCTAGGCGTGTATAAAAAGTATAAACTGAATATTTCGTTTTGGTTAGATATACAACACGAATCAACAGCTCCGTTAAAGTCTCTGTAGCATAATGATTGAACGTGGACGAAGGCGCGGGCGGCCGCTTCTAAATAAAAATATAATAAAACTGATTTTTACATGTTTTTGCAATTCAACATGAAATGAAGTATTCACTTCAAAGGTCCCCTTGGCCCAGCAGTTAGTGATCCTGACTGTGTCACAGCCGCCCGGGTTCGAATACCGGAGAGGAAAAAGTTTTTGTGATGAACACTTGCATTTTCTCACCTTTGATGGATGGATAATATGTATCTAAATAGGTCTTTACAAATTATACGTTGTGTAGCAGCCATGGTATACACCCTGGCCAACTTCCTGAGCAACGACCATAAACAAGGAAACCTGCGCAGTAGCATTTTACATACAAAATCGTCTACTGCGCAAGTTTATTTTTGCCTCTGGTTTTGTTCAAAAAGTTTATTATCGCTACTTATACAAGCTCATTTGAGGCTAGAAGCTTGGTTTTAGTGTCCAATATTGATTTATATACCTCTGAATAACTCTGAAGATATTAAAATGACGGATATTTTTAAAATGAGTATCTTAGTACCTGTTTTTATTTCAGGATCGTCTTACACCTCATGAAGAAGAGTTCAAATACTACCTATCAGACTATTGAGCCTTAACTAAAAACAATTTGTAATAATAATGACTGCATTATTTATTAAGTATATATGTATTTTAAATTAAATATTAGCTTGATAATGGACTTAATACTTGCACAAGTTCTGTAAACCTAAGACTGCACAGTGACTTAGTTTTTTTTTTATAGTTGTCAACCTATTGGCTTATTCTTTTATTATGTCTAATGCTAGCCATACACACTACGAGAAATCGTTACGATCAGACTGTACAGTTCGAACGGAACAGTTTATCGGACGTGGCGTACGTATAGGAAACTGTGCAGTTTTATGACATACACGCTACGATTTATCGGTACCGTTCGGACGGTACAGTCTAATCGTAACGATTACTCGTAATGTGTTTGGCCGGTATAAGAAAGTGACAATGGTGTCGATTCTGGCATGATTCTCTAAACCTAAACTTAAATTTGACAGCAGTGGTATCGATTCTGGCGTGATTCTCTAAACATAAAACTAAATTTAACAAGAGTGTATCCTTGTCATTCTCTATACAGAATGAAAAGAATACATTGTTGTCAAATTGAAGTTTAGATTTAGAGAATCGTGCCGGAATCGACACCAGTGTTATCCTTGTCATTCTCTATACAGAATGAAAAGGAGAGACTGATTTTGAATAACATAATAATAATAATAGTTCATTTCTCTCATAAAATTCGTCACACAATAATAAACATGAGTTGATAGACAAGGCACCCGTAATACAGAAGCTAACTTTTGCACTGCCGGAGTCCTATCCACCTCACAAAGGATGTTATAAATCAGTTTTAAGTTTAGAGAATCACACCTGAATCGACTCCAGTATCAGATATAAGGAAAAACCGAAGAAGTGCGAATCGGACCGTAAAAAATTTGTCGGTACAATAGGTAGTATTATTTACATAGTAAAAGTTGAAAGATTTGCTCACCCATAGAATTTTGATCACGTATACCGCTTCGTAACGTATGATTTTAGCAAATGTATACCTAGTTATATTTTTATTTTTAAGCATTTATCTGCTACATGTTAAATCTAAAGATTTTTTTTCTAGAAAAAATTTCTTTTCAGTATTTTACCAGTACTTGCAGTATAAAGACGATATTACTTGCCAAATTTCATAGTTCTAGGTCAACGGAAAGTACTCTATCAATTTTGATTTCCTTATGAGTGTCAAAATATACATTTTATGCATCATGATGACCTCCGTGGCCGAGTGGTTTGTACGCCGGGTTTCATGGTGTCGCCGACTCTTGAGGTTCCCGGGTTCGAATCCCGGTGGGGCAGATAATTGTGTGATGAATACGAGCATTTGTACTCCAGTCATGGATGTTTAATATGTATTTCTAAATAAATATACTTGTATATGTACAGTATATGTATTCTATCCGTTCCCTAGTATCCCATACACAAGCCTTACAGTGCTTACTTTGGGGCCAGGCTATTTAGTGTGAGTGCTGGAAATTTTTATTATTACTATTATTTATAAACGGCTGTATCTTTTACGTTAACCTAGAAGATTGTATTGACAGACAGAAGAATAAACCTTTTTCTTTTGAGGTACGGAACCATAAAAATTACAGTAGTATATGTTTATCATGCTCTAATGTTAAAGAAAAGGAGAGCTTAGCTTAGAGAATAATACCAGTGTAAGGTCCATCGTAATGTAATTATTATTTAAATGATTTATTAAATGAGGAGCTGGCGAACAAAACGGTAATAATTACACTTCTGGTCAAAACACTTTTTTTTACAGTCCGGAGGTTCTGGGCCCGCTGAATTTGAATTTTCTATTGAATATTCATTTTCAAACAAAGCCACCTAAAACAGTATTATTATTACTACATTTAAAACCACGCCAAAAGCTCAGTGTAGGTATGTCATTCAGTTTTTTACTGCTCCTGTAAAATTTAATCTTTTGTAATTATGCATTTTTGTTTGCTCCTCAAATAAGATAGGTGTGTGATGTACACATCTATATATCTAATTTATTATTGACAAGTGTGTTTCATGCTCTTTATTTATTTATTTATTTTATTCTTCATGCACATTGTACAATGGCGGACTTAATGCCGTAGGCATTCTCTACCAGTCAACCATAGGGTGTTGTGGAGATTTTAGTGGCAGGGTGCACAACTGAGGTGGAGATCACATTTAAAGATTTTTTTTATATATTTATATATAATTTTTTTTTGGAAAATATATTTTTAAGAAGTTATATAATTTTTGTATTTTTTTACAAAGCTGAAAATAATTTTTCAATAATTATTTGTGTAACTGTCGCACTTCAAGACGTTAATTAATTAAGTTTAATTTGTTCCTTTGCAAAAACAATTATTAAGGTATTAAGTAGGTACAATAACTTTCGGAAGCATTTAATTTATTAATATTAATGTGATGGCTGTTGTTGCTGATGATTTTTATAAAAAACAATTTATTTGCTGCAGCCATTAAATGCATCACTTATTTTCCTTTTTCTTCGATAAGCAAAAAACAGGGACCTTATACACCACAAACGCTTAAAACAACGAAAATCCGCCTTATTTAGTAGAATATAAAGTAGTTTTTTAATCATACATAATTGGGAGTAAGGTTGAATTGTTATCATCCTCCAGGAAGAAAGAGTAAATCTTTTTCTTCCTGGAGGTAGCATTGATGTAGTACACAAAATTATAAACGTACACATTGTGACGTATATTTTGTAATCTATGTTGTTGATTATAAAAAAAGTAGAGTTCTAAAATCAAGTACCTATGATTAATTATAAAGTAAAAGTGCAATAGAATCACTGTACCTAATTTAAACTTAATTGTTATACGTGAATAAAACTAAAGATGAAAATAAAATTTACCGTTTTTTTCTATTGATACAAAGTGGAGAAGAGCACGAGACGCAGACCGCTGACATACCGGCGGAAAAAAGGCGAATAGTAAATGGATATTCCGTGGTCCCATTTGGGTATGGAACCTAAAAAAGATTTAACCATAAGTAATAAACGTTGCGGTACCCCATAAACTTACCCATGTTCCTGGCAGATGTCAAATAAGTATACACAGAGCCCTCTTTCCCAGTGGGCACTTTGGGCAAGTGCCCAGGGCTCCGCAATCGATAGGTGCCCCCTCAGATCAAATACAAACTCCCTATTTCCTGTTAGATCACCAAACGGGTGTCGTAGGAGCCCCATTATCCTAATATGTCCAGGGCCTCCAATAGGTCCAAGACGGCACTGAGTATACATCAAACAAAATTACATCAAATGATCAACCTTATTCTATGAATGCCATTGTAAGTTGACGAACCTGACTAGACAAAACTCACGGACTGCAAGGCAAGCAAACGATGGAAGCCATTCCTAAGGTAAAGCTATCATATTACATTGGGCGATTTTACATTGTTTCTATGTACTTGTCTATTTGACATTACTTTTTTTCTCTTTTTTCTGATTTTCTTAATTTCATTGAATTGGAATGAATACCTTCTATGAATGTTAATATTTTTATGTATGACTTGCCGGCGTTTTGGATTTTTCTCTAAGCCGGCATGTGTAACTGGAATAAATAAATCACCAACAAATAGCAATATGTACTATGACGTAAATTACCCGAACTAGTCTTGAAACTAATTGGGTATACTCACGGTCTTAGGGTAAATGCCCAACTGTGGGACCAACAGAACTCTTACGCAATTAATATACAGTGCATATTCAAAGCTCGTTGCTTTTTCACACACTTTTATTAAGTCGACTTGTAACAAACTAACTTTGTAATAAAATCTAAGAATCTGAATTACACGCACTTGTAATTCTTGTATCATCATGAAACTTGGCAATTATATGTCGATTATATGATAATACAATAATATTAATGTGATGGAAGTTGACATCAACACATGTATTCAATTTTTGATGTTATCTTTCAATTGACGACACTGTGTGAAACAAAACAGGGAGAAAAAAATAGCCCTTGCTGAGTTTCTTGCCGGTTCTTCTCAGTACAAGGTCTCCCGCCGTAGATTTACGAACCGATGGCGTAGCATTTGACTTTCACAAGAGCTTGTAACAGCCTAGACTGAATAAATGAGTTTGAATTGAATTGAATTGAATATTATGGTACCATCAAGCTGGTATGATGATGGTACTGGAATGTGATGGAACCTTTGACTGCCTACTAGTAAACATACCAAGTTTGGGCTCACTACATTCGTCTTAACAAATTCTGTTCATTTTTCCTGATGACGAGGACTTGACGATGGGCTGGAAGGTGGCTGATGGACCCTGGACTGCCTACTAGTAAACAAATCAACTTTGGGCTTATTAGATTCGTCTTAACATATTCTGTCAATTTCTCCTGATGACAAGGACCTAACGATGGACTGGAAGTCTTCTGATGGACCCTGGACTACCTAGTAGTAAACATATCCAGTTTGGGCTAATTACATTAGTCTTGATATATTCTGTTTATGAAAAGAGAAAAATAAATTAATACTTTTTAAAACTAAAAACACGCTTTTATTTACTGCACTAAAAAGTCAAAAATAAACAAAATATACTCTTGTTTTACTTCATTAGGGCCTTAGAGTAAGCCTGTTTATAGTTTCTTTTAAAATATGCATTTAGATAACTGAAAAAGCGTGAGGCGTTATTCATTACAATATTCATCAAATCAAATAATACATAACGTCGTGATAGATAATGCTCAACAATTCGGTTAAAATTTAATAATGAAGCGCCCCACACTTTCTTCAGTTATATGTAAGGTTATGTTAAAATAAACTATAAACATGGCTTACTCTTAAGCCTTAATGAAAGTAAACACAGAGTATATTTCGTTTACTTTTGGCTTTTTAGTGCAGTAAATAAAAGCGTGTTTTTAGTTAGTTTTTTAAAACTATGAATTTTTGCTATTGAGCGTAGCCACTCAATCAACAGCCGCGTTCACAACAGGAGGAGGAGGAGCTCGATGGCGCAGGTGGTTAACGCGTTCGGCTGCGATCGTTGAAGTTAAGCATCTTTCGCAGTGGTCGGTCATTGGATGGGTGACCAAAAATCTTCTATATCGAGTTCTTCCGTGCTTCGGAAGGCCCGTTAAGCTGTTGGTCCCGGCTGCATCTGCAGTCGTTAGCACCCGCTAATCCGCACTGGGCCCGTGTGGTGGGTTATGGTCCAATCTCCCTATTCCATCCATAGGGAAGGCCTGTGCCCCAGTAGTGGGAACATTAATAGGCTGATGATGATGTGCACACCAGCCTCAAACCCCAATACCTTTAAAGATGTTTTATATTAAAAAAACTTTTCAAGGTTTTAAGAAATAATCACAATTGGCTCTGGTTTGGAGGCAAGCGCAGCCATTGTAAGTTCGGTTTGGTGTGTGTGTGTTGATGGTGATTCCCCGTCATTGGTCGTCGCGGTTACAAACTAATCTTACGAGTATGACTCAACCGAATTGTGGACTTGTTTAAAATAAAGGTAGGTTTTAGTGTTCGCTCGTGTTTTAGTTTGAATTATCTATATGATAATTTTTATCTCATTCACTTCCGGCGGTCCTGCAATATTGCGGGCATTTATTAAAGTGAATTTTAAATAAGTATGCACGTACCTACTTACCTAAAGTTGTTAGCTAGAAAAAAACTCATTAAATTTAATAGGGAAAAATAATTTACTTTAGAAAAAAAAACGAAAAATTCTACATAATTTCCAACTTATAAGTTCTTACCTAATGTAACTTGTACAAAGAGTAGCTTACGTACAGAGACAAGGACAACATTCTTATGCACGTCGTCGCTAGAAATGTGACCAAATTCGATAATAAACAAATGTTACTACGGTTTGTCACTAATGTGAAGCTTATGGTTCAAATAGGACCAATCAATATATCTCATTTAAAAATCTGCTACCGGCCGCTTTACTATCTGCCCCTATAGAATTAGTAAATCAATCAAAACATATGTAGTTCAATAGCGAATGCCTTGGCTTCTACCGCCCCACATAGCTCCGGGCCATTACCCCTTTTGTGCTTTTGACCCTATGCGTACAGAGTCCTTAGCCATTATGTAACGAAAAAAAAACTAAACGAATAATGATTAGAACTTCTTATCTCTCGACGTCCTCGAATTATTGCTATTTTTGTAACCATTCATCACAATGACGGATTTTTAGAACTATAAAAGATACTTGTTAAAGAAAAGACCGACAGAGTATTAAAAACTGTATAAGATGCAATTTTAACATTGCAAAAAAGCTAAACGAATAATGATTCGGACGTTCTTCATCTCTCCACGTCCTTGAATTATTGCTATTTTGTAACCATTCATCACATGACGGATTTTTAGACAAACTATAAAAGATACGAACACTTGTTAAAGACAGACCGATAGAGAAAACTGTATTTCATCATCAGCCTCTTAATGTCCCCACTGCTGGGGCCCAGGCCTTCCCTATGGATGGAATAGGGAGATTGGGCCATGACCCACTACGCGGGCCCAGTGCGGATTGGCGGGTGTTAACGACTGCAGATGCAGCCCGGACCAACGGCTTAAGGTGCCTTCCGAAGCATGGAGGAACTCGAGAAGATTTTTGGTCACCCATCCAATGACCACGGCGAAAGTTGCTAAACTTCAACGATTGCAGCCGAACGCGCTTTCCACCTGCGCCATCGAGTTCCTCATAAAAACTGTGTAATATGCAATTTCAGACTGAAAAATCGACCACATCACAATTAGCCGCACTTTAGTTTGAGGACGGCCGCGGCGGCAGTATAACACTGTCAGTTACGCATTCATGTAGCGAAATTCACTTTTCCTTCAACACTGCAATCCGTCATATTTATATTATCAGATGTTTTGTTTGTGGTGGATCCCTTGAAAATGCAGTCTAGTATTAAATAAGTAGTGGTGAAGTTAGGACGCAAGTTAAGTATTATTGGCGAAAAAGAAAACCTCGTACTCACAGTTATTTAGGTACCTAGTAAATACAAGATATTTATTTTATCTTTGTTCTTTGAAAATGGAACCTGTTGGAAGTAATTCTAATGAGAGTGAAACTGAAACAGGCGGTAACACTAACAACAGTGATGATCAGCCGACGCAGCCTCACAAGTTCGCGGTGTATTTGGAATTTCCGTTGCTACTTACAATGCTGGGAATCGCCATATCAGGTATCTAAGCTTATCTTCTTGGAATTTATTATTCTAAGACTATCTTTTTACCCAAGTGATAATCTTTTTTGATGTTATTATTAGAGCATTTTTACACCATGTGTATGTTTTGGCAGTTGTTTCAATATTGATATTGAATAACTATAAATATAGGTACCTACTCTTTATACAAATGTTTTATAAAGCAATTGACTTTTGCCGTCTAGTGTTATTATGTGGTTTTCCTTATTTTGATGCCTTAATGAAACGAAATATATTATTTACACAAGTTACAAACTTTTTAACCGGTAGGTGAAGGATTTTGTGCGCTCTGTACGTCGAGTGCGAGTTAATCCTTGATTTAAGATTACTATCGCGTTTGTATAATTTTGTTAAAAAAAGGGACAACTGAATTAACCGCTGGTAGCATGCCTCCGCACCGCAACGCTTTGTCCCCGCACCGCAACGCGCCACGCGCCGCTCAAAATACAACGGTCACGGCGCACGCCTCAGCCCCAGCACCGAAGGTTTTCAAATATTTCAAGCTCATTTTCTTTAATATTGTTATTACCAATGCTAAAGAAAAAAAAGAGAGCGAGGCATTTGAAAACCTTAGGCGTTCTGAAATAACAAAATGAAATCGAAAGCAATAGTGATAGCCATAGCAGTCCTGTTAGGCAATTAGCCCCCAGGTTGTCTCGCGCCGGTACGACCTGCCCCGTCACCGCGCCGCGTAGCCACCGTTCCATCTTGTGTGTGTAGTCTTTCTTACTAATTCGAATTTTACAAAAAACCGCCTCCACCTCCGGCTTCTGTGTTTTGGCCTTTAATTGGATAAAATTTCTTCAAGGTGTTGAAGTTCAACTTAACAATAAAATGGATATAGCAAGCATTGTAAACATTACAAGCATTACAAGCAAACATTACAAGAAGAGAAGGTGTGTGATAAATGTTGCCGATTGTAAATTAAAAACAAAAAAAAGAAAAACAAATCAAGAAAAAGAAATCACCTATAAATAATAAATAAATAAATATTTCCAACACTCACCCCAATTAGCCTAGCCCCAAAGTAAGCACTGTAAGGCTTGTGTTATGGGATTCTAGGGTAACGGATAGAATACTTATACTGATACATATGTTTAGAAATACATATTAAACATAAATGACTCTAGTACAAATGCTCGTATTCATCACACAAAGATCTGCCCCCACCGAAACTCGAACCCTCTAGTCGGCGACACCATGAAACCCGGCGTACAAACAACTCTGCCACGGAGGTCGTCAAAATTCAAAATTAAGTAATGTGCAATGTAGCTGCCTTCTGCCTTAACTGTGGCACTCATTCTCTGTACCTTACTACCCTGATCGTGCCACGTTTTTTTAAGTTAAAAGGGTGCGGTGGTAAGCGGTCACCATAGCCTAAATCACTTCGGTGGTGTCGTGTAAGGCGGGTCGTTGCGTTCCCTAAAAAATGCCTAGCGAAGCGATGGCTGGTTCATGCCCCATGCTCGTGAACGGGTGCTGCCAGCGGAGATTACTTAGTCTGCTCTTGCTTCACATTAATCGTTGTACTAAACTTTAATCGTTAATTTTTTTTGCCTGAATAGTAGGACATGGAACTCCTAAACATTCCTAATCTTTGTTAAACCAGTTTTTTAAATTTTTTTTTTATAGTCATAATTTTTATATTATTTGCATTTGTAAGTAATGGAAAGTGTATTTATGAGTTACCTCATATTGAAATCATTTTTCAATTTGACGACTGTATATAATACAGGGAGAAAAAAACAGCCCTTGCTGAGTTTCTTGCCGATTCTTCTCAGTACAAGGTCTCCCGCCGTAGATTTGCGAACCGATGGCGTAGCTTTTCGACATTCACAAGTGCTTGTAACAGCCTACGCTGAATAAACGATATTGAATATTGAATTCTTTTGAATTATAAAGTATATATAGACGCTTGCGATAGCTTGTGATACAAAAAATATCACTCGCGCCGTTGCCTTCCCTGTCCCAATCCCCTACCCCTTGGAGCCCTGGAATCTTACTCACTGACTTTACTATGGTTTCCTACAGGAAACGTACACCTTACAAGGTGGAGGTTACTTCCCCAGACGGTGCCCTCGTTATTGTAAAAGTTTACCTAATATATAATATTTCAGGTGCACCTACAAGTAACCTCTTAATGTACCGTACATGCCTGCATTCCTTAAACCACACGGTGGAAGAGTGCCAGTCGTTCCTCCTTCCCGAAGCTATAAATCATACCCAGGAGCTGGAAGATGAGGTTCAGCACTACGCCACGTTCGTGACCACGGCGAGGACGGTGCTCCAGGCTGTGGTACCCGCTGTCATGTCCCTGTTCATCGGAGTGTGGTCGGATAAGCATGGCAGGAAACCGCTGGTGGTGTGGCCAGTATTAGGTGGGTTTAGCGGCGTATTTTGAAATTTGGCGTCCAGGGGGCCATTCGCCTAACGGAAATGTTTTGGAAAACGCTAACGCTTACGATTTCATTTTGTTATTTCTAGCCGCCTGAGGTTTTCAAATGCCTCGCGCTCACTTTTTTCTTTTGCATTGCTAATAACAATATTAAAAAAATGAGCATGAGGTATTTGAAAACCTTCGGCGGTCAGAAATAACAAAATAAAATCGAAAGCGTTAGTGTTTTCCAAAGCATTTCCGTTAGGCGAATGGGGCCTGTGAGATTAGCAGTCCATTTTAATAATAAAATTTCATACTATATTAAAAGCGGCCAAAATTGGCCTTTTGACGGCCTACCATCCCGGGCCATGGCCCTTTTAGTATATACGCCCCTGGGTGAAAAGTAAAATATAAAAACCTGCCATGTGCGTTTCGGACTTACAAATTGATGATCAATATCGTGTTCACGTACCTTTTTTATTTTAATAAAGTAATTTTCTGTAAGGATATAGGTATTCCGCTGTGTTAAAATGCAGGCGGGGTTAGTCATTTACCTACTTTTCAGGGGTAAAACTTTTACAAATCAGCCCAGACGACCGCTATTGACCCCCACTGGGGATTCCAAGAATTGATTCATAGATAAACGTTAGATAAGGATAAATACGTATATATCAGAAGAAATAAAAAGTACCATTATGCATTATTTGTATTTGGCTTTGATAATAATTTTTATGGAGGACTAGGAAAAAATGCACTCGCGGGAGATAGGAGTGATATAAAAATATGTACGTCATATTTATTGCTAATGCTAATTGCTATTGCAAGTAAAGAGACAGCATCAAGTTTAACCAAAAATCAAAATAATTATCGACAGTAATTAAAAAATATGAAATAAAAATTTAATAGAATTTTTTAAAAAATCCCTTACCCAAAAATTATCTAAAAAGTGAAAAAAGAAATATGTTGGCCCTTATATTATATTGTAAATTTATTTAGTAATATGTAGTTAGACCCAGACATCGTCATAAGCGAATGCGTTATGAGACAGAACCAAACAAAAAGTTTTCCGATTTGAATACCAATTTCCAATATCCGAAAATGGAAGGCTCTGCCCCCTCACGTGTTCCTTCCTTTTTACAACCTGGGATCCTTTATAAGAGGCGTGAAGAAGCAACATGCAGGCCGGCAGGGTGAGGATGGCTGGTGTGGCAGGTAGAACTGCTGTATCAGCTATCTTCGCATCTGGACTTCACCTTCACTTAACATCAGTTGGGGTAGAGTCATTTGTCGGACCTATCTATAAAAAAAAACTTTGATGGTCTTCCGCCTTGACGATGTCTGGGTCTAACTATTAAAAAATACTTTTTTTTTTACTTTTTATTAAATTTTTGGATCGGGGGTTTTTTATTTTCCATTTGAATTTTTTCATCATCTTCCAGGACTGTTCATAAGCAGTGGGTTGACGGTGATATACAGCATGCTGCAGTCTCTCGGCCCTTGGTGGTTGGTAGCTGTTGTCCTGCCGTTCTCTCTGAGCGGTGGGTTCGCGGTCCTTTACATCGGATCTATGTGCTACGCCAGTGATACAAGCACTATCGAAAACAGAACTGTTAGGTATGCCATTTTTTCTAGTTTCTTATTGGAGCAAAGATTCAGTAAGCACACAACAATCCCCCTTATAAACAAAGAAAACTTTATTAATTAAGTTGTGCAGAATTTGGTTCCGATAGATCATCGGTAGCATTTGGGTATGTTAACATAAATAACTAATTAGGTACTTTATTTAGAAATTTAACTAATACATGAACGTCGGAATTTAACTACAATTATTGTTATTTTTCAGAATTTTGTATATGGAAATGGTATACATAATAGCTTCTACTTTGGGATCTTATTCGAGCCCTTATATACTGAAGGGAGTAGGTGATATAACGTTTTTGCTGCTAATGGAAACAACCCTGTACGCTTTCGCGTACGCAGTAACAGTTGTCTTCGTAAACGAATCTTTGTTAACGGCTACCCCGGTGAGTATACAGCATTTTCCATACAAAGATTGTTAATTTCATACTTTTTAAGGATTAAATATTATTTAAGGAACTATACCTAAAGATGATCCTTTTATGCAGTCTTTCTGAAGAAGTCTTGAAGATTGAATATACAAGTAAGAGAAATGAGGATTTAAGACAACTAATATTTTTTTATAACTTTTATATCCGCGTAATATTAAATAAATGTGAAAGTATGTTTGTTTGTTACTCAATCAAGCAAAAACGGCTAAACGGATTTGGATGAAATTTGACACACAGACAATTTATAACCGGGAAAGAGACAGGATAATTTTAATCCCGGAAAAGTGTTAGGATTTCGAGGGATTTTCAAATAACTAAATTATAAAATTTTGGTCTCTTTTTCGCACGAACAGCTGAACTCATATTGGTTGATTTTGGGATAAAAGGAGTCTTTAATATAAACCTTTTTTTACTTTATCTATTGGGTAATTTAGGTACACTCTTATAAGTATAGTAGGTAATATCAGTAGCAGGAGGTACGGCTCTTTCAACACCATTACTTGATTAAAACCAATAAAAACAAACGATAAGAAACAATTACAACTAATTCAATCTATACCAATATTAACCTTGGTAAAGGACTTAAATTGCTTCTTAATATATAGAATGTTATCTAAAATCAAAGAGGATTCGTTCATGACTGATTAAGTTATGAAATCCAATTGGGACTGGCTGTTTATAAATTTCAGAAAAATATTTCAGGGCACATTTCATACAGTTCTGAACGTCGATCACGTAAGAGAATTCGTAAAAGTGTGTTTCAAGAGAAAACCGAACCATGGAAGGGCCATCACACTTCTAGTTGTAATCGCAACAGGGCTATTCGGTTTCCCCGTCTACGGGATATCGGGTCTTATGTACCTGTACACAAGGAACAAACTTCATTGGACCATGAAAGATTATACGACTTATAAGTCGATCAGTACTGTCATGTGGTTTCTTGGTTCCTTGTTGGCTATAAGGGTGTTGCAACGATATTTTCGTATAAGAGACATCATATTCTCATTGGTGGCATATATGAGTGATAGCGTTGAATATTTGATCAAAGGGCTGGCGACAACCACTTGGCATATGTACTTAGGTAAGTACCTATCTAATAATAAATACCTACCTATTTAAAAATATATATTGTCCTTCGTCTAGGCTAGGTGTATGTGTTTGTTTGTAAAAAATGAGAATGTGTACCATTCTCATTTTTTATACGTGGCGCAGGATATTAGCCCGCTTCATCTGTTGAAATGTAAGTGAAATCCAGTCGTGAGGATAGTTGAAGCGGCAGCAAAATATAGGTACCACTCCAGTCGTTCCACCTTGCAGGTCTTACTCTAGTCTCCTATATCATGGAGCCCTGGGTAATAACATACAAATGAACAGAAACATAATAGATAATGGTCTTTTGGTCTTCTGTAAGGAGAAGGTTATTCCCCAGACGGGTGCTTGAGTGGTAAATCTGTTGGATCTGAGTGAAATGAAACAATACCTACTTATTCCTCAGGCCGGGACTCCACCAAAGCAGAGATGTGTGCGGTGTGCTGTGCGAGACGAGATGTTTTTTAGCTCGGGAGACTCCACCAAAGCGGAGATGTGTGCGGTGTGCTAGACGAGAAGAGATGTTTTTCAGCTCGGGAGCGAGGCGTTGAGTGCCGGAGTGAGTTGCTAGCGGGCGAGAGGGTGGAGGGTGACACCGCTCACATCTCTCGTCTCCACTGCGCGTCGTCCGCGCACAGCTTACACCTCCGCTTCCATCGCGCCATACAAATATTACACATCTCCGCACAGCGATCTCCACTGAAGCTGAGCGGAGAGGAGATGTGTCAATAACACTATTCTATTGGTTGTTAAAAACATCTCTCCGCTCGTCTCGTCTCCGCTTTGGTGGAGTACCGGCCTCACTCGCATGATATGAATACAGCTTCGGAGGTCCTGGGTTCGAATCTCAGTAGGGTCACTTATGGGCGTTACAAAAGTCCGAAATAAAACTTAAGGGTGTTGTTGTGTTTCTTATAAAGAATTACATATGAAAGTTTGACGCCTTTCAGACCACTTCCATACTTTAACCGGCCGTAAGCCGTTTGATGAATAGCGACGGCGTCTCCAGAACACAGGGAGCTTCGACATTCCACCTCTTTCGGAAAGCCTTAGTACTCGGAACCCGGAGTTAGAGACCCTTTTGAGAACATTCATATTTTGGATCTTTTGATCTAAAATCCAAAATATTAATGTTCTCTAGAAGAAGATTTTTTTTAGTGTCAATAATTTGTTGAGGTGGCGGACATTGCCAAGTGATGGTCAAAATCCGTATTAGTTCAACAGGAACCAGACATTACATTTTTTTACGTTAAGTAACTAAGCCTCACCTAGTGCAGTGATATTTTTGGTGTTAAACTTATGTTGTACTGTGGCGTGCTTTTGGAGAATTCTGAATAATACCTGACACCCCATTCCTCGAGTCGGTAAGTACCTATGATCATGCCTGCCCCCCTAGCATGGGCACCACGATATAATATATAATTTTTGCGTTTGTGTTTTTATCATACGTAATTGTCAAATTACTATTGAGTTTGACAGTTGGGCGTGATAAAAACGTGATATAAGTAGTATAAATTGTGGTGCTCATGCTACGGGGAAAACTCTCATTCATAACGCGCGTGGTACATGACGAAACAAATGCGCGCAGCGAAGGGTCACTGGCTGGGAAGGCAAGGCGTCTGTTTACGTAGTAGTAATCGTACGCATTTTTTAGGATTGTTATAGGCTGGTGCAAAACAATATTTTTATTAATTTAATCAAAATATAAAAGCAGTCTGAAGGGCGTCAAACTTTCATAGGTAATTTTTTATAAGGAACAAAATAGCACCCTTAAGTTTTATTTCGGACTTTTCAGACACCTGTATATTTGCTGAGCATAAATATTTTAACCAGAGTTAGTTGTTTGAAACAGAATTTAATACACTATTAACTTTTTAAAGTACATCATCATCATCATCTGCCTATTAATGTCCCCACTGCTGGGGCACAGACCTTCCCTATGGATGGAATAGGGAGATTGGGTCATGACCCACCACGTGGGCCCAGTGCAGATTGACGGGTGCTAACGAATGCAGATGCAGCCGGGAGCAACAGCTTAACGTGCCTTCCGAAGCACGAAGGAACCTGAGATAGAAGATTTTTGGTCACCCATCCAATGACCGACCACTGCGAAAGTTGCTTAACTTCAACGATCGCAGCCGAACGCGATAACTACCAGCGCCATCGAGTTCTTAAAGTACAATCTATGCCGAATCGAGTTCGGTATATATAAATTGGATTCTATGTGAGTTAGCCGAATTTATGTTGATTTGAAACTTTTGCAGGCTCAGTTGTATCACTGTTCGGAACAACTTCCGGTACTTTTCTCCGGTCGTTTCTCTCGAAGATCCTTCCTCAGACTGACATCGCCAAGACATTCGCCTTGATGGGCGCAACGCAAGCGCTGTGCCCTCTCCTGGCGCCCATATTGTACAACACTTTGTACGTTTACACAATCAAAACGTTCCCCGGAGCGTTCTTGGTACTCTCTTTTGGCATCGGTATCATCAGTTTATCTCTATTGTCGTAAGTATTTACTCCTCGTACACCAATCTTACACATCTCCCAGAGGCTTCCCGATCGAATGGGAAGCAATACAATGTCCCATTAGCTGTTAATAACGTTTTAAATAAGTTTAAAATTTATTAATAATAAACCGGCTAAGCACCTACGTGTCATCCCAAGCTCAGTGTAGTTTCGTAGTTGCCCGTTGTTACCACAATATATTTCAGAAGGAGTCTGTTTTACGCGTTAAACTCAAGCAATTACTTCATCTCAATCGCTTTTAATGTTTTCTTCTAAGGATTTTTTAATAGGCAAATTAAAATTAAATTTCTAATATGTACATAAATTACACGACTATTACTTTTAAACTAACTGATATATCTTAACTGTTATAATTTTCCTTAAAAGTTCATAAAAAAATATAACTATCATGAATTTGTCCAGATTTTTCAAGCTAATTACCTACTTTAGCTTTTATAGGGTGGGAGGCTAATCGAAAATAAATTTACACTGTAATGTTTAATATTTCGGAAAAGGATCCCTTAATCGAAAAATAGTCTAAGCAACCATTTATAAACCGCTAAGTAATTTTAAACGACCCATTTAACGGTAGACGCAAGACGATGAAAAAAAAGTATTTTTCAATATTTTATTCTACCACATTGTCGGCGTTATTGAAGTACCTCCACAAATTATAGTTCTCTAGTGTTTTTTGTAACTTATTTAGGATAATAAGACTGACTCTTTTTTATTGTAACAAAACAATATTTAAACATTTTCTTCAGCCAGAGTAGGCGAAATTCAACCGAATTTTGGCAGGACCCACATTCGGTGCAACACTAGTATTCGTATAATCACTTTATAGCAGGATGTGGTTTTAAAATTATTAATTTAGTATAAAGATAAGCGTAATGTACCTACCTAATATTATAGCTTTTGGCACAATTAATTAGGTATATAATGTAGGTATTTATTTGAGAGTGCGCTAAGGCGCAACCCGTAAGGGATAAGTCCCTTGCGGGTTGCAGGTTTGGTGGAGCAGAAAAGATGAGCAAGGCTTTATGCATACTGGCTGGCCTTTGGTGATTACAGTAGATTGCTCACTACTATATAGATAAGTGTATTGAAAGTATAGGAACCTAATTTCAAATCATGTATTTATATCAGTTAAATTGTGTTGGCCGCCTACTTACAATTTTCTTTTCAACGAAAATTACTAGGTATAAATTCATTTTTGGAAACACATGCCAAATTCAAAAAGGTCACCACTTAATGTCAATTTTTTACTAACGCAGAGTTGCAGCGCTTCGAAGCACAGAAACGTGACAAAGCAAATTCACCATTATTCCCGCAACGTATAATGTACATAATTCGTGCAGAGATAAAAAGAAGACGCGCGGTTTCGCACTCGCTGATTTAATTACTGCCAAGAAACTGCGTTGCGGACAAGAATACTGTCAATTTCTGCTGAATTAATAAATAAAAAAAAAACGAGCGAGCCTTACAGTAGTCGCGTAGATGTGTAACATTTGAAACCTCACCTTATATTAGTAAAAAAAGAAATAAAACCTACTACAAAAGAAATAAGCCATTTGAACATTATGTTCTAAAATGAAATCAAATAGCGCGCGCTTTCGCGACTTCCTGTTACACACTTCCGTCCCATTTCACGAAATCACTTCCACAAATTGCAGGAAAGCGAGAGGAAAGATGTTACACATCAAAAAAATTATCAGTACCCTCAGCACGAACCAATATCGAATTCGTAACGTTTGCGAGTCCGAAATGTCATTGTCAAATGTGTAGCGCTTTTTAGTTCTACTTCTTACACAAAGTACTTTGGTTCGTGCTTAGGGTACCACTGCTGTTCATTAACGGTGGTATGGTTCAGTCCCACCCTACCCCCAGGGGTATGGTGGGTCTGTCATGCAAGTTTCTATACAAAATTTGACATTGACATTTCGGTTTGCAAACTATTCGAATTCGATAATGGTTCGTGATATGGGTACAGAAGGAATGTTTACATTACATTGCGGAGATAATGGTAAATTTGCTATGTTTCTAAATTTCGTTTCGGCTCTGCGCTAGTATGAATTAACCATTAGTAGAAGGTTATCAGATGTAACGTGTGATACTGTGACATGCTACCCTATCTAGATTCTTTAGTATCATTATTACGTACCTACCTACTTAAAATGTTGAATATGAAATAAATGTTTCAGAATTGTGCCCTGCCTTCAGAGAAGAGCCGGTGCTACATATCAAACAATTAATGAAGATGATGAGCAAGAATAAAGCTGTTAAGTTTTTCTTGTTTTGGTCCAAGACAAAGCTCTAGTCATTAGTACATATTCATTAGTGGCGGGTGTTTAGTTTAGTTGATGTATGCATTTTAAATTTATCGTTTTATTTAATCGAGTTCTATATTTATGGTTAGAAAATGGATAAGTTTTAAGTGACCCTACCAGAAAAATCTTGTATATAAAGTTAAAAATAAAACACACTTATTTTACTTATTTCTCTTGTTTTTTATTAAAGTAAACATTAACAACAAAAAGGTATAATCAAACCATTGCAGTTTGACATTTGGATTGTTGTACAATCATTTGGCCAAATGAACCGAATTTGTAACATATTTTTATTGCTCTTGAGGCAATTACATACTAGAACTTTTGAACTAAACAATATCTATGGCATAGGACGACGTATATCTCTATCTCTACTTATAATAATCATCACAGATTATAATATAAAACATATTTCGTTTTGTACAGGAAGTGGATTTGCAGGCAGAGCTGCCTTAGTAAGATTTCTTAAAATATGTGGTTCACATTTTTATTAGATGAGGTCTTGTATCTTTGTACAATAATTGAGATTCAATAAGCGAAGAAGGGGTTCACGAAAATATTAAGATTTTCTCCACTTACAAGATAGCATGATAAACCTATGAATAACGAAACTATTTTAAAATTTAAACTGAGCAACTTTAACATTTACACATCACAGTTTGCGTTATGTATTAAAAGGCCTACATTCACAAATGCCTAATCTTAAAATGTCGATTTTAAGTTTAACACCCTGGGAAAAAAACGATAATCAACGAAAAAACTAAAAATTAAACTCAATAGTTCTTAATGGGTAAAAAATAATCAAAATGACTTATAATCCTAGACAAATGTAAGTACAACAATGATGAATGACAAACCAAAGGGTCTTATGCAATACACACAAAGGTACCGGTAACAAATTTCTTAAAAATATTTCTTAAATCTAAAATACTAATTAATCAACTTAAGATGTTGCAGTCTTGTTGTGGTGAAATTGATGGTAGTTGAAGTCAATATTGTGTAAGTTAGTCATGAAATGTGTTATTATAAATCGTGTTAGGGTGAACCATAGACATAAGAGAATGGACTCGAGTGACACTTGCAAGAAATTGGACATTAAAGAAAAACAAAATACTCTCTGCGCGTCGCGTTGCTTGTGTCCAGCAGGTGGGTAAAAAAGAAGAGAGCGATGGTGCAGCCAATATCTATAAGAACTATGGCCGCTTTGTCTCTCTCACACATATCTGCCACATGGAAAACTCATTTCACTATCTATATCTATGGTGTGAACATAGGAAATAATCACTGGGGTTCATGTCACGTCATAAGCACCGATGATATATACACGCACCATGTGTTGCACAAATCAAAGGTTCAAACACTGATTTTACAATGTCCTTATTTCTACCATTCCTCGTCTGGTTCTTGGCCTTGGTCTGCGCCGGAAGTAGCATTATTGAAATTCTGTAAACAAAATGTACATTGAAAGTATAATAAAGGGCACTTTTAAAATGTTTATTGAAGTTATACTTCTTTAGGCGCGTTATGAAAAAATGATGAGAGTGAAATTTTAAGATGCGCGCGCATCACTGTAACACAAATTATTAACAGTATGAAGTTAGTCGCTTTAGCGACCAACTTCATGCGTTACTTTTGTGTTTACCGCACATTAAGCAAATCTACCAACAAAATAGAATCTCTATTTAGTGGGTGCTAACGACTGCATTGTGAAGGCCTATCAAAAGTATTTATTAATCTGGAACAACGGAACCAAAGCGCAATTCAGGAGACTACAGCGCCATCTCTTGACCATTGGTGTAGTAGAACCAAAAACCACATCTTTATTTTTTGTAATAAAGTAACAGTTATAGGTATTCATATTTATAATATCAAAAGCATTTATTAATCTGGAACAACGGAACCAAAGCGCGATTCAGGAGACTACAGCGCCATCTCTTGACCATTGGTGTAGTAGAACCAAAAACCACATCTTTATTTTTTGTAATAAAGTAACAGTTATAGGTATTCATATTTATAATATCAAAAGTATTTATTAATCTGGAACAACGGAACCAAAGCGCGATTCAGGAGACTACAGGGCCATCTCTTGACCATTGGTGTAGTAGAACCAAAAACCACATCTTTATTTTTTGTAATAAAGTAACAGTTATAGGTATTCATATTTATAATATTTATCCACATGTTTCTAGTTTGTATATTCGGAATACGTGTTTGAGTTTCATACAAGTGCAAATCACATATGTTCTAATAAATTATATTCAGTAGCGATTTTAATTGAATATTTTGATTATTTATTTATTTTTTCAAATTAAAACTGAACTTTATTGACTGTGTCCTTTTCCCGACTTTTTATTCATTTATTGTAATTAATTATTTGCATGCAATTAAAAACTAATTTTAAACGATGCCAAAGAAGGATAACTTCTCACGCGCCTACATAAGTACACGCACCCATTTTTTTTTTTTAATCAATCATGTTTATAGTTCACCTGCCTTATTACAAAGTATTGACCAAAGTTAAACCTGGTTTAAAACTGATACTGTCACTTTTTTTTGCTAAATATAAGACTGACAGAATTAGGTTCAAACCATGAATAACTTCAGTCCGCGTTTTGGTTCTCGCTGCATAATTTCAAAATAAGAAGGGTATTTTTACAACATCTTAACACCATAACCATATATTACAAAAAAATTACATACTTAATATTGTAAACTGGATGTTTGTCCAACTCATTTGTTTCGCGTTCCCCTTCAAAGTTTAGTTAATAATAATCATAATTATCTTTATTTGCAGAATATGGTAACAAATGGTGATACAGAGATAAAGAGCATCCTATATTCTTACCCAATGGGGTGTGCAAATTAATTGTCATGCTGAGAAGAAAAAAACTTATTACAATTATTCCATTCATTAAGCATAATAGTTAGTGATGACATATCTCTTTCAGAACTATGAATTTGAAAGGGATGGCAAAAGCGATATTGTAAACACTATTCGGCCTCAGATTGTATTTACCTCAAATATTTCAGTTCCCTTTTGTTAGCATGTAACAAATACACATCAAATCAAAATAGTATTTTTTAGTACATACAACTAGACAGTTCGCCGGAAATACTCTATGGCCGCGTTCAGAGGTGTCAATTGACTTGATACTATTACTCGCTTAATGATAACAATGAAAAAAGATTTGATCAATCAAGCTTTCAAATAATTTTTTTATCACATCTATCAGAAGATAGCTAGTTTTTTTTTGTTTACAGGGAGCAAAATAGTGTTCCCTAGGGACTAAAGCTAATTTGAATTGGAAATGTGGGTATTGTAAATATCAGTTATCACCAAGAAAGTCAATCAGGAACATCTTATGAACAAGTCACAGGCAAAAACTAACCGCATGCTGGTCAAATTAAACAAAGACTATCAGGACAGGCAGTGCATGTTGAAAATTCCTTTATTATATTTTTATTTTAGACATAAAACAGCTTCAGTTATAAATTCACACATTTATTTTTCCGATCTTGAGATACTGTCTCCATACAAAACAGCATCACAAGATCGCTCTGTGTTGAGAGTGATCTATTAATAAGGGTCTAGACTTATTCCTCGTTCATTAATAAGGTGAAAGAAGTTTGCCGGGGTGAATAAAAGACTGTTTGGCCAACGAAAAGCAATACACAATGAAAAAAGTCAATGAAAGGTCATTGACCAAAGCAGGGGTTGGCAAATTTTATTGAATATGATATTTTATTTAGGAAAATTAATATAGGACGTTTATCATTTTAAGAAAATGTAGAAAACTATCATTCATATTATTAAAACATAAAATTACTTGTAACTTGCTACTTGACAAAAATTATTTGTTATCACAATGAGTAATATAGGAAAGACAAAAAACGTAATGAAAATGTCATAATTTTTTACTGTAAAATGGGTGCCCGATTTTTGGCGAACGCGGCACCTCGGCGATGACGCAACATGACAGACTGAGACCGCATGGTATATTATTAGACTGTCAGCCCCATAGTTTCATAAAAGGTAAGGTGAATAAACTTTTGTATCGCTTCTCGTTGGCCATACTTTAATGTTCCATATTAGATGTTATACAATTTCACACACACCCACATTTACACTTACGTAGGAATGTTATACTAACTATTTTAAGGAAGAGCACTACCTCCTGACACAAGCTATTTAAGCTTAGAAGGAGATGCTGGTCATTAGTTTGAGATGATATTATTGTTCAAGCCAATAAAATTTATTGTTATTATTATACGTACCCGCACGTCGCTACCCCCGTACTTGTTGCCCTTGTAGGTGGAAACACCTCCGCCCTGCAAGAAGTCTGGCACTGGCTGCTCCGCCTGCCGCAGGATCTTCGCCAAATCACCGCTTAGGGCGCCGTCCTGTACGGAAACCATCATCATCACCAGCCTCTTAATGTTCCCACTGCTGGGGCACAGGCTTTTCTTATGGATGGAATAGGGAGATTGGGCCATGACCCACCACACAGGCCCAGTGCGGATTGTGTGGGTGCTAACGACTGCAGATGCAGCCGGGACCAACGGCTTAACATGCCTTCCGAAGCACGGTAGAGCTCGATATAGTAAATTCTTTGGCGCAAGTGGTTAGCGCGTTCAGCTGCGATCGTTGAAGTTAAGCAACATTCGCAGTGGTCGGTCATTGGATGGGTGACCAAGAATTTTCGGAAACCATAAAGACAAAGAAAAATCTGTTCTGTTACAGTAATACAGTTACCTATTTCATATTCCTAGTTTGGTTTTGATGTGTATTGTGATAAATTATCAACTTCTATTCAAATTTAAAGTACATTTTATTCAGTTACATAATATGCTGTTAACAGAACCTTTATCACGAAACAATAAGTGCTATATTCGTAAAACTATCGTATTAAGTGCTATGGGTTCAGCTGTAAAAAAATAAATATTTGGAAGTAACACTAATTTAATATGGACTACTGCGAAATTTTGGAAACTGAACATTTTCACGATTAAATTTCATAAAAGGTTATGACCAGTATAGTGTCGATTCTGGCATGGTTCTGTAAACTTAAAAACTAAATTTAACATCAGTCTTTCCTTTTCGTTCTGTACAGAGAAGAACAAGGATACACTGTTCTCAAGTTTAGGTTTATGTTAAGAGAATCATGCCAGAATCGACACCAATAAACCCGGTGTAAAAAATCCTTTAACGAATTCGAAGGCCACGTATTTTCCATATGTTGATGATCATTTTTTTCTTCTGGACCATACCTGGGAAATTTATGGTTATGGAGATATTGAAGGTCAAAGTCCCAATTTTTATTTCAAGATTTATACATTAATATTTTCAAAGCGTTATTTAGAAACTTTTTTACCGATGCACTTACACATACACACTCATTATACACATAGGCACATTCTTTGCGTAGCGCGACAGTACCGCGCCGCACTATATATAACAATATTTTGTAATATTACTTGTTTGGGTGTACAGAATGCGTAGTTTCAGTCTTTGTCATCGGTTTACCTGTATATAGTGATAAATTAAACTGAAACTCACCTGATCTGAATCAAAGAATGACACGGCCTTTCCCCTGTTTCCGACGCGACCGGTCCTGCCGATTCTGTGCACGTACTCGTCTATACTCTTGGGGAGATCATAGTTGACTACGATGTCCACATTCTTAATATCTGAAAATTATTGGCATTGTTAATCATTTGCGATTGATTAATTATTTATTGAGGAGTTCGATGGTGAACTGCGTTAGCGTTCGGTCTGAAATTGTGGAAGTTAGTTTAGATACCTTCGTGAGTTGACCAAATATTTATCATCTCACTTCGTAAGGCATGTTAAGCTGTTAGTTCAGGTTGCATCTGCATCATTAGCATAGGGCCCGCATCCAGAGTTTATTTCTCATAAAAACATACAGTTTTCTTATAATGATTTCACATTCTAATATTACTTTAAAATCAAAAAATCTCCCTATTCAATCCATAGGGAAGGACTGGGGGGCAAACAGATCGTCAAGATGATGTTCAGTTTTGCTATTGCATTATTAGTCTTTGTTCATTGGGAATCTAATGCAACTGCATAGGTACTCATGGGGACATTTTTTAGCTTTGATTTTGTATGCAGTCCGTTATTTATAGAATTGTTGATCGAAGTCAGGGCTTGTAACCGGTTTCGAAAATACCGGTAAATAAAGGTTAATACCGGTTTTAGTAAAGGTTTCGTTCGGAGCGCGTCCGAAATGAAAGCGGTACCTAAAATCTTAATAAACCGGTTTAATCCAGAGCGACACGTGCACGCGTCAGCATCGCCTGAACTTTAAAAACCGCTAAATTGATTCAAAACCTATTTGATTTTGCTTTTTAGAAAAACCGTTTTTTTTAAGGTTAAGGTAGAGCCAAACCTAAATAAAACGCTCCTAATGTACTTGATACTGATTTAGGTTTGAAAATTAACCGGTAAACAAGCCCTGATCGTAGTGTAATTCGGTAAAAAACGCTAAATTAGCATTTTCATTTTCAAGGTGCCGCCGTAATGTTACTCTGGACTCGTCGGCGTCTCACTAGTGTGTGACGTCAAACAACTGTCATTAAAACGTCAAACGATACAATGTAATGTCATTTTAGCCAGAAGTTAACTAGCGTGTGACATCATTTTAGTCTTAGCCAATAACAGGCGTTTTCGGTCAAGTGACCATGGAGCAAAAAGTGATTTTATAGAAAAGGTATCAATTATTTTTCCTACAGAATAGTAAAATCGAAATATTAAATACATATGCCAACAATTGGTAAATTTTTTTTATACTGTCAAACAGCACAGAATAAATAGGCTCTAGTCAAAATTAAAAGCCTTAATTGCTGATATAGACGCATTTCCAATACTGAAAAGCTAATAAACATCATCAATATAGTTTTTAGAAGTTTCATCTGTATGTATGTCCAGGATAAACTCAAAAAGTACTGCATGGATTTACTTCAAATTTGGCACGTATATTATTAAGAAGTCGGGTCAACATATAGGCACGCTATCACCTACGGGCAACGAGCAGTGAACCTTTATTTCTATCTAACTCCACGCGTACGAAGTCGCGGGCGGGCGCTAGTTGCTGATATAGGCCCATTTCCAATACAGAAAAGCTAATACACATCATTAACCACATGAGGGTGTCCTGCTGGCACCTACGCCTCATCCAGCTTCCTCTACACACCTTTCTCTAGCCACTCTACGCCATAGGGTTCCTGCTACCGTTCTTACGTCATCCCTTAAATAATAATAATCAATCAAGGTATATGTTACTATAATAAAATACCAAGAGAAATAATTAATTTACCTTTTAATAAGTTAAAGATTTCATAAATGATAAGTCACCTTGGGCTTAATATAATAGACTAAGTCGTTTTACTTTGCTAATTTGGTTGAAATTTTGTTTAATCGCCGCTTCTAAATTTAAAAATAATACCTAGCTATACTAACGTTAATTAATAATATTAATGTGATGAAAGTTGACATCAACACATGTTTTAAATTTTTGATGTCATCTTTCAACTGAAGGGACTGTATGAAACAAAACAGGGAGAAAATATTGCCCTTGCTGAGTTTCTTGCCGGTTCTTCTCAGTACAAGGTCTCACGCCATAGATTTACGAACCGATGGCGTAGCGTTTGACTTTCATAAGAACTTGTAACAGCCTAGACTGAATAAATGAGTTTGAGTTGGTCAAAAAATAAAATATTGTAGGATATATTACCCAGTCCTCTAGCGGCGACAGCAGTGGCGACCAGTATGAGATGACCGCCGCTCTTGAAGTTGTGCAGAGCTTCCTCTCTCTCACGCTGCATTCTGTCCCCATGGATGGACGACGTGAGTTTCTGTTGTTCGGAAAGCATTGCCGCTATGAAGTCGGCGTTGCGTTTCGTCTCTACGAATACTAGGATACGTTTTCCGTCTGCAAAATGTATGAGAAGATATTTTTAAAACTCACTTCAAACGGGTTTATAATGAGTCTTTTGATGAAGTTTTTGACGTCGTCAGAATTATGAATTTTTATTTACTTTTGACTGATCTAATCTGATACATACATAAAAATGCAAGAGTCCAATTTTCTTGGCAAAAATAACATGAAAAACCTCTGCACGAAACAAGCAATATTGACAATGAATTATCTTAAGTGACGTTGTTATTTTTTTTTTGCCGTGGATATCAGTGGATTTGCCATTTTCATATAATAAAATGGTAGGAAAGTTAAAACTGTACATTGAATATTTTTTTAAAAGAATACTTGGGGTGTGATCTACAATCGATACCGAAGCAAAAATTATAGTTTTTAAAAATTTTGTCTTTTTGTCTGTATGTATGTCCAGGATAAACTCTGCTTATCACCATTTTCCTCGATCAGTTGCTTCAACGTCTTCTGTTTCTCGTATTTGGTGACTTCGTGGAATATTTGCTCCACGTCTGCGCTGGCGCCGCCCACGATGCCGACCGCAACGAATAAGTAATTGTTGAGGAAACGCCCGGCCAAATGCTGGATGTCTTCGGGGAATGTGGCAGAGAACATGAGGGTTTGCCGATCCGCCTGAAGCAATATTATGTAACACGTTCAAGATTAATCTAATCTATAAAATTCTCGTGTCCACGGTCTGCATAATTGAACTAATCCGAAACAGCTCGACCGAATTTCGTGCAATTTTATATGCATATTCAGTAGGTCTGAGAATCGGACAACATCTATTTTTCATCCCCCTAAATGTTATGGGATTATTATGTTAAGGTAATTTTTAGTTTTATTTTTTTTATGATACATCATACAAAAATACACACAACCCTAAATTTTCACCCTTCTGCCACCAACCCCTATTTTTTTATGGCTGTACGAAGTTCGCTGGGACAGCTATTTGATCTATATAAAAGGACACTGTAAAAAACATAATATGTATGTAAATTTGAATAACAAACTGACAGAATGATTATAATAGCTTTATCGAAAATATTTTTATATATTTATTTGTAATTCAATTTGTTATATACCATAGGAATAACAAATTCTCAACAATAAGGGCAGATTTAATTTTACTGTGGATGGACTTTGTTCACTTCACATCATGCATAACCCTCAAGCTCTTGTCCAAATTTATTTCCCATAACAAACTAACATTATAACAAAGCTCCTTGCTTTAATTGTTTTATGTTTGTGTTGTCCTGCATGTCACATTTTTCTTTACAGGTAAAAGTGCTTATAAAATAACCAAATTACTGATTAATAACTGCCATGCCGCAAGCTATCATTAAAAAAGAAGACATCGGGTGGACCTGTTTTATTTTCTTAAGCATATTAACAAAAATACTAAGCTGCAAGACCATATATGTATCTCAAGTTCCTTTCGTGCTCTAAAGCTGTAAATAGCTGCTTGCTATAAATTCTGGCCCCTGTGTGCTTTGCCTTAGCAGTGGGCAACATTAATTGGCTGGTGGTGAATTAATATTACTGTCTGGCTTCAACCTTGGTGGGGTGTTCTATGTTAGAGGATATGGTTTTCGATAAATATTCTTGTAATACGTATTATATAGCCCTATAGGGCTATATAATACGTATTACAAGAATATTTATCGAGGTATAGATGGACTATATACAACACAAAAATATTTTTTCACATTGGACAAATAGTTCCTGACGTAAGCGCGTTCCAACACTGCACAGCTGAAGTAGGATATGATGAGCTGGCGAACAAAACGGTATAATTACGCATCTGGTCAAACTACTTTTTTGTTAAGTCCGGAGGTTCGGGTCCGTTGAATTTGAATCTGTAATAATTTTCAATCAAAACCACCTAAAACAGAGTTAAAATTACTAAATTTATAAATGAAAAACCATGCCAAAAGCTCACTGTGGGTACGTCATTCAGTTTTTTACTGCTCCTGTAAAATTTAATTTGATGTAATTATACCGTTTTTTTCGCCAGCTCCTCATATAATATTAGTAGTATTGGATATAACTGACCGGCTTCACCATAGTGGGGTGCTCCATCATCTTCTCCACTGCAGGCATGAAGCCCATGTCCAGCATTCGGTCAGCTTCGTCGAGCACCACGAATCGTACGCTTTCGAAGGAGACGCGGCTGCGGTCAACGAAGTCGTGGAGACGGCCTGGGGTCGCAACTAGTATGTGGCAGCCACGCTGGTATACGAAAATCATAATGAGATCATTGATTTGTGTGATAAATTATTAATATGTAATTAATAATTACATATAGAAATTCATTGTGTAAATACAAGCCTGAGAACAAAAACTATAGTCTACCTACACTACAGCTCTACACCGAAGCGAAACGAGGACGGGCCACTAGTAGATAATAATATCTTTATTCATTATTAACTTTTACTTTAAAATGAGTAACACAAGGGTAAGAAGGTAGACTGAACGAGGAATATCCCTGTGTTTCAGACAAAGGATCTTAAAATAAGTAAATTTAAATAATCAATAGCTCAACTAAAGAAAACAATTTCACTAAATCTTATTTGAATAATTAAATGCTAATGTATAATTACGCCCGCCTATTGTAAGCGTTTACATTGGAGCACCAGTGGAGACAACAAAAATACATAAATAAACACAGGCTTTGTAGCTTAGGTTTTCCCATAAAAAAGTAGACTGTATAATTGTAAATTTTCAATTTATGATTTCTTCAGGACTCCAGACTAAATGATTAATTCAGACTAAAAAGAATTTATGTAGATATATGCTGACACTATACACAGAAATAATTTCATTTTCTGCAGAAAAAGTAACAATGAGTTTATAGAAACAAAAATGTATTCAACTTACAGCAATATTGTCACCTTGATGGCGTACAGCAGTTCCGCCGTATGCAACTGCTATCTTCAATATGGACCCGTAAGCAAACTTCCTTGCCTCATTAAATATCTGGAGCGTCAATTCACGCGTCGGCGATACTATTACAACCTGATAATAGACAAGGTAAATGTATTACAAATGATATAAAGAGACGCAACCAAGACAAAACACAGGCTGTACAAATTTAGTTTTAATTTTAAGAATATACTGTTATGGCGACAATTTTATGGAAATTTTAGTTCTGCTAGACATTTTAATGTGTTTATGTGATGTGATAATAGAAAAATGTATTATACACATAAATAGAAAATACAGTGTGTAAACTGAATAATAATCATGATCAATAGAATAAATTAATTTGAATAAAGGAACAAATTAAAAATGACGACGCAAGACATTTTGTCCCTTGTGCATATAATTTCTGTGACAGGATGTGCGAGGGACATAAGGGGGAGAGTTACATATAAATTAAATGTTTATTTCTGAAAACTAAAATTATTATTACCTGTGGTTCTGCGCATCCATTAGACCCGACTACAAGCTCTCGAACGTCTTGTAAGAGCGTGTTTATTATGGGAAGCAAGAAGGCGGCCTATAAAGAAATAATTAGTATCAAAAATATCAATAATTAAAATCAGTTTATTGTCAATGTCTAATTTGACTCTGTCTGACAATGCCAAATGGAAGTAAGAACAGGTATTATAATCAGCTGCTAACTTCGTAATTTCTTGTGCCATTTATTTCTATGAACCATAAGTATGTCCTCAGTAGGTATCATTTCTGTATAGATCAGACAAATAACTTCAGTCATTAGGCCGTATACAGAAAGAAAGCTGGAAGCCGACCAGGGGGCCATTCGCCTAACGGAAATGCTTTGGAAAACGCTAACGCTTACGATTTCATTTTTTTATTTCTAGCCGCCTGAGGTTTTGAAATGCCTCGCGCTCTTTTTTTTTTCTTTCGCATTGGTAATAACAATATAAAAAAAAAAGTGAGCGTGAGGTATTTGAAAACCTTCGGCAGTCAAAATAACAAAATAAAATAGAAAACGTTAGCGTTTTCCAAAGCATTTCCGTTAGGCGAATGGCCCCCAGCGCTTGTCCAGCGACTGGTAACAGTTACATAAAGGAAGCAGATTGAAGCGTAGTTGTTCATTAATTTCAAAGGGCGGCGCCAGCGCTGACCAGCGCGTGTCGAAGATTGTCGGAACTTGTCGGCGAGGTTCGGCGCTTATCGGCGCTGGTCTATTCGCTATGTGCGAAGTACATGGTGGGGGTATAGTGAAGCGATCGCAGCGCTTATCGTGGCAGAAATACGCAACAATCCGGGAAAGTAAAGTCAATTTGCACGGAGTTCGTAATAAACAAAAATTTTTTAAAATGCCTATTAATAGATGTTGTTGTGTTGTGAATTGCAAAAATAAGGGCACAAATAGTCTGTGTATATATTTCCTACATTGGACTGGAAATTAAATCAAAGAAATAAATGGATAGATGCCATAAAAAGAAATAAGTAAGCGAAATAACCTTAAATTATGATCAATTTTATTTGCGCTATATATTTTATGTGATATTCATTATTGTCTTTATTATTTTAGTGTTGATGGGTCGCCATGGTATCCCAAACCTGACGACACAATTTGTAGTGAACATTTTATGGGAAACAAAAAATCAGACGAGGAAGAAAATCCGAGTTATGCTCCTACGATATTCCCTGAAATATATCGAAAGAGGAAGGTTAATGATTCACAGGTCCTAGCTAGATATACACGCTTGACAAAACGAAGAACCACAAAAGTCTCAGATACCACATCAAGTCAAATAATAATTGAAGAAGGGAGTGAATTAAATCAAACTCAACCTTTTATGATCGATCAAGGATGTCAAGTCAATATGTTTTCTGAATCGAAATTAAGAGATACAACTTTTATTTGTATTAGATTAATTTACAGTGATCACTGTGATCCAACATCAAGAATTTTAATGACAAATAATTCAAGAAAGAAAGATAAAAGCTGTGGCACTGACAAAAAATCGTATGAGGATCAATCTACCGAAACAAAAAGTCAAGAATTTGTTGGTATTTCATCAATAACAAATGATCAAGAACTCCTAGATCCTTCTGGTGTGTCATTTAGCAATTTTGAGTTTTTATTAACAAGATTAACTATGAGAAAATGTACAGTTTCCACTAAAGACCGACTTCTGATTTTTTTGATAAAAATGAAAACTGGCTTGACATTTTCAGCATTGAGTGTGTTATTTGGTGTACAAAAAAACCACAATCTCACGTATATTTCATTCGATCTTACAAAATCTAGCTTGTTCAACTGCTAATTTAATCTTTTGGCCGAATAGAGCCACCGTACAAGCACCAATGCCCAAGTGTTTCAGTCCAGATTACATCAATACAAGAGTTATTATTGACTGTACTGAATTCCGAATTGAAATCCGATATTATTTAAATTATTATACAATATATAATAATTTTTATTTATCTTTACCTTACTATATTTACTAGAAATCAATAAAATACAAACTGATGTCATTATTTGGCATAATCCCGGAAAGTTGCGCATTGTAGGTGGCGCTACTGTCGTGCACATAGCGAATAGAAATGCTTGCGCCGGTTACCTGCGCAAACCGTTTCCTATAAGCGCTGGTAGACTACCAGATTTCTTTCTGTATACGGCCTTAGAATGTAAAGATAAAATATACAAGGTACTCACCGTTTTACCAGAACCAGTCTGTGCACAGCCCATCAGATCTCTGCCATTCATGATGATGGGTATGGCGTGTTTCTGAATAGGTGTGGGTTTCCTGTAGCCCGACTTCAATATATTGTCGAGGACATACTTCCGAAGATTTGCGCTCTCGAAACTGTCTATAGGCCGTGGGGGATTCTCTCCGCTGACCTGAAAAACTACTTTGTTTAAGTAGTTGAATATATTTGGGAAACATGTTCTAAGTACTACCTACAGTTTGTCAGAATGCCACCTTAAAAGGGTAAAATATAGAAAAAACAGTGTTCTACCTTGCTTCAGAACCAGTCTAGAGTCATATTATGTCAATCAATATTGACCTAGTCATTGTGATACAGGTACAGTTTGTCAAAATGCAATACCTAAACTATTTATTTTATTATAAACAAAACATTGTAAAATATTGATGTTATTATGACAGAATACTACATAAGCAGGTAGTCACGTCGTCCTGGTGGTTGTGAGAAATTTATGAGTGAAGTTAGCAGTAGGTGCATGTGTGCAACCATTAAATGTCAAAATTTTGCTGATTATACATATTCATCACTCTATATCATCAGTTTCACTGATAGAATATAAATACATAATTTTAGATTAGATAAAAACTTATAGCATTTGCAATAATTCAGCAGAGAACAAAGAAACAAAAATAATCCACTGGATATTTAAGATAACTATTGCTGTCACGCATTAGCAAATACCGTGCGATAGGGACAACAGTAGTAAACGCTGGAAATTGTGTATAAAAAATGCTAAATTCGAGATTTGGCTCTCGATGATTTCCTCCTCGAAAATGAAACATTATGTGAAAGAAATTTTACCCATAGAATAATACGTAGTTATACTAGTTCTTTTTTTTGTAAATTCTTATTTAATCTCCAAACTAGACGTCTTTAGTGAAACAGAACAGTTAGAATTTATAATATACACACAACCCAACCCTTACGATAAATAGATCAATGCCCTTCCGGCGAGTCTATTGATGGAGAAGGTAGGTCTGGCGCCCGAGAAATTTTTAATTTTATTTCGACCTATCCATATTGCTTTAAAACACAATTTTGTCTTTCCCCATATGAAAGTTTCTCCCCTTTAAACCTTTTTATATGACACTACTTCTACTCTTTTTTTCTGTTCTGTGGGCGATTCGTAAGCTTGCGTTCAATTTGATATATGAACCTATTATGTAATTAATAATAATAGAGAATCACTCACTTTAACAGCGATGCAGTCAAATTTGTCAAAGTTGATGCCAGAACTAATACTGCTACTGAAGATCTCGGTCTCATCTGTGGTCGGTTCCGGGGGCACGTATGTGACTGGGGGTTTCTTTGGTTCTCCGTCCTCGCCGACTTCCTCTTCAGGGTTGTCACCCCTGTCTCCCCTATCACCGCCGCCACCGCGGCCGCCCCCGCGGCCACCGCGACCTCTACCCCGGCCCCTTTCGCCCCTGTCGCCTCTATCACCCCTATCGTTGTCATCGTAACTGTCACCTGATCACAAATAAAGGAGTTCTTTGCACAAATAGGAAAGCGTGGGCCACATTGAAGACGAAGCAGAGCATCTTCTTAGTATTAAATAAATAAACATTTCCAACACTCGCACCAATTAGCCTAGCCCCAAAGTAAGCACTGTAAGGCTTGTGATATGGGACATGGGATGCTAGGGTAACGGATAGAATACATATACTGTACATATACAAGTATATTTATATAGAAATACATATTAAACATCCATGACTGGAGTACAAATGCTCGTATTCATCACACAAATATCTGCGCCCATCGGGATTCGAACCCGGGGACTTCTCGAGTCGGCGACACCATGAAACCCGGCGTCAAATTTTAAGAAGTTGAAGTATATGAAATTTGAACAGCGCCACAAGGACAGGACGAGGATTAAAAATCTTCCATGGAAAACTTCTTGACATTTTGACGCGTATCGAGATCGAATTCAACTATACGAAATCGACATTGGTTCGTGCTAAGGGTACTAAACTCAGTTTATGGTAAATGACTTTGCATACATATACTGCACAGACCACAAAGTAAACAGATGCAGCATTCTGTTATTAGAGTACATGCAGTAACGATACATAGATTAGTTGCTTCAAAGACTCGTGTATGTAAAGATGCTAGTGAGAGAGACATCTGCTACTAAAATACAATTGCAACCGTACTAAATAGCAGAGAAAACGTGGTTTCCTTCTGTGACGTTTATGACAGGACACGAGAGGAGGAAGTTCAATCAGCAAAAAAAACCGGCCAAGTGTGAATCTGACTCCCGCACCGAGGGTTCCGTGAAAACCTGTAGGTATATTTTAATAATTATTAAAAAATATTTTTTATGATATGATGTAACTAACAATTTACGGTTATCGCGATTTTTCCTTTATCTGTACTATAAGACGTTACTTCGTACCAAATTTCAGGGTTCTAAGTTCACGGGAAGTTCCCCGTAGGTTTTGATTCCCGTGCGAGTTTCGAAAATTTGCGTCATAAACGGCTGTATCTTTTGATTGCTTTGGATTAGAAGTTTTATTTTTTCACAGCTCCAAGGGAAAGTAGACCTGAGTATTAGATATGAATTTCAGTTTGATACCTCCACACGTTTCTGAGAAAAACGGTCTTAACAGACGGACGGACGGACAGCAAAATTTTCTTTTAGGGGATGCGTTTTTTCCTTTTGAGGTACGGAACCCAAAAAGGACTTTTTGCCTTTCTAAAATGATGAAATATCTAACGGGAATGTAAATTAGTGATAATATAAAATCACGAATCATAAATTTTGGGCTATTCCTAGTAGCAAGGTTATTATTATATTGAAGGTCAATGTATACCTGTTTTCGGTACGCTTTGTGTGGTGGAGCTCATAATTAAATAACATTCATTGAGATACCAAATAACAGTTTAACACAAATTTGATATCCATGTTACCATTTTTTTTTGTTTCACAAACTTATGGTATTAATTACCACAGAACTGATTAAGATTGTTATTAAAAAGATGCAAAAAAATATGTAATTAAGTATTGTACACAACCAAGCATGTTATCTAGTCAAATATACAATTTATTAATGCAAAAAAAGACAATGCTCTATATGGTCACCAATGTTTTTTTAGATTGCAGTTGTTGTTAGGAATGTGTTAGTAAATTGATATTAAGAATGAAAAATATTTATCTATCAAAAGAAATCCAAATGAAACTTTAAACACACACAGACAGCAAAATTACTACTTAATAATGTTGAATATTATTACAATAATTTATATTAACTGGGTACTTCTGATGACTTAATTTGTACTGCACTGATACAAAATGCTTTATACTGATGTATAAATAATAATTAGGAAGTGAGGATATGTATGTATCATACAGCATAAAAAAGCAAAACAACTCAAATGATCAGCATCAACTTAAAAAGTTTTACATCTACCTTTCTTTTTTCTAACAAATTTCCCTGAAAAGGAAATAATAACAATTTATTGTGTGGTTCGAATTCTTTAATAAGGTACTATTAGTAGAAAATTTAACAAAAACATTTCTAACATTAATAAATTCAACCATTAATTATTTTTGAAACAAATTTTAACATCAGTAATTTTAAGTCAACACATATCAAATGTGTTGACCAAACTTCTAATAAACAGTTCAAAAACCTATTGCTTACATAAAAAAAATAAGTTTGTTATAGCAAGTGCTTCAACCTGCATAAATATTAAGAGGCCTTTTTTGATGTGTAAGTAACATCTTTCCTCTCACTTTCCTGCAATTTGTGAGAGTGATTTCATAAAATGGGACGGAAGTGTGTAACAGGAAGGAACGAAAGCGCGCGCTATTTGATTTGATTTAAGTACATAATGTTCAATTGGCTTATTCCTTTTGTTGTAGGTTTTATTTCTTTTTTTACTCATATAAGGTGAGGTTTTTAATGTTACACATAATATGGGACTAACTACTGTAAGGCTCCCCTCGTTTTTTTGTCACTGTTGCCTCTTACTCAAGATGTGCTCACTATAAACTGTCATTTTGCAACAAAACATTATTTAGCAGATGTCATTGACTTAAAGAATTCACTATCATAAATCTTTATAAACACACATGTGGTAACAAAAAGTCACTATGAATAAAGGTCACAATTTTAACACCCAGCATTTTTTTGTACTCTGTCACAAACAATTGATTTATGCATATAAAGTGAGGAGCACAATCATCAGAATTTTGTCTTCACTGATAGGTTACACATGTGATTCATTCATTATAAGTACCAGTGTGTGTTTGTCTTTCTAGACACAGGCTGTAATGCAGTTCATATTACCGTTGACTCCACAATTTTTTACTTAAGAAGTAGGCAACTACTTGTACTTGTAATAGTTTCAGCCCACGACTATGTCGTTTAAAAGATAGTTTTTGGCCGATCCCACAGAATTATAACCTTTTTCCAGGATAAAAAATATCCTGTGCTAGATAAACTATAAATATAATGCCAAATTTCATACAAATTCGTTCAGTTGTTTTAGCGTGAGAGTCATCAGAGATCCACACATACATGCTTACAAACTTTCGTGTTTATAATTGGTAATTAATAGGTAGTAGGATTGTATCTCAATCACACAGAGGAGCTCGATGGCGCAAGTCGTTTGACATTAGACTGTAAGCGTTGAAGTTAGCAACTTTCACAGTGGTTGGTCATTGGATGGTTGACCAAAGATAAACTATCTCAAGCAGCTCATCAGTGCTTCAGAAGGCATGTTAAGCTGTTGGTCCTGGCTGCATTTGCAGTCGTTACTACCCACCAATCTGCACTGGGCCTGTGTGGTGCCCAATCCCCCTATCCATTTGCAGGGAAAGCCTGTGCCCCAGCAGTGAGGACATCAACAGGCTGATGATAATGATGATAGAATAGATGGAGGACCTTATTGTGCTGAAAAGTATCAAATGTATTATTCTTGAGATAAATATGAACTCACCATTGGTTTCATAGTCGGGCCGACTGCCCCCGCGGCCGCCCCGTCCTCCGCGACCGCGTCCCCCGCCTCGCCCGCCTCTGCCCCGTCTCTCGCCAAAGTCGTTACTTACATCCTTATCGAAACCTGAAACAAAACTCACAAATCAACCCCAGTAATATTTAAGTGGCATATACTTTAAAAAAATAAATAAAAAACACAATGGAATTGAGAACTTCCTTCTTTTTTTTTAAGTTGGTTGAAAAGATTGACTATGCTTTTATTTACTTCAGAAGTAATGGGACTTTAAACATTATTATAATAATACAAATGAAACAAAAATTCAAACTACTAAATATTCATCCAAACATCCTTTTACAAAAGATACTTTTAACCAGATGTTTTTTTTCTGTTATTTCAAAAGGAGGCATTTCTCACACTTGATATTCAATTTAAAAACAAAGTGGTTACACAAAATGCAACTCAAGTGTCTGATAAGTGGGAGGCCACTTCTGATAAGTTTTGTTAGATGACAGGTATCAAATTTCATTCCAGAAATGGAGGGGTTAAGAATGCTTGCACAAAGATGACATGTATTATGTAGAAAAAGGTAGGTACCTATTAACTGGTGTCTTGAAAAGGTTTTATTAATGGATGAAACAATATTGCTATTACAATGATGAGTGTGCTGTGATGTCCTCAGCCAGATACATTTTTTTTTCATGTAAAAGCATTTTATTTAGTGCATTGGAATCTTTGTTTGTGTTATGAAATCAATATTGACTTCATAAGATTCTAAAAGCTATTGAATGACAACACATTTCTCATCACAATTAGTGAAGGAATAGCATTTGCAGATGGCTTTGTTGTAGGTTTTAAGTGTAATAAATATTGAAATAGGATGCTTTGAAGCTTTATTATGCCCAAAGAGAACAGGTAGTTGAGAAATCAACAAGTTGTTGTTGACTTCCTACATAAATCTATAAAAAAATATTGAAAAAGAATGACCAGTGATGGTCAAAACAATGTTGTAACTGTATAATGTTAATAATACTGTAATATGTACCATTGTCTTCAAATGACTGGAAACCTCTGCCTCGGGACAAACTATGGCCGGCATCCACAGAGGAATCTTCATAGGACTTGAAATTGTTTGTAACTGGAGGTGGCATCACCTACAAAGGAAATTAATTAACAAACACACAAAATCATTCAAAACTTTTGTAATATCAAAGTAAACGATGAAAAACTTTGAGATGCTTACCACTTCACAATTGTCATCCCATTCATCATCCATTTTCTGAAATAAAAGCTCTACTTTAGCATTGTACTCGAGGGGACGTCAATGATTGTAAATAAGCAATTTTAATCAAAGTGAAATGAAGATATTCAGTAACCACACAATTTCAAATAAATGCCTAATCAGTCTTTTGCGAAGCTATCACCTACCTACAGTAAAATATACATCTACTTATCACCGATTTTGAGCTACAAAAGAAATCTTTTCTAAGAATCTAATATTTAACTATAAGTAAATGTTAATTCTTTATATTTTATTACTATTTTAATCAATATTGTATTGAAGTTATACGAGAAATCATTGTAACCGCCAAATACCGGTCCAGGCTTCTCCATGAACACATACACGTGCTTTAGATAAATCTTAAGTTTGTAGAGGTTTTTTTTCTCATAAGATTCAATTTGAAATATTACAAGGAACTTACATTTGACGGAATTTAGTAAAACGATTCTGTAGTCTTCAAGATTGGCGCATCAGAAAACACGAACAATGACGACAATGTACTCACAATGGCGGCAGTTCAGACAAAAAAAGACTGCTAGAATTTTGGCAATGAATGAGTGATGAATGACAATGAAAAATGCAGTGTGACCAACCACAAGCAGTTCAATCTAATATCTACCCATAGACTACAGAAGAAAACAGGTATGTACTCTGTTACGATCGGATAACTACGTGTGAGAGGTATAGTACGGAGGCTTTTTTTATCACATTAATAGGGTGAGCATAACTTTGTCTTTATCAGAAATATTATTATACTTGTGTGTCGTGTTGTGTTGTGACCTTAGAGCATATACCACTGGAGATGCCACACCGTTCACTCGCCGAACAAAATTCAGCCTTTTTGGCGCGGGACGAGGTACACACGTATATCACACTAATGGAAATATGCAATACTCCCACAAACACGAGCGTGTTGATGCTATAAATTCACACTTTAAAAATTACGTCACACAAACAGAAAAACGCGCACACGCTAACGTTTTTTATGTAACTATGCAATTGTTCGAGTGTACACCAACACAAACTTAGGGATGCGACATTAAAAGAATGAACGATATTTGAATGAACAGTTCTTGAAGAATGAACATAATGTTTGTTTATAATGGAATTAAAAAGTTTAATTTATAAATATCTATCTGAAGGCTTATTTATAGTTTTAGTACTTATGATTTTTGTACTCAAAATTCAAAGTTTTTTTTTTGCAAATTATATTGCTGTGCAAAAAAAAAATCTAACTGAGTTTGCTGCCTTTTATTGGATCCCTGCCTACATTCAATTGCTTTAACATCTTTAATAGTAGCAAACGCAGTATATTGTCACAAAACACTGCGTAACTGACCCAAGATGAAGAATGGATAAGCCATTCTATGTTTAATATAACAGGGAAAGCGAATTAATAGACTTCGGTGAATTAATAATAATAATAATAAACATTTATTTCAGACTTTAAATCCATATAAAAGTGTTAGTAACACACGAAATCTTATTCTAGTGTTAGTAAATGAAAAAAGTACAATCGAACACAAATAATAATATAATACATTCGGATTCCGATGGGACTCGTCTGTTATTTATAAATAATTATAATGATAGACTGGCGAATGTAGCTTAAGCCAGTGTCGCAATAGTGGGGAGTCCCATCGGTCAGCCAGTGCGCTCAGGACACTGTTGGAGCTGTCGCGCACGCGCGCCCACAGCGAGGCGCAGCGCTTTCTAATGATCGTGTAAAAGCAATCAATACGCGCCTCGGCAAACATAGACGACGCACTGCAATAACGCGGCAGACCCAACAACATCCTGAACGTGTTATTATATTGGACTCGCAGTGCGCTGTATGTCCGCTGCGTAAAGTTCACCCAAAGACCGCACGTGTAGAACGACTGACAGTAAGCTTTGAAAAGCGTCAGTTTGACTCGTTTACTACACTGTGCAAATCTGCGGGCCAACATGTTACATCGGACACACAACGCCCTACGTTCCCTCTCCATATCTACTGAGTCCGACAAGTTGTCAGTGACCCAATGGCCCAAATACTTGAATTTGTCAACTTTTTTAAGTTCAGTGCCCCCGAGTGTAACGGAAGGTACACTGCGCTGACACTCTGCCGTCCCAGCTCGAAATACCATGAACTCACTTTTAAGACAGTTGTATTTGAGCCCATCAACCTCTGCATATTTTTCACACATATGAAGCATCTTCCTCAATGCACCAATCGATGGGGTCAGCAGCACCATATAATTAAGGTTATTTGTTTTCCTGATAATGTTTTCCTCAGTGTTTTAAGAAGTCAATTATTTTATCATGTGTTAAATAGAAAAAAACCTCAATGATTCAAGCTTTCGGCAAAGATCAATCCCATGTTTTCAACGAGTACTTCGTTAGCGTATGCTTAATCCAAAATGATAAAAAAATATTAACCTATATTTTTCAGAAATACGTATTGAATACGTACGTACGGAGCTCGATAGCCCCGGTGGTTAGCGCGATCGGCTTGCGATCGTGGAGGTTAAGCAACTTTGGCAATGGTCAGTAATTTGATGGGTGACAAAAAAACTTATTATCTCGAGCTCCTGTCGAAGCCTGTGCTGTGCCCATTCAATGGGGATATAAATTGGCTAGTGATGATAATGTATTATTATTTGGAAAAAAATCGTAAATGATTATTTGAAGATATGTTTCAACGCTTGACAATATTGTCTTTTTTTTAAATATGAATAAATCATTTCATCAAAAACCGTTACTATCTCAAAGAAAATCAACCTCCTGCATAAACATACAACAATAGTATAGCTGTTTGAAATAAGATAAAAGATGTTTTGTTAAAGGGATCGCCTTTTTTACTAAAACTAATAATAATATTTATGTTATTCATAGTTTATGAGAGTCGTATCGTAATCAGCAGTAGCAGTTCTACGAATACGACACTAATTTTGTGATCCAAGATGGCGAAATCTACTTTTTACTCGATTGCTGAGGGTAAATTATTTCGAATGTATGTATGTGTGTCTCCGTTTCTTTGGCACGTCCTACATCCAGTATGATTTAACTTGCAAGATTTAACATGATTGTGAAAGAAAAAATTAGGTATATTCAAATTAAAAAATCTGTCTTTCAAAACCCTTCACTTTGATAGCGCATTTTATTTAAAAACTTGTTTAATGCGTCAAATATTGCTGATATTTAGTACCAAAATGAAACACCTTCAAAATAAATTGCTTATAACCTTTCAAGCGGGGTATTAAAGTGAAGGGTTTTAAAATAAATTTCAGAAAATAAAAATAAAATTATACAAATTATACAGGTTGTTTCTTTTAAGGTGTCAAGCCGGTGTTAGGTGATAGCTGAATACCATCCTACCTATCGATTTGACCCCCATGTATGTTTCGCATTTTTTTGTAGTTTTCGAGTTATATTTTTTTTTTCATTATTTTTTATGATTTAACGACTGAACGGCTTTAATAAATTATAACTTTATTTAGCTATTTTTTTTCTAGTACAATGCCTATTGCTTGTAGTTTTATGAGTAAAATAATCTCATTCCTAACTTTGCTACAAAATACAAAAATTTTGATCATAAGTAAAAAGAGTGGGATCATGCTGAACAGAATAGAATCTTCAACATTAAAAAAAATAACTTAGAGATTTTCCTGATCTCCTAACTAATTTTAAAAACTGCGCATATCCTAAGCGTTCATAATAATATAAAAAAATGTACTTTATGGGGCATTATTTGCTGAAATCGATCTCTGAAAGTATTGAATCAAAAATATCAAAATTTTCATATTTTATATTTTTTATTATTTTTGCATAATTTTTGGCATTCTTAAACTTAATTTACCCATTTAACTTTAAGTTAACAACGGATATGCACATTCGGCACCTTCGCAAAAAATTCTTCTTAAATTTGAAAAGGCTTCATGTTGCGATCTAATGTGATTTTGCGCTTCTGTCAACTTGGTATTCAATTGTTGAATATTTTCATATTCTGTGCAGTATACCAACTCTTTGTAAAAGCCCCATACAAAAAAATCCATGGGGTATAGGTCGGGTGATCTAGGCGGCCAAGCTATTGGTCCATTGCGACCTATCCACCTCCCGGGGTATTGTTCATTTAGTTCTTCTCGAACGGCTCTTGCAAAATGGCATCGGGCTTCGTCCATTTGATAAAACATCTGTGTTCTTCATAAAATATTTACGTCACCTAAAAGTGTCGGCAAATTGTGTTGTGTGCCGAATGTGTTGGCTGCCGGTATTTTAAAATAGTACTGTCAAATTGAAACTATGTATGTGTAGTATAATCAAAATGCGGTCATAATTTGCCATTTGTGTTTTATTTTTGGGATTTATTTTATTAAAGGAGGGACCTTTCATGATAAAGACCTTAAATTGTCTCCATGGTATAGTGGTTATTGAATAGTAATAGTGTGATAGAATTACTGTTTGTTTCCCATCAACGGAGCTCAACTTAAAGTTAAATGGAAAATTAATCTTAAGAATGACAAAAATATGCAATGATATTTACCACTTTCAGAGACCGATTTCAGTGAAAAATGTCCCATAAAGTACATTCTTTTTTATATTATTATGAAAGCTTAGGCTGTCGCGCATTTTTTAAAGTTAGTCAGAAGCTAAGGAAGATCTTTATTTAATTTATTTTTAAAGTTGAAATTTCCATTCTGTCCTGCTTTTTCTAATTTTTTTACTATCGATAAAAAAAATGTATTTTATATTAAAGTAAGGAAGGAGATTATTTTAGTGACTGAACTACAACCAATCGACATTGTATTAAAAAAAATACTAAGAAATGTTTACTCAAAAAAAAGTTATAAATTTTTAAACCCCTTCAGTCGTTAAATCATAAAAAAAAATATAACTCAAAACTACAAAAAATCGCGGAACATACATGGGGGTCAAATCGATAGATATGGTACTCAGCTATCACCTAGCACCGGCTTGGCACCTTAAAAGAAACACCCTGTATGTATTTTAGATCAAAGAAAGGGACAAATATATGTTGCTATGAACTTGTGAACATGACAGGCAACAGCTCCATGATTTTTGTCCTGGAACCTGTTTCATGGAGCTGTTCCGATATATACGCCTCACTCTCTTTTTGCACTGCACACGTTCATCCCTAGCTGGCACATCCATAGAGAATGGCTGAAATGGAGATACTTACGGCCGTAAAACTTAAAAATAAATCCATAGACAAACATCCTTAGACTATGGGCACATACGTAGTATCTCTAACTAGTCTGTGGGCACATCCATCCATCAAAAAAGTGAGTGCTATGTTGATATTGTTATTAGTGGTTGTGGGTTGTGTTTTGATTTAGTGTCCATAGTTTTAGGAAGTCATTAAATTGATTAGAAGAAACTTGAAAACATAACATTTTGTGATATAAAATGTGTGAAACTTATGCTCACAAATTTAGACCAAACATAAAATGGTGAAATCGGGTCTATTCATTGGCGTCCCCCATAAAATTTATATGGTGTAGTAAACGATGGCTTCAAGTGTGGGGACGGTGACAGTGTCAGTGGTAACTGAACGTGCACCCATCACCATAGAATGCCTTACCAGTTCATATACGGCAGAAGAATTGTGTATTTATTTATGCAAGAAGTACAACATACCACCAATAACGCGTACTCTATTTGCATTAAGAATCAAAGGAACTCGGTATTTTCTCAAAGATAACAGTGAAGTTCTATCAGGATCAAGAGACTATGAATTGAGGATTCGCTTCAAGGTATTGGACCTATTTCTGTATTTTAGTTTTATCCATGTTAAATAAGTGAATGACATGCTCGTCATAATACATTTCTGTTCATATTACTTAATCAAAAAAGGTTTTTTATGAAAGATCTAAGTTTTGGTAATCAATAATAAATAAAAATTATCTTGTAGAAAACTTTACTGTTTTGCTACCTTATCTTTCTTATCTCTAACTGTTTATTATGATAAATTAAATTTGATCACAATTACCATTATTCTGATTGTTTTGTAATTGAATGTTAGTAACAAATAACATGTGATATAATTGGGAATAATTTGTGACCTTGTTAATCAATCCAATCTAATGCATATTAATAGTAACAAACTCCATAGTATTTGACGCTTGTGTGATTAAAACGAGATCATCGTTTTGCAGTGCTCATGCTAGGCCTAATAATTATAGCCACACAGAACTGATAAATTTACAAGGCTTCTTATTAAATCATGTCTTATGCAATCAACAGATAGCTAATTAATGGAATACCATATATAAGTAGAATATCAAGTTGTTGCAAATTAATATTTCATCCTATGTTTACCTCTGTTTCAAATTTAATTTAACAACTAATTAAGGTATGTGTTGGTAGGTATGGTAGTGTATTGTATGTATTTTGAATTTCATTAAGAGCTGCTCAATGGTTTATTCATGATGAATGGACAGAGTTAGTTTTGCATTTTTTTAAATAATTTTACTGTATATTTTTTTAATATATATTATTCATAAACATAATCATACATGCAGCAATTGATTGATTTCATTTATAATCTATTTCATTTAAAATAATGAGCACAATTAACTAATAAACTATTGTGTTAAATAATGATCAACCTATGTAGCATCAGTTATAATTATGTAATCTGCATAACACTTTCTAAAATTCTTATATTAAAAATATATCATTATAATATTATCAAGTGATTAATGAAATTTTATAGCAATTAACGATTGTTACTATGCACCTTGTTTTTTATGAACCAATATTTAATTATGTAAGGTCTTTTTTTGTATCAAACAATATTCATCATTAGTATATTAATCTCCTGACTACTGTGCCATAAGCCTCACCTATGGATGAACCACCACTCAGGTCCAGTGTGGGTTGGTTAGAGCTAACAAATGCATTTCTAGCCAGACCAACTCCTTAATTTGCTTTCCAAAGCAAGGAGGAGTTTGTTAAGACACATTTTTGCTTACCCAATCTATAATCAAACATTGTAAAAGTTGCTACACTTTCATCATTATATTTATACTGTATGACATAGCAATCAAAATGCAGGTACACCACTTGTTCAGTGATGTATATTTCACATGTTGTAATTAAAGGTAACTTCATGAATCATCTCTAAAGTCATTTTTCATCTTGATGATCCTGTAAGTAATAATACAGGGAGAAAAAAATAGCCCTTGCTAAGTTTTTAGTTAGTTCTTCTCAGTACAAGGTCTACCTCTGTAGTGTGAACTGATGGCATAGCTTCTATAGCTTATATGAATGCTTGTAACAGCCTAAACTGAATAAATTATTTTGAGTTTAGTATTATGCACGAAATAAATGTATACATGTAAGACTGCTCATAATATTGATGGTAAAGAAAGCTTATATGAAGGTCTACACTAATGATTGTGTAAACTTCATTGTAAGCATTAGCGCCTTTATTTTTTAAGCAAAGTAAATTTCATAATAATTAAAAGATAACAAACAATTTTTAGGTCCCTAGGCTTGGTCTCCTGATGTCATTAGATGAAACAACTTTTGATTATTACTTTCAACAAGCAAGGGTCGACATAAATGACAACCAAGTTGCAGAGATCAAGTATCCAGATCATAAGCAAAAGCTTCTTGGGCTTGGTATAACAGATATGTAAGTTCCTTTTTTTTACTAATTATTTTTTAAATAAAAACACTACTAGAGAACCATTTGTGATTAAAATTGGAATCAGTTTTAGTGTTTATAACATGCATGCATGTATAGCGGCTGCCTGCAACTTCATCCGCGTTAACTTTAGTTTTTAAGGAATCCCTCCTCTCCTTATCATATAATCCTAAATTCCTAAGTTATTTTCTTGATAAAAAGTATTGTGTCAATAAGTATCCTGTCTCAATCCAGGTAAAAAAAACATGCCACATTTCTTACAAATCTGTTTAGCCATTTTTGCATGATTGAGTAACAAACATACATACTTTCACATTTATAATATTAGTAGGATGTTGGTTTGGTGATTTGGTTGATTTTTGTAATTGCAATATAGATTTAAAAAATATGCTATTGTTACAAAATGAGAACGGGAAAGGACTAACCTGCTATCACGCTGTTTTGTATTGACAATCTGTCGTTTGCCGTCGATCAGTGAGTCTTGCTTGACCCTTAGGGTAAGTTCAGAACTAATGACTACTTTAGAATTTAGGTGAATGCATGATTGTCTAAACGATTCAATGTAATGATTTAGAAACTATATGCGTGCGTTAAAATGTAGGCACGTTGTCGCGCGACGCGTAGGAGGTCACCATCAGATGTAGTGCACTCGGATCTTGCGATTGTTTCTAAGTACAGTATTTGTACTCAGAGACAATAGCAAGATCCCTTGCAGGATTGGAACTTGGAATCTACGGACAATGCTAGCGCCGGGAAAACTGGAAGAACTTAAAGAAGAAATGAACAGGTTGAAGATTGACAACCATGGGTTTATGTGAGGTTAGGTGAGAGGGAAGTGAAGACTATTGGATTGACGATTACAGAGTAATATACATTTAAGAAATGGAATTGCTATTATCTTAAACTAAAAGTGGGGAGAACAGGTCGAAAACACTTTTCATCATAGCCATAGAATCCCAGTAATAAAGCTAAAGTCAGAACCCATAGATACATTAATTATCCAGGTATATATGCCAATAGGAACCTACATAGATGATGAGATAGAAAGTATATATGAACAATTCGAACCATTCATGGGCTTGGTTGGTGAAAAGGACATTTTTTTTCTTATTGGAGACTTGCTGTGGTTGGGGAAGGAAAAGAGGAGAATTTAAAAAACTATCGAATAACAAATGTTGCAAAGGCAACGGGCCAGATTATCCTTATCTAAACTAAAGGTTGATTATAGAAACTGACGTTAATAGTTATGGTTTTGGCCGATGTCAATCTTGCCGAAGCTTTTCGCCCACTTGTCTACAGCCTCAGTCAGACTCCATCCGTTCCCTTAGCACAAGGTCTACGATCGAGACGCTGTCTTTGAACGTGAAGATTTTGCTGCAGGCACAAAGTACGTAAACGCCGCACTCATGTCACGCACACATTGACACTACGTTTACAGGCATTTTAGAATTTACTGGTTAAGAACCACTGCTATAGACACTACGCTACGAATTAGTTCCATGGCTAAATCTATGTAGCTATTTCGGGTGTAAACAACTCCAGAAATCTTTTTGTGAATGCCCATGCATGAGCCATATTCTTGACTATAGAAATGCAAGTTCTAGACAACATCCGCAAACAAGTTAAAGCTCTATTCTTTAGCTTTTGAATAGGAAAATCCCCAGTATTCTAATTATTTACCTTTGTTGGGCCAAGGACTGTGACATCTTTAAAGTGAATTTATGACCAGACAACTAATGAATAAATTAAAGTATAGCTATAAAAAAACATAAAGCACTTGAAATAGTTTATTATAACATTATGGCTTTTTAATATTTTCTTGGTATTGCTAAACTGTATATAAAGTTGAAAGTTATTTTTTTATGAAAAATCAAAAATAACTAGTTAAATTGAGACATCGCGATTTCGTCAGGTCTTATTTTTATTCAGTATGTCTTGACGGGGTTCCACAACTATGCCTGCACTCTCGACACACATTCCTGCTCAAAACGTCTTTCGTCAGTGTCAAATGCAGGAATATTGTCTGGTTATTCACGGGTGGGACTCGGCTCATTTCGCCTAGCCATTGAGCTGGAGAAAGGCAGGCAGGAGTCTTACATATCCCCATGTTGCTGCTCCCGGTGGGCAGAGAAAGGCTTCAAGCCTTTTTTTATTTTATTCATACTTACTCTTGCGGCGCAACGATCCGAAGTGGATCTTGACCTCCCACACTAGATAGCACCATGCTTTGCGCCTTGCTTAGTTGGGATCCAATCGTATTCTGTGTTGGTTTTGTAACTTTGGATTTTTACGTGGGTGGGGTGTTGGTGTACTGTACATTCCCAAAACAATACAAAATGGAGTAGGACCACACTCATCGTCCACCGGACTTAACCGGTAGTAAAGTTTGGCTGTACTGCCGACCTTTCCTCCATCCGCTACCTTGGGTACGCTCCTCTTCTCTATCATTATCATCTTGTTATTGTTATGTCGTAATATTACATGAGGTTTTATCAAAAAGCATATGTAAATAATACTAATAATTTCCAGGTGTCGGGCCATCACAGAGGAGAAGTTATCTATGAATGAAGTAGTAAGAAATTATAAAAAGTACATACCGAAAATAATAAACAAACGTCATGGGCCTTTTCCTAGGCGACACGCGAATAATCTTCTCCCGAAGTTGTTTGAGATGCATTATAGTAACAAGTGAGTGTGTAAACATTACCTGACAGTCATGATAAACAACGTGTTATCTTAGTTATTTAAACTTTTCTATGTAATTAGACTATTTAGTGACTTTAATGATCTATTGAGTTAATTGATGATGAATCTAATTTTGGTATGATTATCTAAATCTTAAATTCAATTATTGACTACATTTGCAAAATTGCTTTGTATGTTACAATGCGTATATTCATGCGCCATTATTTTTACTAATGTTGATTTTCGAAACAGGTAACTTTTGTTGCAGACATTTCAGATAGACCGTAGAGTCTCTGGATTGATTGGTAAGAAGTAAGAATAAATTTAATAATGTGATAATTGTTTTGCAGTTATCTGAAGGACAAATATATGGCTCAACTGTACGACTTGGCACCGAACTACTTGGCCGAGGAATACGATAGTATACTGTGGATGAACGGGGATACTGTCACGCCGGTGCGGCTCATGGTGGCCCCGTTTCACACACAACAACCTGGTATAAGGCTTTACGATACCAACAAGAGAGAGGTAAGTGATGAGTTTTGCAGTTATTTAAAGGATAAGTAATTGGTACTGAAGAGTTCTAGCCAGAGTGGATAGAACCCAGGGACGTAACTACTAATTAAAAGATACTGGTAGAGATAAGATATTTTATATTTTATTTATTGCATTGAGGCGAATATAAGTTTTTTATCTAAGCTACGAAGGTTTTGTGCCTGAAGATTGTCTCTTGTATGGAACCTTCTATCAAAAGACAGATGATTCCTTATTTCAAATCTTAAAATCATGACATTAACTTTTTAATATAACTGCCAACCGTAGGCATTGCAAGAGCAAAGAGTTTACCTAAACAAGGAGGCTGTAACGTAATGGACGTTACAGTACCGAACTGCTTGGCGGAGGAGTATGACAGTATACTGTGGGTTAACGTGGTTACTGTCACGCCGATGCGGCTCATGGTGGCCCCGTTTCACACACAACAGCCCGGTATAAGGCTTTACGATACTAACAAGAGAGAGGTAATGATGGGTTTTGCAGTTATTTAAAGGATAAGTAATTGGCACCGAACTGCTTGGCGGAGGAGTATGGCAGTATACTGTGGATGAACGGGGACACTGTCACGCCGGTGCAGCTCATGATGCCTTTTTTTTTTAACTAAAAAGCCTTTATTTATTTTTTTTGGGTTGGAAGGTTTTTCGGTTAGGTTTTAAGTTAGGTTTCTTTAATACAAAGTCTTAATACTGGGTTCTAAAAAGAATTGAAAAAGCGCGAATCTCTGCTAAAAACGAATAAAAAAATATCATTTTCATATTAGTCACCCTTATTTTTCATTCTAAAGCATAACACTTTTAATTCTAAGAGGTAATTCACGGGCTTCACCCTGTAGTGAAGGGGGTTAGGGTAGGCAACACAAGTAATATTCTGGCATTACATCAGGCATACCATACCATACGTTTGTTTGCCACTCTTATTACATAAAATAAGAGAATTGAACTGTTGCAAAACAAAGCAGCAGTAAAATATGGTATAGCAAAGTGGGCGTAAACTTCTCTTATATAGGTACTAAATTTTTGAGTAGTTAGTCGGAGAAAAATTGATTTTCAATGGCTGTAAAGATATCTAGAGATAAGATAACCTCTTTTACATTCCTAACATTCGTCAATGACTGTATAATCCGCACACGTCTGTTATTGGGACTATTTATGTGGCCCGCCCTCTTTTCAAAAGCTAATACATTAACATTAATTGCTTATCGGCCTTCGGGTGCAATAGCCAGCCCATCGCTCTGATTAATCTGGGACTAAATCTATACTTACAATAAAATGGTAGGAAACTCAAAACTGTACATTGAATATTTTTTTAAAAGAATACTTGTGATCTTCAATCGATACCGAAGCCAAAAATATAGTTTTTAGAATTTTTGTCTGTTTGTCTGTCCGGGACAAACTCAAAAGTACTGCATGGATTTACTTCAAATTTGGCACGAATATTATTAAGAAGTCGGGTCAACATATAGGCTACATATTCTCACGCTATCACCTACGGGGAACGAGCCGTGAACCTTGATTTTTAACTATCTCCATGCGTAACACGTACGAAGTCGCGGGCGGCCGCTAGTCTAATATATAAAATTCTCGTGTCGCGGTGTTTGTGGTTAAACTCCTCCGAAACGGCTTTCCCGATTCTATGAAATTTTGTGTGCATATTGGATAGGACTGAGAATCGGAAACATCTATTTTTCATTCCCCTAAATGTTAAGGGTAATCCACTCCTAATTTTTTTTTTTCAATTTTAGATAAATCTTTTTTTTTAATTTTTTTTATGATACAGCATTAGTAAATACATACTACCCTAAATTTTCACCCTTCTACCACCAACCCCTATTTTTTTATGGCGGTACGAAGTTCGCTGGGACAGATAGTAATTATATGTAATGAGTTTTTCGAAATCAAATTATTAAAAAATCAGAGACATCAATATGTCCTATAATATATCAGGCAATGACCTCTACATACCAGTACATCTATTTCGTCTAATAACATCGAACAGCTCGCTAATTGCAATTAATATTAATCTCATAAGTAAACGAAAGATTACAGTGTTGAACATACAACGATACTTAAAACCAAATAAGTGCGATTCCATCAAAATATTCGTCAAATAAGCTTATTTAGTAATCTTCAATCAACATTATATTAAAGCGACGAATTAATAGTATTTACATACACTTGATTATATTACATTTTGTCGTATAACTTTACTATTTAGTAACTATTAAGAGCTTTTATTTTATATTAAAATTGAGGAGCTGGCGAACAAAACGGTATATTTACGCATCTGGTCAAACTACTTTTTTTACAATCCGGAGGTTTCAGGCCCGTTGAATTTGAATCTCAAATAATTTTCAATCAAAACCGCTTAAAACAGTGTTAAAATTACTAAATTTATAAATTAAAAACCAGCAACAGCTCCTGTATTTTTTTTTTTGTAATTATACCGTTTTGTTCGCCAGCTCCTCAATTAAGAACATTTAGTCCTCGTTATAATGAGAACTTATTATCACACATACAAAAAAAATAAGTACCTGATAATTGAGTATTTAGTGTATCAAGAGTAAGGCAAATCCGACGCTTACATTAGTTGTTCAAGATCACGGTGACCTTAAAGGCCAAGACTATATGTGATAAAGAAATGTAATCATCCAATACGCTATCAAATTACGTTCGAAATTTATCAATGGAATGCATATTTGAATTAAAGAAAGTAAATAAAATCTTTGTAAATGCATTACGTCTAAGTATTTTTTTTTTCTGTTTTTTTTTCTCGGTTAGTAATTAATATTTATTAGTAGACTTCTGTGATTTCGTCCGCTGACAAGGTCTAATATTTCTATCAGGCGCAAGGGGAAGGCCATGATCCCCACAAAATCAAATCCGATTAATTAACACTTATTTTTATAAGCACTATTAATTTTATTATTCATCTCGTTCAAGTCAGTCAAGTGTAATGTCGTTTGCTTAGGCGCTTGACCTCCGGACATGAACGAAGGACTTGGGGGGGGGGGGGGGCATATGAAGAACTACAAATAATATGGAATACTAACTAGTGGGCAGGGCGAACAAACTGCGATCAACACGCCGCCCTTGGGATTGGTTAGGATTTTCATTTGCAGATATTTCATTTGTCAAAGTATTTTGTTTTGTCTTTGTCCGTGTCGCGTTAGTATTGAAGTTTAGTTCTATGAGTTTGGAACCATGTTTTAGCGGCCTTTGTTTTTGGACAATTTTCCTGTGACCTCTCAGTATAGTCTGAAACCAGTAAATAATACTTTTTAAAACAATGTTCATCAAAGATGCAACCACTGAGAGCCAGCAGACCGACTTGTTTCAGCGCTGGAGATGTCATACTTCAAATACATACCAAAACTGACCATTTCCCGTATGGTTTTTTTTTCTCAACAATGAAGCTTCTTTCTTGCGCAATTCCCGAAGATGCAACTACTAAGAGCAGGCAGACCGACATTACTTACATCAGGAGACCACTTTGCAACCCATAAAAATAAATCCACTCGTATCCATGATCGTTTACAATTTTCCTGTGACCTCTTACATTATTAGAGCATAATGCTTCCATATAATTTCTAATTCGTTGGTAGCATACCATTATTGTATCGGCAGTTGTCAGCCAAAATATAGGGTCCGTTGATTGACTCCACTATCAGGAAATCTAAAGATAGCAACTGGCGTTTCCTATGTTTATCATTCTCCCTTAGTTTAGCATCGAAGAATCTCTTCTTTAAAGTACAACATTGAAGATGTAGGTATATGGCGCATGTATATTTCGTAATGTCATCAATTGGCAATTTTATAAATAGATGCCACTTAGTGGTCACATCCCGTCTGGAGACGTAGCTTACAAGTACAGTAGAAAGTAACATTGTTATAACAGTTACTATACTATCGATTATGTTATAACCCAATATTTTAATATCTGCGCAATATGATGACTGATTGCTTAAAAACATCGTTTGCTAATTTATTTTTGTGTAACAAACTACCTATTAATGTAATTTGACAAGAACTTTAGACAAAAAACTTTGCGAAGTTGTGAAAATTGTGGTTGCTGAAATCAGTCAAAGCTTTACTGATGACACATTCTACAGACCATTATTGAATTTTTAAAGTTTCTTCACGCGCATTAAAATCTAAATACACGATCATTTAACATAAAACAAATAACAGCAGTAAGATTATTCCAAATATGAAATCCTAAATTAATAATTCAATCGCCATCACAAAGAAAAAGATAGCGTCAATTTAAGAGCTTAATAGCGCAGGTGGTGGAAGTTAAGCACCTTTCTTAATGGTCGGTCATTGGATGGGTGACCAAAACTTATTACCTCGAGCTTCGGAAGGCACGTTAAGCCGTTGGCCCCGGCTGCATCTGCAGTCGTTAGCACCCACTAATCCGCACTGGACCCGCGTGGTGGGTCATAGCCCTTCTCCCTATCCCATTCACAGGGTAGGCCTGTTCCCCAGTGATGATAAGCTTACTGTCGTTTCTGAGTGGGGCTATAAGACTTTATTGATCTTTACAACAAAACGAAAGTAAAATACTTATTTTAGCAGAATATTTCCCTCTGCGTCGTAATACCCAGTTTCAGGGTATTCGTCTTGCGTATGTATTAAATTTATATATTTTTCTTTATTTACAGTGGATGCACGTCTGTAATATAGAAGGACTTATTTATTTAATGAGAAATGGCGAATGCACATTGGAAGTCTCTAGAAGAGGGACACCATTATTTTTCAGGTTCAAGTCTGATAATCAATTGTCGTCTTTTATATCCGTCTGTGACGGCTATTACAGGTAATGTTTAATTCTTTTTTCTGGAAATTAAAAACATTTTGTAACATGATTGTTAATACAAGTCCCTTCACATTTTACGACGAATTAAAGGTTTCATTGTGAAATGAAACGAAATTTACACCAGTTGTCGCTATTTTTGTATACCTGAACTAATAATATATCATACAAAAATTCATTTACGTGTTTAGACTGACAAATGTTGACCAGCCCACAGTTAAGCAATTCATTATAAAGAGGAATAAAAAGTAGATAGATAGATAGATAATGCGTTTATTTTTTTCTTCAACATACATATACATTTCAGAGTAATACAATAAAGAAAAATTAAAAGATACAATAAATTAGCTATAAAACCCACATGTATGCTGCAGAAAGCAAAAGGCCAAGGCTCGGCTAAACATTTGCCAGTTTTAAGGCAAAACACCGATTTTCAGCCATCACCTTTAAATATAGTTTACTAACCGTCGTCTGCAATGTACCGATATCTTTTTTCTATTTCAGGTTAATGGTAAAGTGGACTTTCAATTTGTCAAAAGATGATGAGTCCCCTTCATTGAAACAGCTACAGAAAATAAAATGCCATGGACCTGTTGGGTAAGTGTTTAGTTATGATAAAATAAACGAAAATGTAGTGACGGGGTTGTAAGTTTAAAAAAAAAGTGTTTCTTTATCTCTCAAATGACGATGTGAATGATATATATAACGATAAAATATAAATACAATATACTACTTACCGTACTTATTAATAAGGTCCAAAATTTGTAATATTCACTTCACTTCTAGGGGCGCATTCTCATATCGAAAATTAGAGGAAAAACGTGGGAAAAAACACGGCTGCTACATACTCCGACAGTGCCAAGATCATTATAATATTTATTACTTAGACGTTTGTACCAAAACAAGGTAAGTTTGCGGATCTGATATAAATATTAGACACACTATTTTGATTTGATCTCTTTGTATAACTTTGAATTTTGTTCAAACTAATGCGCAACATACAACAATATTTGTCGAACAAGAAATACATATAATATTTTTTAAATTATACATAGTAAATGATTTACGTTTTCACAAACAAAAAAACAACACAATTTAGGTTGCCTGTCTGCTTTTTGGATATGCAATTTTGCATATTGCATATGCAATTTTGTGTATTGCATATGCAAAAAGCAGACATTATACTGTATATTCAAGCAATAAAAGACAGTGGTAGCCACATTCCACCAGGCGGCCCAAAGATTTTTTGCCGTGTGAAAAGTAGTTCACATAAATAGATTAAAACTTTACTTAACATGAGTTATACACTCCGCGTCAAAAAACCGCAGCTCCGCGAAAATAACTTTTAACCATTATTATATTAACGCTTGAAAGTTATTTTCGCACAGGTGCGATTTTTTTGACGTCGAGTGTAGTTGTGTGAGTGAGCTTAACACACAGTGTTTTTCTTGAATTTATTAGTTTTTCCTACTGGTTTTTTATATTGTAGGACTACAGAGACATACAAGATAGAATATAAGGGACACTGTTTCATGTTCAATGGCAAAGAGTACTATGACATTGAAGCTATAATCAGGGCTCACCAGGATCCTGAGAAAAAGATATTTTTACACGAATGCATACCACCCTCCGAGTTTGGTAATTATAATTTTATTGTCATTTATATTCGTTAATCTCAGATGAAATCATATTTATTTAAATAAAATGATGTCTTCTCTTAGTAAAATATCCTATCTTCAATGTTTAATATATTTTCCCTCCGTGTGACAAACTTCTTGTGGGTCGCCCTGTATATACGGCGTTAAGAGCTAAATTTATCTTTTACGGTTTCTGAATTGGCCGTGTTTTGAACTCTTAACACAACCCGCTATAGCCATTGACTAATAATATTAAAATTCATTCTTTATTGTGTCTATATGAAAAAGCAGAAGACAAAGCATTCTATTTTATCTATCGTTATTTATAAAAATTTTCGTAATACATAATTTAACAGATCAATCGCAATTATTGTTGTGTGGCGAGCCGGTGAAGAAAGGAGTGCGCATCGACCAAACTGAATTGCAAGAGGTGCTCAAAAGCAATAGGAGCCCACGTTGTCTTCTTAATAAGGACATTATGCTGTTTATAGGTATGTTTTCTCTTTTGTTATTAGCTTATTCAGGTCTTCTTTATAACGACTATAGTGAAGTTAAGAGTGAATACAGTGGTGTTCCATAGAGAAAGTTGTATGAACAATGCACTCGTGATGGCAGCCAAAAGAAATATTCCTTATATTTTCCCAGTGTCAAGATTTGATTTTTTTTACTACACTAATCGAACGCTGATTCGAAACATTTCAAAATAGGAAAAACTATACCCATTTAATTACAGAGTTTAGTTTCGAACATAATAAGGCAGTTAGTCTAGACAGCAGATGGGACTCGAATCAGATCAATTATGCTACCGCGACCTTAAAGGCCGTGTCGAATTTCTTCCAGTATTTCTTAGGCCACATGACAGTTAATTATCGCATTATGATAACCCTTTCATATTATGATTTTAAGATAGTCAACACTGTAGTATCAGTGTTGAATATCTTAAAACGTTATACCATACCAATACGCTTTTGAAATAATTAATTTAAATAATTACACTTTGAGAAAATCCTTCTGCGAAATCTTCTTTTGGTAATTTTTGCCAAATAAAAAGAGATGCAAAACAAATAGAGATGCAAAACAAATAGCCATTAAGTAAAGTGAAACATAAAATGTCGACAGGTTCCGAGAAAGTTGGTTCAGGCAATGTCACTGTGACATATAAAGCGCATTGGAATCTCGATGAAACGAAGAAACTTATAGTTGCGTTTAAAGCTCTACAACGCGAGGATCATCTCAAGGTAAAAGATTTTTTAATAAACTTTTTATTTATACCGTGGTCACGCCCACAAGGCTTTTCCAACCTATATCTCATCACGCGATGTTATATAATTTAGTCGCACTATTATCACAGTTTAGTTACAACAGTCTCCTTTTTATTGCCTATAGAGTATGATAAGGACAACTTGCTGTCAAACTAGAAATAGCAAATACGTCAAGGCATGTGAAGTGCTAGCACAAAATAGTGCCTACATTTCTTTATTCTATCCACTAGCTGCCGCCCGCGACTTCGTACCCGTGGAGTTAGTTAGAAATAAAGGTTCACTGCTCGTTCCCCGTAGGTGATAGCGTGATAATATGTAGCCTTAGTTGACCCGACTTAATAATATTCATGCGAAATTTGAAGTAAATCCATGCAGTACTTTTTGAGTTTATCCCGGACATACATACAGACAAATAGACAAAAATTCTAAAAATTATATTTTTGGCTTCGGTATCAATTGTAGATCACATCCCAAGTATTCTTTTAGGAAAATATTCAATGTACAGTTTTGACTTTCCTACCATTTTATTAAATGTATAGATTGTACAAAAGTTCGTAGAACTAGCTAGAAACTATGTGCGCGTTTTCATCTTTGACGCTAGTGCATTTATACAAAATCACTGTAAATTATGACTGATAGCCTTTCCATTGACCATCAACTTTTTATCTAATCCGTGGATGTAACTCTCATCACGATATGTTACAGATTTTTCTCCCAATATGGTCACAATTTAGATATTTCCGTGCTGTCTTTTCACTTAAGTTCAGAACTGTTCTGAACTAGCATGTTCGCTCGGTAAATGGAATGCTCAGAGAAGAGTTCGATCGCCGTTGCGTTTCTTCCATTAATGATTGATTGACCAATAGAGCATTCTTTCGCTGAGCCAGCCAAACATCATTGAACTTACTGTTTCGCTCGCTCTGGTGTTTCCATTTACCGAGCGAATAATGTAGTGTTATATCAACGAATTAGAAATAATATGGAATACGAACTGCACTAAAAAGGAGTTCCACGCAAACTGCGATCATTGATCGTTCACTCGTTCGCCCATTTGGGCGGGGCGAAATAAATTACGATCAAGACGCCGATCATGAAATTGGTTGGGATTTCTGTTTCACATTATCTTACCCAATGAATGGACAGTCGAATTCATTTGCAGATATTTGATATGTCAGTGTTTTTTTGTGTGTGCGTGTCGCGTTAGTATTGAAGTTTAGTCGTATGAGTTTGGAACCATGTTTTAGCGGCCTTAGAGTAATACTTCCGTATAATTTCTAATTCGTTGCGCTCAGCATTGTTCTGATTCTGAGCACTAAGTGGAAACGCTGCATATTTCTAGTGGCTATATTTTCTATTTATAGTGGTTATATGTTATATCCATTGTGCAGGAGTTCGTAGAACTAGCTAGCAAGTACGTGTGCGTTCATTCTTCGTCGCTGGTGCGTTTGTATGGCGTCACGTTAAACTCGCCCACTGCTTTAGTGCTGGAATATGTGCCGCATGGAGCCTTCGACGAATATCTCAGGTGAAAAATACTTTAATGATATGACAGATAATTTTCAGAGATACATTAAATACGCTTGAAAATGACAAATAATTACTGAACTCTAAAGCTAGGGCCTCTTCTGCGTGTTAGAGCAGAGCAATGCGTGCCGGAGCTTCGTATGTTTTGCACGCTAAAAAGTTACTACGATAATGTGCTGGTCATATTACCCCCTACGTCATTTTACACGATTAAAGTGCATACAGTTTGGCAGAATATTGAAACAATGGAAGAAGCCATTATTTACTTGTACATGTGTGCTTCTATTTATTTAAATGCTTAATATTCTTTGTATCTTTTATTTCATCTGCGTGTATCGTGTGTATGAGAAGTTTTGCACTGAACATTTGTATTTTATTCATTCGATCTCTTCCCATAGGAACAATGGTGAAAGAGTTAAGCCTATACACTTAAAGAAGGTAGCGGCGACGTTAGCTCGGGCGCTATGGGATTTATCCGAAGCTGGATTGGTGCACGGCTATATTCGATGCCGGCGCTTATTATTAGCGGCACACGATGCAGACCGTATTGTGATAAAACTGTCCGGCCCGAGTCTGCGGTCTTACACGCCATATGAGTGAGTATTCATAGTGAGATATATATTACGTTATCACATCAAAAAGTCTATTTTTGATGTGATAACGTCTTATAAATCACGATGAACACCGGCTGCACGCACGAAAAAGTGTGACGTCATGTCACGAGTCGCGTTATGTGATGTCATGACATGTTAGTTCAACGTTTGAGGAGTTCCATGGACACCCCCTCCCCCTTGACCGCTCTACCGGACATAAGGGCAAACTGGTTTTTACCATAAAAAAAAATCGATGAAGATACGATTACGGATCTGCCAGAGTTCGTGCTTGGGCCTCTGAGTCTGAGTTTTTACACGCAGACGAGAATGTATTGTAAATGCGTCGGTATTTGTGAGTCGAGGCCCTCCACAAGTAAGCACAGTGTTTGGTCCTCAACCTGTCCCATAGACCAAACCCGCTTTATATTTCGAACCATCACCTTATAGTTCACTCTCCGGGGTTTCGACCCCACCAGATATCGTTAAATTCCCCTTACTGCATTCGGCTTTACCACCACCGAAAGGTAGTGTTATTTTACAAAGTACAAACCGTTGGTAGTTTTGCTTTCTGAACACAAGCAAGTCAACATTATATAATTTCACAGCATACACTGGATGCCTATAGAGTTCTTCAGTGACATGAACATGGCGAAGCGATCAGCGGTGGGCGATATATGGGCGTTCGCGACCACGCTCTGGGAAGTGTTCTCCTACGGCCTGTCTCCCGCTGAGACGAATCCTGTGCTCACAGAGAAGGTAAGATTGTAGACTTTAAAAAAACGATCGAGCCTTACAGTATTGCGTATGATGTGTAACATTTGAAACCTCACCTTATATTAGTAAAAAAAAAGAAATAAAACCTACTACAAAATTCAAATCAAATAGCGCGCGCTTCCCAAACTTCCTGTTACACAATTCCGTCCCACTTCATGTGATCACTCCCACAAATTGCACGAAAGCGAGAGGAAAGATGTTACACATCAGAAAAAATTACAATTTCCAAACACATTTTACCACTGGAAGTGTCTCTAACGCAAACTATTTAGTTTAGAAAAAAATAATGTTGGAAACCTCAATATCATTTTTGAAGACCTATCCTTAGATAAGCCCACATGTATGGGTATGATGAAAAAATTTTTTTTTGAGTTTCAGTTTTCAGTATCGGGAACCCCAAAAATTTATTGCTTTTTTTCTATTTTTGTGTGAAAATCTTAATGCGGTTCACAGAATACATCTACTTACAGAACCCGGCCATTTATAAGTCGCATCGTGCTTTAGAAAGATATACTCGGCAAGCTTCGGCTTCGTATAGCGCCGTCTTTGTTACCCTTGTCAACCTGACGATTAGTCGCTGACTTGTCAGTCGTAGTTCAACATCGCTAAAGAGCAGTCGCGTTCTTCTTCAAAAACATATATATACAGAGTTGCTAAAACCAACAACAAAAAAATTTTCATGGCATGTAAAATAAAAAGTGGGAAACCTTTGCACGGACTGTCTTGCGAAATTGTAATGTGTATAAATATTTCGCGAAAGAAAGTAAAAAATTGAAAAAAAATAAGGATGATGATTGCAGTAATTATTTTATGAAGATTTAAGAGCGAGTTGCGAGTGCTACTGGAATTTCAAGAAAAACTGTCAGAAATATATTGAATGAAGCTGAGCAAGCAGCTGATATTGATGCACCATCCACTTCATTTAAGTTTAGTACTCCCAAAAAAGGGCGACCAAAAAGCAACACTGTTTGGATTTGGATGATTTTGATGATGATGTTGTTCGAAGAATGGTTTATGATTTTCACTTAAGATTTAATGAATTGCCGACAATTGAAGCGTTGAAAATCAAATTATCTGAGGCCATTAACTATAATGGACCTGAAAAGATGTTAAGAAAAATTCTTCTAGAGATGGGATTGCGGTTCACTAAAATGGAAGATAACAGAAAAGTTTTAATGGAAAAGCATGATGCAAGACTCAAACGAATTGAATACCTAGATAAAATATGTAATTTTCGCAATGAAGGAAGAAATATAAAATAAATCCACGCGGACCAGGCAGCGGACGGGACTCGAACCCGCATCCTTCTTCGCATTGTAGGTAACCCACAAGTATTCATTTGACATTGTGGGTTACCTACAATGCGAAGAGATGGCGCTGCCTTGCAGCTTAAAGCTAGGAAAATTTCGACGCGGCTAATAGGGCCGTGGTAGCAGAATGGTCAGTGCATTCGCCCGGATAGCGAAGGATGCGGGTTCGAGTCCCGTCCGCTGCCTGGTCCGCGTGGATTTTTTTCTAGTAAACTTTTCTTTAGATTTAAACATCTAGCAGTTAAATGCTCAAAAAATAAATAAAATCATAATATAAAATAATTTATATGGATGAGTCTTACATACATACATCCCACACAAAAGGCAAAAGTTGGATTGATGATAAAAAAATAGGAGTAAAGAAGCCAATTTCAAAGGGTCAACGGTGGATAATAGTTCATGCAGACAACGAAAAAGGTTTTGTTCCCGGAGCTTTTTTAACATATAAATCCAGATACCACAGGTGATTACTACAAAGATATGAATAATGAAAACTATGAGAAATGGCTGCTTAATCAATTAATACCAAATATACCCATTAACTCCGTTCTGGTTATCGACAACGCACCTTATCATAATAAATATGTAGAGAGAGCCCCAAATTCCAACACTATAAAATAGGAAATGATAAACTACTTAAACACACATAACATTCCAGTTGATCCAAATTTGACGAAACCACAGATTTATGCTATTATATGTCGCCACAAGGAAAATTTTACAGAGTTTTACGTAGACAAAATACTTGCAGAACATGGGTACACTACGTTGCGATTGCTGCCATATCACCCGGATTTCAACCCTATTGAAAATATATGGTCTCAATTAAAAGGTTATGTAGCCGCTAGAAATGTGGATATGAATTTGAATTCGGCGAAAAATTTATTGACTGAAAAAGGAAACATGATTGGAACTGAGGAGTGGAAAAATGTTTGTGAACACGCAATAAAATGTGAAAATGAATATCGAAGTACTGAACATCATTTAGACAATTATACTGATAGGCTAGTGATAAATGCGGGCGATAGTGACAGTGATGCCGTGGTTGAGAGCTCACATAGTGATATGGAAGGAATTGAGAATTTAGAATCTCATTAGTAAAATGACACGGATAGGCTTCGCATATCTATTACTTTTTTGTATTTTGTTATTGGGTTGGAAATAAAAAATATAGTATTTCATTAAAATAAATAAATTAAGATACATAGTACATATATTATGTTGTCTTTTACCTACAAGTTTTCTGTTTGTATTGATTTCTAAAAAAAAATCATAAAAAGTTGTAGCAGCTCTTAATATATACCGGACTGTTAGTGTTTCGTGTGACAGAGATGACGCTCTACAAAGCCGAAGGTAACCGAAGCTAGCCGAGTATTTCTCTCTTAAGATCGATGCGACTTATAAATGGCCTGGTACTGTACCAAGTTTCAACAGTATAGTTCTTATAGTTTCAGAAGAAAGTGGCTGTGACATACGGACGGACAGACAGACAGACATGAAGAATCGATAAGGGTTCCGTTTTTTGCCATTTGGCTACGGATGAATATTTTTTATTCGGTATGGTTGAAAATATTGATCAATACATATTGCATATATGTTTTATTTATTAGTTTAACTTACTGGTTGATAAATATAATGAACAATACTAATACGTATATCTATAATGTTTTGATTATGCGTATAAAGAAAAACTACGTGTCCAATACTTTTTGGATATCCCTGTAGATAGACGAAGAAAAAAAGTTAGTCATCCTCTATTTGCGTAAAATTTCTCTTTACTTATAAGTAATTCTTACGGTTGTTAGAGTTACGAGCTAGGCGACAGGCTTCTGCGTCCCACGCAGTGTCCCACGGAGGTCTGGGCGTTGATGAACCAGTGCTGGCAGGCCACGCCAATGCGGCCACAGGAGATCATGCGGGACATGAACCATATGCTGCATAGAGGTAGGTGTCAAGACGATTTACTTTTACGAACGTTTTTAGTAAGTGATTGTCATTGTGAAGTTATTTTCACTCATTCTCGCACATACACACACACACACAAATATACACATACTCTTACTAAATGTTGATTAATATTGTTTACATTGTGTAATTTGTGTAATATATGTACTTTTATATATGTAGGTTTATATATATATAAATTAAATATTTAATATGTAAATGTACTCTGCAACAGTTAGCTAAAATAAGCATAAAGTTTTTAAAATTATACCTAACATTACTTAAGCTTCAAGTCACGTCATAGCCTCTTTTTATTATGTATGTAGTCAGCGGGAGGGTCCTGGTGACCTGTGTCACAGGTTTTCACTGAAACCTAATTCAGGCACCAGTCTCTCACAATACTATAACATATTGTAAACCACAAGTGGTATACTATAAGAACTTCATTTTCATGTGAGAGAAAAATAAATAAATGATTGATTGATTGATTTTAATCGTTTTAAAACATGTAAAGAAAGAAGAAAAGTAAAGCAAATGTTTTTGATTAATTTCATCAGTAAATGATATAGAGTAAAACTCAGCTGTATTCGCACTAAATAACTGGCGTAGTTTATCTGTACATTTTTCTGTCAAAATAAGTGTGGGAGAACTTCATTGGAAATACTAAAGCATTGGATTGAACGTTATTTAGCCAATTTCACAATATCACATTCAAAGTGTTAATTAGATATTATTTATTAACCAGAATCATGTCCATAGTGAAATACCAGTGTAAATGATATAATTATAATAAATGATTTTCAACACTCACACCAATTAGCTTAGCCCCGAAGTAAGTAAATAGTCCATCCGATTTCTGAAAATGCTAAATCATTAGTCAATATTTTGTTTTTGTACAGAATACGTGCCCATTCACGACTACGAAGAACCAAAGATATGTCTTAATCATCACATGGACACCACAGACACCGTATCGAGTAAGTAGATAGATTAGTAAGTAGTTTTTTCTTAAGATTGATAACAACAATATTAAATACCCTAGTTACACCACGAGCGCTCAAAATGTGTCCCAATCAAGAAGTGCTTGAACACCACTCAAGCACTTCTTGGTTCAGTCACGCGCGGACCGTTACAAAGTCAAGATGCCACAGAGCTCCGTGAAAAAATGCGAAAATAATACTTAGAGTACGAAAAGTGTATTTTTTTCTAAATGTTTGTTTATTTAACGCATTTGAAGCAAATTTTGTTTTAATACTTACTATAAACTGATTTAATATAAAATATTTGTGATATTCAAATGCATGGTCGGTAATACATCGCCGTATAGCCGTCTCTTTTCCTTGCGGTCCGTACTTGCTATATTGGTAACAGCGCATTCAGAATTGAGAGTAGAGACAAAAGAATAAGGTCTATATTCTTCCACATATACCAATAAGTCATAAATTTTACGAGCTTGCATTTCGAACTGTCAGTCTTTGACGCATGCGTTTTAATTTAGACCTTATACAGTATGCATTAAAGTTGATTTTCATTGTTAAAATAATGCCTTAAATGGTTTTGACCACACGATTATCTACGAGCTCCGTGGATCACACAACGTACCTTGTGGGCACGTTTCGGCCACGATTTTGTTCGTGTTGTTGTATCTAGCGTATTTAATATCGTTGATTGGTAATAATAAACTCATTGCGATTTGAAACATTTTAGGTGACAGGTTCGCTCCAAGTGAACTGAGTGACGCAAGCAGTAACAAGTCTCTTATATCAGACAGCAGTGCGCTGTCTCTGAACGGTGCATTGATAAATCACTTGGAGAACCATGTGAGTATTTCTATATTTAATTTTTAATAATGCATTTTTATTAAAATTTTGTATGAATTTGTGAAAGAATGGTATACTTTATTTGTTATTTTTAATTGATGGTTTTAGCGATTCGGAATGATATTCTTGACATTTTGAGAATTTTTGACTTGTATACTGGCGCAAACGCGACTTCGTATGCGTGGAGTTAGTTAGAAATAAAGGTTCACTGCTCGGTCCCCGTAGGATAGCGTGATAATGGTGTCGATTCTGGCGTGATTCTCTAAACTTAAAACTAAATTTAACATCAGTCTCTCTTTTTCATTCTGTATAGAGAATGACAAGGATACACTGTTGTCAAATTTAAGTTTAGGTTTAGAGAATCGTGCCAGAATCGACACCAATATGTAGCCTATATGTTGACCCAGCTTCTTAATAATATTCGTGCCAAATTTGAAGTAAATCCATGCAGTACTTTTTGAGTTTATCCCGGACATACATACAGACAAACAGACAAAACTTCTAAAAACTATATTTTTGGCTTCGGTATCGATTGTAGATCACACCCCAAGTATTCTTTTAAAAAAATATTCAATGTACAGTTTTGACTTTCCTACCATTTTATTATACAGGGTGTAAAAGAACCAATGACAAAAACTAAAACTACGCATTCTGTACACCCAAACAAGTAATATTACAAAATATTATATGTGGGAAATCATTTTTATTTTTAAGTTAAAAATATATATATTTTTTTCCAGTACGCAATGTATAGCGCGCCGCGCTACTGTGGCGCTACGCAAATAATGTGCCTGTGTGTAAGTGTGTGCGTGTGTGTAAGTGCGTCGATAGAACGCGCTTCTCCACTACCTAGCGGGAGTATTATGTACACAAAATTACTTGATTATTTACTTCCAAAGTTCCTACATTTAAAAACAGCCCTTATGGAATTTGTTTAGATTTAGAGCTACGTAAGTACTTTTACTACTTACCGACTACTCGACCTCGTCTGGAATCGGCCGCTCGAACCGGATAAGTTGTGGCTCGAACTGGCGACCTTCCACATGTAAGCAAACGCGTGCCCGGTACAGCGTATTTTGATGGACGCGCTCCAGTATTCCTTCCCGTACAGACCGATATTTCAGTTCTTCAAATACGTCAATAATTTTTTGACGCATTTGATCACTAGTCTGACAGGGGCGGTCAAAAACACGGTCTTTGACGAAACCCCACAGGAAAAAATCCATGGCGTCAAATCAGGCGAACGCGCTGGCCACGCGTGCGGCCCATTTCTGCCGATCCAGTGGTCTCCGAACAGCTCCGTCAGCCGCTGCCGAACTGGTCTTACGATGTGAGGCGGTGCACCGTCGTGCTGGTACCAAGTCTCCCGCAACTCGGCCAGCGGCATGTCGTCTAAGGCCTCCGACAAATCGGTGTCAATTAAATTTAAATAGGCGGCCCCGTCCACTCTAGGCGGCAAAAAAACGGGACCGAGGATCCGGTTCCCCACAATGCCTGCCCATACGTTGTGTTTCCACCGCGCCTGGAAGCCCGTTTCTTGAGTCTGGTTGGGATTTTCTGCAGACCAGTAATGAGCATTTCGACGGTTCCACATGCCATTATTAGTGAATGTGCTTTCATCAGTGAAAATGATGTGTCGAACAAAACCTCGATCTTGTCTCAACAGCCACTGACAATAAGCCATGCGGCGCTGGGCGTCGCCTGGTACCAGTGCTTGCACGCGGTGGATTTTATACGGCCTCTGCCTGTCCCTTCTTAAGACTTTATGCACGGTGGTATGGGACACTACATGTCGACCGCGATGGCCATGCCTTCTACGCAAAAGTCTAGCTGCCGTTCGAACGCCTAAACGTGGGTTTTCCCTCATTACGTCTAAAATGGCTTGTTCCGCCGCAGGTCGTATTTGCCCGCGCCCGCCCTCCGAAACTGGCACTATCGGCTGATTGTCCAGCAAACGTTGTACAGCCCGAACAAAAATACGTGCATCACCCGGGTGATTCGCCGTGGGATATTCAGCCCGATACAGCCGCAGAGCTTCGGAAGAGTTTCCACGTGCTCTCCCGTAACAGAGAACCATGTTTACGTACTCACGAGCAGTATACGTTTGGTTAGGCATCTTCTAACACACACACACACACACTTTCACGTTCACAAATTATCACTTAATTGAAATCGCACGAGATAACAATAAAAATCGCAAATTTGCAATTTGAAAAGCGCATTCGATGACCTAAGAAACCGAACTGGAGAGCGGCGCGGGCGCGGGCTCGGTAGAGATAAAAAGAGACGATAGTGCCATCTTCTTCTTTCAGTTCACCGCCGACGCCGCCGCGCCGGCCGGCCGGCGTTGCATTGCCTAGGTTATACCTACTGACCAATTAACAATTAGATAATACGTAGATAATTACCTACATAACGGACATTGTGTTACGCTTCGGTAGCGTTTTTTATCATTTTCCATAAATAATTTACGTATTTTTTAAAACATTACAAAACTAGAATTTAATTTAGTACAGGTAGGTACTATAAAAAAATGGGAATGTAAAACCGGGAGGAAACATTCATTCGTTTAATCTTCGTTGACTACGGATCCTTCCGAATTAAAAACGATTAATGTTCTTGTATTAGTATCGATTCATAGCAAGCTTCCAAAATAATTCGAATTGGTACAATCGTTAAAAACAACAATACTTAACACGTTTATGGGATAATAAAGTTACTTTTATTTAAAATCCAAGTAAAGTATGAATAATGGCTGTAATTTATTTATTTATTTAATCTGTATTGCCTTTACACTGCAAATGGCGGACTTAATGCCAATATGGCATTCTCTACCAGTCAACCGGAAAGAACTTACAGAGCTAGAAAAAAAACAGCAGAATCTAATTAAGTAATTGATTGCTAAAAGATATGGAACTTTGTTTATTTACTGGAATCAATCGAGTTTACAATTGTATTGGACGTCAGTATGTCCTGACGTCCACGAAAAAAAAAATCCTAAGCGAAAGTGCAAAAATTAACACTAAACAATCAACATTGCTAGTGTTAAATTGTAAGGCGTTTTAGATTTGGTAAGTATCTTAGTTTCATTTTAATTACTATCGAAAAGACGTTAATTTTTTTTTGCGGTAGAGAGGACGGAATGTAAGGAATGACGAGCCTGTTTTAAAATATCATTTTGTCACCTGTTTAGATGGTACTTTAACTTTTTAATGAAACATAGCTCATTCCTCCGTAGGTAAGGTATTTTAAGAGAGGTAGGGCACAGCGGATTTTCCGCTTGAAATGGAGCGCCCGTCTGGTGAAGCAATCTCCACCTTTTGGTGGTGTTGTATTTCTGTTGGTGAGTAAGGTTCCAGGGCTTTGCGGGGTAGAGGATTGCGTTCAGGCCGGCAAGGTGAGGATGGCTAGAGCGAACACTTTCTGCCGCATCATCTTTCTTCGCGATTGGACTCCACTTACACTGAACATCAGGTGGGGTGTGGTAATTCGTTGCGCCTCGTGTAAAAAAAACCTTCCTGTTATTATTAACATTTTTTTTGATGATTATGGCAATGTTAACCGTTATGGAAAATAAAAGCCAGAAGCATGGTTTAGTTTGTTACATAAACAATAAAAAATTTGGGAATCTACTTGAGTTTAAAAAAAAATATGGCTAGTGTAACTTTCATTTTAATTAAATGTTTTTTAAGCAAACCTAATAAGGGGTAAATGACTAATTTACGCATTTCGTTTTAATAAGTGGTTGGATTAAACCCCGGTGTTGACTAGGCACGTTCGGTTGTTGACCTACGTGGCAGCTGATACGAGCGCGGGCGCGGGGCGCGGGCGCGGGGCACAGCGCGTCGGTGCGTGTGCATGCGTTGCTGTACATTTCTCGTTGTAAAGACAAAAGCCTTATTATGGAAGAAATACTAAAAAAAAAAAATATGTTCCTCAGGAAAAAAGTTTCTAAATAACGTTTAGAAAATATTAATGTAAAATTCTTGAAAAAAAAATTGTGACTTTGACCTCCAATATCTCCCTAACTATAAATTTCCCAGGTATGGTCCAGAAGAAAAAAATGATCGTCATGATGTGGAAAATACGTGGCCTTCGGCTTCGTTAAAGGTTTTTTTACACCCTGTATGTATAGATAAATATCTAAGTATCCCACGTGCCTAAAGAAGATGTTTCTTATATTGTTTCACCAAAACAGTTCGCGAACTGCAAGCTAACTAGCTCCCTAGACGGGATGAGTTCTGTAGCGCTAGCACTGCGCTCGGATACTTCCTTACGCAGCGCTAGTACTGCGCGGGCTCCGCTAACCGACGACGCGGTCGAACAGTTCGTAGGCGGCGGACAACCGAGACGTATGCAGCCCATAGTCACCCGCGGGACTACTTACTTCGTCACCTTAACTAAGAGGATCGGCAGTGTGAGTACCAATGTTCCAGCAATATAATTCCGTAACAAGGAGTCACCCGCGGCACTACGTACTTCGTCACATTAAGCAAGAGGATCGGCAGCGTGAGTACCTTTGTTTCAACAATACAGTTCGCTAACAAGGAGTCACCCGCGGCACTACGTACTTCGTCACATTAAGCAAGAGGATCGGCAGCGTGAGTACCTTTGTTTCAACAGTACAGTTCGCTAACAAGGAGTCACCCGCGGCACTACGTACTTCGTCACATTAAGCAAGAGGATCGGCAGCGTGAGTACTTTTGTTTGAATAATACAGTTCGCTAACAAGGAGTCACCCGCGGCACTACGTACTTCGTCACATTAAGCAAGAGGATCGGCAGCGTGAGTACTTTTGTTTGAATAATACAGTTCGCTAACAAGGAGTCACCCGCGGCACTACGTACTTCGTCACATTAAGCAAGAGGATCGGCAGCGTGAGTACTTTTGTTTGAATAATACAGTTCGCTCACAAGGAGTCACCCGCGGCACTACGTACTTCGTCACATTAAGCAAGAGGATCGGCAGCGTGAGTACTTTTGTTTGAATAATACAGTTCGCTAACAAGGAGTCACCCGCGGCACTACGTACTTCGTCACATTAAGCAAGAGGATCGGCAGCGTGAGTACTTTTGTTTGAATAATACAGTTCGCTAACAAGGAGTCACCCGCGGCACTACGTACTTCTTCACATTAAGCAAGAGGATCGGCAGCGTGAGTACCTTTGTTTCAAAAATACAGTTCGCTAACAAGGACACCCGCGGCACTACGTACTTCTTCACATTAAGCAAGAGGATCGGCAGCCTGAGTACCTTTGTTTCAAGAATACAGTTCGCTAACAAGGAGTCACCCGCGGTACCACGTACCTCACATTAAGCAAGAGGATCGGCAGCGTGAGTACCTTTGTTTCAAAAATACAGTTTGCTAACAAGGACACCCGCGGCACTACGTACTTCTTCACATTAAGCAAGAGGATCGGCAGCGTGAGTACTTTTGTTTGAATAATACAGTTCGCTAACAAGGAGTCACCCGCGGCACTACGTACTTCGTCACATTAAGCAAGAGGATCGGCAGCGTGAGTGCTTTTGTTTGAATAATACAGTTCGCTAACAAGGAGTCACCCGCGGCACTACGTACTTCGTCACATTAAGCAAGAGGATCGGCAGCGTGAGTACTTTTGTTTGAATAATACAGTTCGCTAACAAGGAGTCACCCGCGGCACTACGTACTTCGTCACATTAAGCAAGAGGATCGGCAGCGTGAGTACTTTTGTTTGAATAATACAGTTCGCTAACAAGGAGTCACCCGCGGCACTACGTACTTCTTCACATTAAGCAAGAGGATCGGCAGCGTGAGTACCTTTGTTTCAAAAATACAGTTCGCTAACAAGGACACCCGCGGCACTACGTACTTCTTCACATTAAGCAAGAGGATCGGCAGCCTGAGTACCTTTGTTTCAAGAATACAGTTCGCTAACAAGGAGTCACCCGCGGTACCACGTACCTCACATTAAGCAAGAGGATCGGCAGCCTGAGTACCTTTGTTTCAAGAATACAGTTCGCTAACAAGGAGTCACCCGCGGTACCACGTACCTCACATTAAGCAAGAGGATCGGCAGCGTGAGTACCTTTGTTTCAAAAATACAGTTCGCTAACAAGGACACCCGCGGCACTACGTACTTCTTCACATTAAGCAAGAGGATCGGCAGCGTGAGTACCTTTGTTCTACCAACAGTTCGCTAGTTAGTAGGACGCGGGCGAACGGTACCCTTAGCATGAACCAATAACGAATTCGAATAGATTGCTAGCCCGAAATGTCATTGTCAAATGTGTACTGATTTTTAGTTCTCGTAACGTCCGTTGTGGCGCTGCTCTTCAAGTTTCCACATAAATTTTGACAACGACATTTCGCACTCGCAGATTATTCGAATTGGATATTGGTTCGTGCTAAGGGTACAGTTCGTAGAAAGCGGACAACCGAGACGTATGCAGCCCATAGTCACCCGCGGAACTCCTTACTTCGTCACATTAAGCAAGAGGATCGGCAGCGTGAGTGCCTTTGTTCTACCGATACAGTTCGCTAGCGTAGGCGGCGGACAACCGAGACAGGTCTTTTTTTGGTGTGTATGCTGTTAGTCGCAGATGACCTTTACAGCGTCACCGGTTTGGGGACGGGACGGCGGGATCTTAAGGAGACCTCAAGCTGAGAATTGGCAAGTGCCTCTAGAGGTATTCCAGGCGGATGGCATCTCCCCGCGGGGGGAGTCTCCTCTCCGTCTGGAGCCTCTAGACCACTCGAACCTGAGGTGGTCGGCTCAACTAGAGGGTGTCTCTGAGACTCGGACCTCGGCTCTAGTTAGCCGTTGTCGTGGGGGGCCCAATACAGGTTGTGAACTGCAAGCTAACAGCAGTTTAGACGGTATGCAGGGCCGAATTTAGAGGTGTGTAGGCTCTGGGGCAACGAAGGAGTGGAGAATATTTTGAATCGGCCTCTTTCGATTTGGTAGTTGACCAGTCGAAATTTATTTATTTTCTTATCTCTGTTGTTGGCCTGTACCACAGACCCACTTGCCCGGCCCTAAATCCGGCTCTGACAGTATGAGTTCTATAGCACTAGCACTCTGCTCGAATACTAGCAGTCCAAACTTTATGGCTGTAGTGAAGTTAGCAGCGAGCGAGACTATGCGCAGGTTTTACTTCATTGACTTCCCGCGCGTTACATTTCGTATACTGCGTCACAATTTGCGCTATCTTCACAGCTGCCATTGAGTTAGAAACGCGGGCGAACAGTACTTCGTTTTTTTACCAATGCCACTCAAAAAGAGGTTAATTCATAAATGTTGAACTGAAAGTCGTATTTAACTCAAAATTTATACAGAGGGTAGCAAAATGGGGGAAGGTCACACTGACATGTTCTGCTCCATTGTTCCCTCTACGACAAAGAAAGACATGATATTCATTTTCGTCATTTCTATTAATTGACTTTATATTGGTATATATTTAGACTTTATATGATTTATATTGGTATAGTTAGCGGCAAACTTGAGTAAAACCATAGATAAAGAAACTTACGCAGTAGACGTTTTCAATGTAAAATTGCTACTACGCAGGCTCCTTTGTCTATTTTTGATGCTCCAGAAGTTTGCCGGCTGTATAACAGCATATTTATCAACTTCTGGATTTTTAGCATCTGTAACTTAGTAACTACTGGGAATGTCACTTGCTGTGTCCCATATTTATGAAGGCTTTATATCATTTTTCTGTATTACTATCCCTATAGGGTAACTATGGTGAAGTATACCGAGGTTGGATGGAATGGGACTCGGACGAAAGTCAAGAAGTAGCCATTAAGAAGCTCACCAAGCAAGCCAATGCTCTAGACAAAGACAGCACATTGTATGTCGATTTCAAGAACGAATTGGAGATCATGAAGGTATGGTGTATAGAATTATTGATATTGAACTTACTTGAATGAGATTCAAAAATAATTTCATTAGAATCAATAGTCATCAAAGATCTTACAAAGAAATAAGAATTTAGTTTTTAACGATTTGCCTGCCAAGTGTAAATATATCCACGTTGGCGCTACGAATTTCGTACTTATAGCTAACAGCATAAAGTGTATGTCAATTATAACTTCCAATTTTGACCCAGTAAATGGTTAACCTTACCTTTATTATTCCAATCTCAATTCCCTATTTTCTATTTGAAGCTCTTGCTTCCTTCCAGCTTTTCTCTCATCCTTCCTGTACTCATTTTCTTCCCCGCCTTTACTTTCTGTAACTGGCCGAATCGTCAATCAGCTTCTAGTACTGGTGAGGAGTCTTTATTCAAGATATATCTTCCCAACAACACTGGACGTAATTCCATCGTGAAAAACTTTCTTATAAACGAATTAAATAAAAGAAACCTTTATTGTTCATAGTCTTTGAATCACAAGAATATAGTCAACATTTTGGGCTACTCGTGGAAACCAGATGTTATGATCGTGATGGAATATTTGGAGGAAGGCTCCCTCAACTACTACCTCAAGTTCCAAGGGGACAAACTTTCCATTATGCACCTGCTTATATACGCTGGGGACATTGCTACGGTAAGTTGTAAGGTAAACTAGTTTTAAATTTAAATCACACTCATATTATAAGGCCGAAAGTTTTGTGATTGTGTGTGTATGTCACAACTTCTTCACGTTTAAACGGCATTTAATAAAATTTGCTATGGAGGTAGCTGACACCCTGGATTAACACTTAGGCTACGTTTTACTGCGGAAAAATATCCCTCATAAACCGCGGGACACAGCTAGTATAAAATAAACCATAGGCTAGTTGTAATCTGGAAATTAAACTGTAACCAGGCAAATAAAAAAACTGGGCAACCGTTGGCTGGTTTCAAAGTCTATAACGAACATAGGTAGAAACCCCAGAACAAGAACCAAAGCATTTGAGCGTACACTTCCATAGACAAAAGATTTCCAAAGAAAGTATTACCCAACCAAAAAGTATTAGTGCCATGTTGGCAGGTTGCATTTGACATTAGATCGCCTTTTGATTCGGTATCGCAAAGGAACCAAGATATCCATCCACAAGGCTTACCAAGCAACAAAGGTATCCAATTTTAAGTTAGTATAGTGGTACGCACGCTGTTTATAGCAACATATATTTTTCTCTTATAGGTCTATATGAAGAAATAATATAACTATATAAGTCGATTTTATGAGTTGAATTTAAATTCTTCCTATGCTTTGATTCTTGATCTGAGGTAGAAACAATATTTGTGTTTTATAAATTAAGGTTATAGCCAAATTATTTAAAAAACATTGTTCCGTCATCAGGGCATGGAGTATGTATCGAAAAAGAATATAGTGCATCGTGATTTGGCCACTCGCAACATTCTCGTGGTCGACAAGTATCACGTGAAGATTTCAGATTTCGGCCTCGCCCGTACTATTCCTAAAGAAGACGACCAATATAAACTTAAGACTGAGAGACTGTTGCCGATTAATTGGTGAGTATATTTTTTTAACGGTTTTATTGAGCATGCTGTTTGTTTATTTTATGGAAAAAGATGTGGATGTAAAAGTAGCTGTTGGGTGGTAAAACTTATGATTATACATAATTGGATTATATTTATTTGTAAGAGCATCGTTGGTCTAATGGTCACTCAGAGACTGCAGCAGATTTTGGTTCGATCCAAAATCCCCAAGGAGAAATGGTCAGTCGTGAAACGGTCGCCAAAAAGTTTATTATTATCTCAAGCTCCAATCCGTTTTTTCCAAAAGAATGACCTAAATATAATCTCTTCTACACATAGGGGATAATTTTAATTAATACAATGCAACCTCGACATAATAAATCTGAGGGAAACAAGTAAATATTCGTTATAATATGGAATAATTCGTTAGATAATTCGTTAGAGTGAGGTTTGTTATATTGAGGTTAGGTTAGTTTAAATTTTGTTATAAAAAGGTAAAAGAATAGTTTTATAACAAAAACGTATCGAAACCTGTCGCGATATGAATCACATACTTATTTGATTAAGGGTCATATATTGGTGAGAATGTTATATAAAGGTTTTACACTTGAGGTATTTACACTATTTTTGATAGTTGAAAATTCGTTAAAAATAGGTTGTTCACAATGAATGTCGCAAGGTATATTTTACATTGACTCTTAGGGACAATTCAAGGGTATTACGAAAAATTTGTTATAGTCAGTCCATTCATTTATTATCTTTATGTCAGATCGACGCCCATGAAATTTTGTATTGTTTACGTTAAAATGTCATACAAATAATATTGTACTTCATGGACGGGTACCGCCCACTTAGTTATGTGCCACACGTAATGATTACTAAGATTGTGCCACAGATTACAAATAATCGGTATAAATAAATGAGTACAACCAAATTGTAAGGTAAACCAAGTAATTAAAATATTAACATTATATAAAGTTCATTAAGTATATAAATTAATATATAATTTATTCAGACGTATCGGATTCATCATAAAAACTGGATTCATCGTCAGATGTGTCCTCGGTATTAATGATGAGTTAGGTCAGACATAATTTTCTTTGTTCGTTCAACGACACTCGCTCAGTTTTCACGTGTAACATCACCACACGGGTTATTTAAAAGTTCTATCATGTTGTTTCTTGTGAACGGTGGCGTAGTGTTTTTTCTTGCGTAAGTAACAAATCAACACTATATGAGTACTCAACTTAACGGAATATGACTATTCAATTTAACGTTTGATAAAATGTTCAAAAACAAGAATTACGTTGCAACTGTCGCAAGATCAGTGAACAAGAGACCTCAAAATGGCGCCATACCACCACCATAACATATAACATAGTGTTTCCAACACGCAAAAATATTTCAAGGTAAAAAGTCAAAGATATAGTTTTTTATAAACCTTTTTTAAATGATTTTTTTAAATATAATCAATAAATTTAATTGTACAGAGTATTAGTATTAGGATAAACAAACATATAAAAAGTATACTGCTTTTTTGTTGTATATTATAGATAAATCACACCCAGACACAGAATAAATACTTGTGCTCATCACATAAATATTTGTACTAGGTAAAATAATAAATCTATTTAATAATTTATTAAACACCAGTATTTTTGATAACTAAAATAATTTCTGTACTTTTATAATCGATTAAACAATGTTCTAGCATTAAATCGATTATAGCTTTAAATCGAACGAGTTATGTGATACGGTGTCACTATTTTTACTTCGATCGATCTGTCAAAAAGATAATAAATGAATGGACAGACTATAAATCAAGGAAGTCGTTATATTGAGGTGCGTTATAATAAAGTTTCACTGTATCAAGTGCTCTATTAACAAGGCTAATGATAGTGTATCTGATGTTATCTAAACAGGTATGCACCAGAGTCGGCGAGTGATCCGTGGTTGTTCTCAACGAAGAGTGACGTGTGGTCTTATGGCGTCACCGTGTGGGAGATATTCACTCGCGCCACAGTGGAAGTGCCCAAATTCGACATGACCAGACCCACGGAACGAGCTTCCTGGTAACGTATTGCTTTTTAAGCTCAATTTATACCACCGTGGAAAGGAATACGAGCAAAAATATGGTCGCATGTTTTTTTTTTAGGAATTTAACTGCTAGACCCGTCTGCTGCCTGGCCCGCGTGGATTTTTTTTTAGTAAAATTTTCTTTTAAAATTTGTATGTTAAATACAATTGACATAAAGTTCATTAGGCTATGCACAGTTTCGTTACGAAAATGCGCGTCCATTTCATTCCGCGGCGGTATAAATTAAGATTAGACGGGTTGTCCTCAGCGAAGAGTGACGTCTGGTGTTACGGCGTCACCGTTTGGGAGATATTCACTCGAGCCATCCTAGTAGTGCACAAGTTCAATATGACCAAGCTTACGGAACGAGCTTCCTGATAACCTATTGATTTTTAGGCTCAATTTATACCGCCGTAGAATGGAATGGAAGCGAATTTTTGCGACGAAATTGTGCATAGCGTAATGAACTTTATTTCAATGACATATAAACTAAATAGGAGTTAAAGTTAGTCCAATGGTTCGGTAGTACTCGGTACAGAGAGATGTGTCTCGGTAAATAAATCTGTACCAAAACGACTCTGATAGGAGGCTTTCGTTTGGTTACATGCACTCGGTAAAGAATGAGCCTGCACCGATCCAGCGAGGAAGGTGTCTTTGTTTGACTATAAGAAATTCAGTTTTCAGTACGGTAATGTATTTTTTTGCAGCTTTCAAATACCAGACGGCTGCCCATCGGAGATATACAGATATCTCATGACAGATTGCTGGAACTTGGATCCCAATAGGAGGTCCAATTTTACTGAACTCAAGATTAAAGCAAAGAGGTTTCTAGAAGACTACGACCAGTCAACATAGATATGTTAAACAACTGAAACATGTATACATTTATTTGTAGATTTTGTTACGTATTGACAGTCAGATGGACGTTGCAAATGATGATGTTATATATTGCTGAAAATGCAATTATTTATGAATTCACATTTTATTGACAAAATTGTTATATTAAGATGTCGTATGACAGGTCTGCAGGAATTTTAACTTCTGTATGAAGATTTTATATTTATTTAAAAATGAATGTAATTTTATATATGAATTTTATAATCTCCTAATCTATTACAGGTATTGTATTGTACCCTATAATGTTTTATATTGTATTTATTCGCACAATATTTTTACGGGAAATAATTTACTAATGTAAACCGAAAACAATGCACACATTATAGAGTTAATATTTTTAAAAAATCAAATAAAAAAATAGATTAATAAATTATTATAAAGATACCCATAAATCTATGATTTGCTTGATATGAGATACACATCTTATCATGAATTTGTTTTATTTATTTATGATTATAATAATTAATTATCAAACTGTTTTAATGATCATTGTATATAAATAATATAATATTGTGCATGTTTAGTTATTAGTTTGGAGTTCCTACAGCTTTATATTTTGTCTACTCTCCGTATATCAGGTAAATCAAAGATCTTCATCTGTAAATATATAGAAAATGTTGTTTGTGGTTCCTGGAAGCATTTGCCGTAGTTCAGTATGCGTTAAATTTAACTTTCTGTAAATATTTGTTTTTAAGCTTTAATTTTAAGTGAATAATAGCAATCTCATATAAATATTTTAATTATTGAACAATAATAAAAGTGCAATCAATTCAATGCAAATATCAGAAGCAACTAATTTCATTATAAACATTTGGTAATTATTTAAGTACTTAGATATAATCGAATCTGTTAGAAATTATATTTAATTAGAATCAGGAACAAATGTACGAGTCATTAATAAAATCGATTTAATAAAATCATTAGTGAGTGAGATGAAATAAAGGAAAAAACATTCACTAAACGTCTGAAAACTTGTAAAGGTCACACTACATTATACCGGCACCGTTAAACATTGCTTTGTACTAAGATAAAATTTGTAAGATGTTTTCAACTCGCATACTCCCAATAGGTGAATGAATGGAGAATGAAACGTTCAGCAAGCAAATGTCTGTCCTTTTAATAATTTTAGGTAAGTTTATACAACACACAAAAATTAAGTAGATTCATTGTATTTAAAAAAAAAAATATTTAAAACGTTCCTAAAGTGTGCGATCTATAATCGCGGTTATAAAATTTAAAGCTAAGTTAGCGAGTTCAGGATTCTCTTAAAGTTAGGTGCAAACCAATTGCATATGTTTTAAGAGTCACCAAAATATTGAAGAATTAGTTCGTCCAGGACACAGTCCACCGCATACAACGTCCGAAGTACAGACCACAGGTCAACTAACTCGCAACTGTCAATTTCCTAAACCAACTTTGAGCTTTATGTTGCTTGATGTAAGTTTTACAGTTTATTGACACAATTTGACATTTATTATTTGACACTTGATGTGTAAATTATTCTCTGATCCACTCTCTATAATTGACACCCGGTGGAATTATCCGTATGCCATATCTGATTCTACTATCCCCTCGTGAGAATACCGCGGAGCATTTACTCCCGGGCAGTCACCAACGAATTAGAAATGTAATGGAAAACGGGAGGGGCGAAAAAATTGCGATCAACACGCCGCGGCGTCGATCATGGGATTGGGTGGAATTTCCGTTTAACATTATCTTACCCAATGAATGGACATCCGAATTAATTTCTAGATATTTGATTTGTCAAGTTGTTTTTTTGTGTGCGCGTCGTGTTAATATTGAAGTTTAGTTGCATGAGTTTGGAACCATGTTTTAGCGGCCTTTTTTAGAGAGTAATGCCTCCGTATAATTTCTAACTCGTTGGCAGTCACAGCACAGATGTTCCGCTTATTGTTTACGGTGCTGATGTATAATGCCATGGCATTAACGCTGTATTTTTATCAAACAATGCGAACTATTTTAATTATGAGTGTACAGTGGCAACCACATAAATTGTCGCAGACAAACGTGATGAAATACTTAAAAAAATATAAGTTACACAAAGCTACAGCTTTTTTGTACCGTTTTATTTTGCATATCTGTGCAGCTTTTAAAAATTTAACAAGTACACAAAAGTTAGAAACGCACAAAATTGTCTGATACAGATTATGACGAAAGAGAAATGAAATTCCGACGTGCAACTACGTGTTTAGTGGCTTAAATCTCACCAACGAAATATGGATTTTTTTTCCGCACCTCGCTAATGAATTTATCGAACAATCTAGTTTCTTTTTACCTCATTTTCATTGTACTCTTGTATTTCTTTATATGTTTTAAGAGTCCAGAGCGCTGTTCGCGAATTTTTAATTAATTCGATCAAGTTCTTTTAATTGTAAATGGAATATATTACAAAACATACACTTCTAATAATATGTATACTCTATAAGCATACCCTGTGTATTATTTGACGACCAACTTGGCCGAGTGGTGTGTACGCCGGGTTTCATGGTGTCGCCGACTTGAGAGGTTCTGGGTTCAAATCCCGATGGAGGCAGATGTTTGTGTGATGAATACGAGCATTTGTACTCCAGTCATGGATGTTTAATATGTATTTTCTATATAAATATACTTATATATGTACAGTATACGTATGCTATCCGTTACCCTAGTATCTCATAACACAAGCCTTATAGTGCTTATTTTGGGGCTAGGCTAATTGGTGCGAGTGTTGGAAATATTTATTTATTTATTTTGCAATAAGTGGGATTGACTGTCACAAAAGTATACACATTTTGACACGTGATTGTGTGTTTATTTTCCACAACACAACATTCATCAGGCACCACAATGGCTATTTGTATTTGTCCATTTTACTTGGAGAGCAGGCTCTCCTTTTCAATTTTTTAATTTACAATTCCAAATTATTTGAGTTAAATGTGCTGTTTTGCTTTGATAAGATTTGTTTTCATAAACGGTGAATTCAATCGGTTCTCAAAATTCCGCTCCGGTGCAAACCTCTAGAAGGCACCTTATTCAGGTAAATACGAAGTAGCCATGTGAAGTGCTAGCTAGCTATAATTGCTGTAAGTTTGTCGTGTAAATTAAAAACTCGCACAGCGTTGACTCGGCATGGTGCGTGCATTATTGACTATTAAGCCAAAGATGATATTACGAACGTGCTTTTAATGTTCGTGTTTTTAGTTAATTTAGTTTTATTATTATTTAAGTGAATAAATATAGCGTATATGTAAGGTAGTGCCACTTCTTCATGTATGTAAATAATTCTTAAGAAACGGGCGTTGAAATAACGATTGTTCGAGAGATGCGTGGCAGTTTTATTTACTTTTCTCTAGTACCTAATTTTTACGAGTAAAGAGAGAATGGAATGAACGGACAGTGAACGGGGCGAAAAGCTTAATTGTGATTGAATTGAGACTGAAATTCGAAGTGTACATACGGTGCTATGGAAAATCGAACCATGTTATTAATTGTTAAAATTAAATTAAATTGAAATTAATTATTGAACCGATCAGTGGAAACCTAAATTATTGTTGAAATTACTCTATGAAGATTATTAAAAAAATACATTAATACATTTCACAATGCTAAAATGATTTACATATATTAATAAGTGTTAGTGTCATGGAGGTTTTCCTAGTTACTAAGAGAAGGAATGTTTGAGTAAGAATCTCTAGAAATGATTTACGGACATTTATTGTTTTTATAGTTGACTGTGACGCGAATCTTAAATTTATAATGAACATTTCCGATAGGTAAAAGTTTGATATATTGTCACAATCTGTTTGAGGTTCAGATGGATTTAATGATTATTTTTGGAGTATCTGGCATCTGGTATCAAATATTATATATTGTTTCGACGTGATCAACTGCAGAGCGCTGATATATCAACTTTAATAGACTTATACCCCTTTACTTCTATACGAAAAACAAGTTTGGACTTGAACAGTTTGTGAACATCACTCAAAATAAAATGTTGAATCCTCTATCCGACACTGCATAAACTGCGTAGCTAACAACTTCATCCTACGTTTGTAATGGAAGTGTCAGGAAAATAACACAGTGCAGACGGGAGCCTGCAAAGTTCCCTCCAAAGTTATGATGAAACGCAAACTTTAAGATTTAAATTAACATTTAATTAAGTATTCACTTTGCATAGTTGGAATTTAACATGTTACAGCTGAAAAAACTTGCCCGGTTTGATTTTAACCGTTTAGCTGCGCAGCAGACAATTTAATTTCTTATAAAAGTTCCATTCCACAGCCAAACGGCTGACTTCAGGCCAGCTAAGATTCGTCATCTGCAGTTTGCGTGAAAGTATTTTTACATACAGATACAGAAGATTTTACGACACGAGCTACTTATTATATATGGCGTGTATATTTTATTTCGAAAATTCAAAAAGTTTTAAGTATTTTTTAGTAGTTAACTAAAAATCATATGCGACTTTATTCTTTATAGATGTGTGTGAATGAATTTATTGTTCGGAAATACAAGTCAATTTACGGCGTGTGTCAATTATTCTACGAATGCTATACTACTTATCTGTTAAATCTTTGTACTGTGAGCCATTGAAACTGCTATGCGATTTTATTGCTAACGACAGTGGCACGACCAGTTTGTTTAGAATAGTTGTTGTAAATATTTCGTATTGTAATCATAAGAATTTGTTTCAATATGTTGTAAGGCTGGATGTGAAATGTTATTTCGAACAATGTGAAAATATTATACGGTTTATGTTATATCGGTGAAAAGGGATTTCATAAAACCTTGTATTCAATAGACTGTTACCTATTTTGAAGTAGAGTTAAAAAAATAGTCGATATATTATCGTGATATAAGCTCGCTTTGCTTTCATCGTAAGCGAACATAAATTTTAGGCGATTTATTTAAAGTTTTGCCGTCTCAAGTTGGTGAAATCTGTTGATTTCGAAGATACTGGGAGATATTTGGTCTTAATTATTGGTGCAACGGAATTTTTGCAAGTGATTTGAAGTAGTCCCGTTACTTTATATTACACTTCGCTTGTAGACTCTACACGGAAGCGAAGCCAAGTGTAATGAACGGAAAAATACAAGCCCTTGTATATCTTCTACAAAAAATATCTATCACTTTTGATTGCTGAAATTTTATATAAAAATATTTTTACATTGATCGAAATGATGAAATGTCTGTTATTTGCCATGATTATGAAATAAATTATTATGCGTAATTTAAGATGCTTTTTTTTATTTGCTCCCTGACTTGCACACTAACCTCCTTGTTAATAAACGAGGAATAAGCTTTAACGAGTTACGCCGTGTTTTGTTCACATCACTTAAATGCCATTAGTCATTCAATGAACAGCACCAAAACATAGAGTAACTAATCCAAACTTATTCTTCGCTTATTAATAAGGAGCAAGAGTTGTCTTTGGTGTTTTAAAGTAATATCATCATCATCAGCCTTTTAATGTCCCTTCTGGGGCACAAGCCTTTCCTATAGATGGATTAGGGAGAATGGCCCGTCTACGTGTGATTGGTGGGTGCTAACGACTGCAGATGCAGCCGGACCCAGCGGCTTAACGTGACCTTGGAAGCACGGAAGCGCTCAAGATAACAAGTTTTTTTGCTTGTTTCACTAATCCAATGTCCGAAGATTGCGAAAGTGGCTTAACCTTCACGATCGCAGGCCGAACGTGCTAACGAATCGAGACCTTCGAAAATCCTTCGAACAAATAAATATGACAATAATGAAATAAACGTAGGCTAATCTAGCGATGTTCACGGCCTACGCTGCATTAGGCGCCTGAGACCCACGCAGCGCTGCTCTATGAAATTACATGAAACAAATACGCGGAGCGGAGTGCTCCCGCTTAACGCAGCGCAGCAGGCCCGTAGTTGCGAGTGTTGCCTGGTATTGTTAATCTTATTAAACCCATGAGATGTTCGTACGTAGGTACACACTTTTTCAGAAATGAGCATCGGTAACTTGAATTTCACGCGGATCAACATACAAATGTATGCCTAATGTAATGCCTATGTGTAGTTTGTATGAGACACATTAAATGACGGACAATAGGGTTTCGTTGTGACCCTTTCTATAACAACACCTTTTTCGTTCGTTTCTAGTCCAGTATTTCCAACACTGCTGAAACGATAAATAGTCCAGGCAACGAATGCTCAAAAACAGGTATAGAGGGAAATGCTTGGAACACAATTTTTGACTTCGTAACTTTGTTAGGACTAGTTAGGAGGTAAACATATCAAAAGTCCCCGCCCGTAGCCCTTTAGCCGGGGGGGGGGGGGGGGAATTGAAGGTCCCATTTTTAGGTTTTTCGCATATATCTCGGAAACTATGCATCCTAGCGACATGAGACTTCAGCAAAAGTGAAAGCTGATTAAATTTGCTACAAGTCTTATTCAGTCAAGTTTTTTGATATCTTGTATAGTTTTCGAGATATCCGCTCTTGAAAGTCTGTAATTATGGAAAAAAAAATTTGCCACCACTTCCTGGGAATGCTGTTTTACTGCTCCCTCAGTGGGAGGAAGACAAGAGATATTAGGCTTGATGGTGGCCACTGATTTCAAGAATGACTTGTACCTGTAGGCATTGAGGGAAATCTCTTTCGCTGGAGCTCCATACCACCTTAAGATGCAGGTTTCACCTGCCTTTTGTACTTGAGCGGTGGTGGAGAAAGGTTGTGAAAAGACCGCTGCTGCTTTCTGGATTTCTGGTGACTTGATGTCTCTGGTCTCTGGGAAGGGAGGAAATTTCTCAAACCAATCGGTGAGCTTGGCAATGTCAGCTCCATCCTTGTTTTGGCGGGATTGTCCGAAATCTGCATGCTGCTCACTGGTGGAACCAACAACCCTACGGCCGGCATTGATGAAGAGTTATCCGGTCAAATAGAGCAAAAATGTGAGGCAATTTTTTTTTCCATAATTTCAGACTTTTAAGAGTGGATATCTCGAAAACTTTACAAGATATCAAAAAACTTGGCTGAATAAGACTTGTAGCAAATTTAATCAGCTTTCACTTTTGTTAATATCTCATGTCGCTAGAATGCATAGTTTCCGAGATATATGCGAAATACCTAAAAATGGGACCTTCAATCCCCCCCTTCCCCCCGGCTTAAGGGCTACGGGCGGGGATTTTTGATATGTTTACCTCCTAACTAGTCCTAACAAAGTTACAAAGTCAAAAATTGTGTTCTAAGCATTTCCCTCTATACCTTTTCGTTGCCTGGACTAAAAGTAGGTTGCACGTCTCGTAAGCACCTACTTGACGTCATGATATATTATGGTAATCCGCGCAGTTGACGTGCGCTGCATTCCGTCGCTGCAGCTAAGTTTGCGTCTCGTTGCACATTTGACAGGAATGATGGACGACAAACGACAAGCTATAGTCGCCTGTCGCCCACCGAGGACGCGACTACCCAGTCGCGTCTCTCCGCGTTGCGGGTCGGGGTAGCCAGGGGGCCATACTCCTAACGGGATTGCTATGGCTATAGCTAGCGCTTTCGACTTCATTTTGTTAATTCTAACCGCCTAAGGTTTTCAAATACCTCACGCTCATTTTCTATAATATGGCAAATACCTCACGCTCATTTTCTTTACTTAAAATAGAATAATGTTATAGATGCGAAAGTCAGTTTGTTTGTTACATTTTCACGCCCTAATAGCTAAATCGATACTGATTAATTTCCTGATATAAATAGATGGGACCTTGGTTCTAAGCTACATTATCGAAATACATATAAGGGTAGGGTTATAAAAGGGACGATTTACCTATAAAACTTTATATTATTTGCTTCAAATTTTGCAGAATTATCGTTTACAATTACAAA